CCTGCAGTAGTCCGCTGTTTAGGAAACTACGATGTTCTAACTGGCTGGTCGGTGATGACCAGGCGTTAAATGTAAATAACTACCAGTACCAAAAATTGCAGAGAGAGAATCTTATACAATAAATAAATTTGGAAGTAAAAGTAAGATGTATTGGAGGTTGAATTCGCTACCAAATCTGATAAAACTTAACATCAGCTTATGGTAGAATCGTGGATTACGACTACTTTTAATAAAGCAACAAGAAGACGCTGTCGACCCCCAAACAATGCTTGCAGCATAATGAGCAAAAATGGCTTAGAAGTTAACACACTGCTGGGGCACGGATAAGGTATGAAGCTCTTGGCATTTCCTAAGAACCGTGTGCAATATGTTTATCGCTAGTTAAACTCTCGGCTTTGGTAACAAGCCAATTAGGACTACACCATTGGTCCCTTACCGGGCGGCCTGGCCTCTCTACTACGTTAGCAGCGCCAAGCCTTCCTAAACGTCAACGATGCATATTCTGGCAGAGTATTATTTCTACTTGTGTCATCAGGGAAGTCTCGGCACACAACGTATGCCGCAGAGAAAAGGTATGGCCCGCAAAATCTGAATTTTTTATATGCAACAAGGAATAGAACCAAAAAGAAAATCAGGAACAAATGAATATGGCTCAAAATAGTGTGTAGCGAGGCTCCTCGGTCTCCGCTTCCCAATTCCTAGCGTTCCTAGACAAGCCCGGTTGGTTTGCTTTGGACATCTTTATTAAAGACGACAAGATGTATAGGGAAAATACAATATTCAAGAAGGAGGGGAGCCGCAGTCACTAGGTAAGGGAGAGGGCGATCCAGTTACAAGGTTCGAATTTTCTGCTTGCCTCCTCCCTGAAAGGCGCATTAAAACAACATAAGTATTACAATAGAACCACTTATTATTCTCTTCTAAACTTTTCCATATATGTCAAAAATGATTATTCTGAAGAAGACACTGTTGCATTTCCCGCAAAGAAGTCAAGGCACTAAGAATCATGTTTTTTGTGAGAAACATAAAAACGGGCCTAAAAATAAGTCTGATCAGCCGACTGCGACTTGCTTTATAATTCAACATCACCAATAATAAGGGTATTAGTGAGCACTAAAATGTATGTTGATTCTTACCAAAACCGCTAACTTATAGGTAAAATGCAGAAGTTTTTAAAAAAACAGCAACAAAGCCAGTCTAGACCAAAACTTGTCCCTAATGTGCTTGTTTAATACATTCGATTTGATGGTCACCCATGATCATTGCTACTGTGGGACTTTCCATGTTCCAAACGGTGTTGGCAGCGTCGGTCCTTTCGAGTTGGGGGTGTTGGTGCTGTCTACGTTCAAGTTGTTCGGTCTTATCTGGAGCCCAAATTAGCTTTTTGAGGCTGGTAATCATTCCTGTTTCCCTTATTCTACGTCTACTACAGTTTTGAAACTAGAAATGTGTGTTGCTCCCTAAAAACCCATTTTAGCGACTTCATTACTAATGAATTTTTTTTACAACATAGAACTACATAGTTGGTTACAGTTTATGCCCTTTTCTGCACTAAAACAAGGCTATAAAAACTGTCAATTTTGTTGCGCAAACACTTATTTTTTGCGCGTTATTTTACTGTTAGGTTTTTTGAAGATTTTAAGCCAATTTCCATAATATTCATATTTTGACCACCCAGCCTGATAAATCATGTGCCTTTGTTGAGAAATCAGAGTCTTGACTAGTACTCTACACAAAATTAATTTGTTGTCTGTTAATTTTACGCTTCTTCCCAGTGATTTTTCTACTATTTCTTTTCTCTTTCGCCGTTTCTGGCATTACATTTCTTTGAGTTACTAGCTTTAGTCATTATTTCCCGTTGACAAAGATGTATTTTTATTGGAGAACTTGATTTTATAATTTGCGCTGTTTTTAACCGAAGTCTACATTAATATTAAGTTTAATCCCTTGGTGCAGTCGTCAAAATGATGTCGGAGTCACCTCGACGTTCTTCTTCGACAGGGTTGTCAAACTCAAATTCCCAAACTGTAAGTTAACCCTTTAACTTCCACTTTACAATTGTAGTCGTCAGAATTGAGTCCATTGAATCCAAATTCAGGTTAAGTTACATATCTGTCTCTTTGAGATACGCGTTGGCTTCCACAGGCTTCCTTGACATGTCGAATTGGCGACTAGATTGATCATGGTCTATGAATTAGGAAACCCGTTGTACGAGAAAGAGAAGTTTCCTTTTCGGCTTTGTAAAAGAAGGTTACTTATCTTTCTCTTCCATATTTTGAACTCCAAACTATTCTCAAATGTTCCGATTTACATCCAGTTGTAGTCTTGGCAAGATGTTGATAAAGAAACAGCTTCGAATTCATAAGCAAAGAGTGATGTGCTTTTTCTTTTTCTGCTAAATAACATTTTTTAAAACAATTTGTACGGGTACTGCTTGGAGTATGGTTTGATAGAAGGCAGAGCCAAAAGATTATTCAAACCTTGCCTTCTTTTCGCTTTTTATGCCGCATGCATAGTTTGTGTTTTATAAAGCTGCTACTCCTCCAGCAGTATGTATCGCTTTAGGCATACAGTGAATTTTGACGGATTTTTCGTTACCTTCCAATTAGTCCTAACTTCTTCGAATTTATGTAATGGCAACTGGTTGATTTGTTTTTATCCGCCAAGTTATGATTGATTTTGACCATGAATTTTATTTATACAAGTATGAGTCTTATATCGCCCACATAGAATTACCACATATCCATAAACCTGTTTTCGACAAGTCACCCAAAAAAATGGTCATTTTTGAATAGTAACTTGCATTTTTAGGTCGTTTTATTGTAAGCTTGATATTGTTTATAGTGGTGCACTTTCAAAATCTCATCGTATTGCCTCATTTTCCCACGTAGGAAACACGAAAACAGCCGATTCGTTTTAGTTTAGCCCACGATCACAGCAGAGCATCATGCTTTCGTTTGGTGTCAGGTTATGTGGGCTTAATTACTGTCTCGATACGTGGCGATCGTGGCGTCTTCTTCCTACGCCCTCTTCCAGCTTGACGAACAAGGTGATTCCACACAATGCTCCAAAATCCAATTTATGATAACGCTTTGTCTTTGGGATCTACGGTAAATGGTATCGTGTGGCGGGGGACAGTGCTGTTCCTTTATCCCTCTCGTTCCCTTATTCCTGCATGTGTTCTAAAGTTTTTTTGCTCCAAGTGCCATTCTTATTGGCTCCCTTACTATCTTTTGTACCAAAAATGCATCATGTGACCCGTTCTTGCACAGCTGGAAATCGAGAAAGCTGGACGCTCTCATTTTGCCTAGACAACTGACTCTACTCAATAAACTAGAACTTGCCTTTGTCTAATTTGACAATTTTTTTGTAGAGTTGGGATTCGGACTCTCTTTTAGGTTAGAGGCATTAAAAAGGCATAAGTTGCATCAGGTTTACCATCTGTTACTGCTATTTTCGTTCAAATACGGGCACATGCATCTAGTATACATGGCATGGGGTATATGAATGCTTTTTTGAAGTTTGAAATAACTCCTCTTATTACTGGCTTTGGGGAGACATCTCTTTTCCATTGGGGTTTTCCTACGAGTAATTTCTATTACGTTTTAATCCACTTTATATTTCACTTTATGTGGTCACCACCCTGTTGGTGTGCTCCGAGTTCGGCGACTCGTCCAAAAACTGGGTGAACGTGAGAATTCGACTTCATGCTTCTCTACTCATCTAAAATACTTGAATTGTGAAATAGCATTATTTATGTGAAGGCTAAGCGTTCTTTCCAGCTAGAGGTTGCGCGCTAAATGCGAACACTTTCAGGGTGTACTGAGGAACAATTACAGCCGAAATTTCTTCTGCATTATGTTTGCCTCGCGCTCGCGAAATAAATGCACCTACATTAAAGTGCGTTGTTCATCGCGCCGTTTGTCGCGATTGCACAGGAGAGTGCGGACTGACTTTTCAACTTTTGCTAAACACTTTTCCCACGATTTCGTTCGTGTGTGTGTATTCTTGCCTTTTTTGCGTATACACCGCTTATATCTTCGTTTAGGGCCACTTGATGCAAGAGTAGGCTTCATTGTTCCTTTCCGCTTAGCATTCGGTAGTTGAGCAGGCGATCCAGGAAAGGCAATGTACATTTTCACTTTAATTACGCCCTCACTTGACCCTCTGATTGATCTGTTGAAGGTTGCATTACCTTGGAAGGCCACTGTTCTACATTTCCCAGTTGAAAATTTCATGCTCAGTAGGTAAAATGCACTTATTAGCATTTACAGCAAATAGAGTTACTCACTACTTGCTGGGGAGTCGCTGATTCTTGAAATTTATTTCGACAACTTTAGTCTGATGCATATCCTAGTCAAAGTAGTAGAACCTATTTCACTAGCTAACCCCGTGTAGTTTCCTCCATACTCACGCAGTTATCTCATCTATTTTGTATTTAAGGATGTTATATCACCTGTAAGTTGTCTGTCAGTACGACCAATCAGGGTGTCCGACTCTCATTTCCATTCATCGGGTCGTGTAAGCAGTTTGGCCTCCCGAGTGAATGTGATGTCATTAATGGTAAGCTCATCCAACACAAAGGATAACTTTATGCTTGCTTCACCCCATCTATGTGCATATCGAAATCAGCTTTCATTTTCTGCATACAATCAACTTTGCCATTTTCTAATGGTTCAGTGTTTATGCTAACCAGAATGCATGGTAATAAATGCTGGTTTCTTTTGATTAGTTAGTTCTCATCAAATTTGCATTTTGAATTAGTATGCTCCCGGTTCGGTCTACGAGCAGTTTGAACTCTTCCCAGTATAACTAGTGAGGCTATAATTTTATGCATTTCGACAAACTTCTAACGATATACCATTATCATCTTATAAGCAAATTTGGAACTGATAATCCCTCCTTGAGTGTCTCTGTGCAACCGCTGACAAAACAGATGTTTTTTTGCTAAATACTAGGAGACCCGCGGTCCCTGTCAGCCGCTATCCGCTACGGTTTCACCTCCTGGACTACTTAGTATGGATGACTTAGTGCTTCCAAAGTCTTTCAACGACGTCTGTCCTTCGCCTACTCCCAGCATGGACTTCGAGGCACCCTGGTATCGCTATTGCCGACCCACGGCCCCGGTGCCCTCCGTGTCTGACTGTGTTGAGGTGGCCACGACTCCCATTGCCGCTGCCGCCGCCGGGGATCTCCTGGAGGACCATCTAGATCAGGAGAATTTCTCCCCTCCTCATCATCCTACCGCCTCTCCTCCTTTCGTCCTACCTTTGACCACTGTATCCAACATTCTCTTGAGCCCCATCATGTTTGGTGGTACGCTTCTCGTTCTTGCTTATTTTCTCAAGGACTTAATTCTTGTTTCCTTCGGTTTACTCTTTTCCCCAAGTTTATCTACACAACTTTATGCACTTAGTTTTGTTGGCGGCATTAATCGTATTGCAAAAAATCGCTAGTCCTAGTTTGGGTTTATTAATATCCATGTCATTCATTTTTTCCATCCTGGCTAAATGAAAACTTTTCTTGTGGAAATATAACTACATGGCAGCACCGAAAATTTCGTTTCATTTTATTTAATCTAAAAGAAGGCATTGCATTTGCCCTTTCTATTGGTTCATATACCCACAATGAAGTTTGCATTTGGTATTCGAATCTCTTGTTGCCTGGTTCGCGTGCGCGTACGCCTGGGAAATAAAAGCACCAGCACCCAGGTGGCCTAAGTTGCGGAGCCTAGTGACCTCCCACCCCGCCACCGTCGCAACTTCTCCATTCAGATAGAGCGCTGAAACCTGATCAGTTGATGAGCTTGTCCTAGCATCGCATTAATTGGCTGGCCAACTATCAATGGATCATGTGAACCAGACATGCCAGAGCCCCGGTCGTATGGCAACACGCGCTCCATGCACTTTCGTCAAGACACTAATGGGCCTGATCACCCACCCGTCTGCCTCCTTCACTTGCTCTTCCTGGTTGTCTGGACCCTATGAACTAAAATGCGTACTACCATCGATGCCTAGCCCTTCACTTGATCCTAGTGTACCGACGCACGCGTGTGCGTCTGCTTGCAATCATGCCATACAATTCCACAACACGCAAATGCGATGAAACGAGGGTTTGGCGGGTTGACGTACATCCCACGTGAGATCACGCAAGCTCCTGGCCCTTTGCCAAGTTAGGGTAAGGGGGGGGTCTATCAGCCCTAGTTACTATGGCCCTCAGGTGCTGAGGTCGCAATCATTCATCTCCAACTTTTACAATTCTGATGATAAGTCTAATGGATAATGTTCTTAGTGTATTTCGTTCCCGAGTTAATAAATCGTTACTTTACTTCCGTTTCCACTCTTTTATCACTAGTGCATGTGTTTAAATCTTTCTGGATTACAGTCAGAAGACACCATGAAATAACTTTGTTGGTGGACGCTTGATGAGGTTTGGCTGCTTTCCCTTAGCAGTCTTGGGATACCCGATGGAACTTGTGATTTCCTGTAGGTCCAGAGCAGTCCAGAAGCTTTGCTAAGCATGCTAACTATGCTCAATGTTTACACCTTATATCCGCTCCTCTTGGCATAAAATACACGACTGGTTGTCTCTACATTATCTTCAACAAAAATAAAAAATCTGAAATTATCAGTTGATTGTTCACTCTGCCTCTGTTAAGCATACTATAACCTGACATTCCATTTTATGCTCGGGATTCCTCAGGAGCGTGTCATCACGTCGCACTCCGGCGACTTGGAGAGTTACTGTTTTCGGCGTTCCTAATACTGCTTCTTTTGAACTCAAATTGCTCGGTTGTTCACTCTATTTGATCTTTGTTTATGGTTTTTCGTCTATATAGTAACCATCTATCGGTAATGCCAATTTAGGCAATCTTAAGTTTTACTGATTCAGCTTGAAGCTGCCGTCTAGCTGACCTTCGCTAAGTGGTGTGTTGTACTAGCTTAACGTCTGTAAATTCTTACATATATGCGTTCCGGGTGCTTCACTATATGCATTGTCGTCCAGGATACTTTTTCACGGAGCTTAGCATTATCCACTACGTTATACTAGTAATTTTTTGCATTCTACCTGTGGCTACTGTAGAAGTATAGCGATTATCTCACTAATTCGCTTGTGAAACTTTTCGTAACCCGTAAATGGGAAATTTGACTCAAACACACGCAAAGGGATCATTTTATCAGGATAACAAAGTGACAATATGGCTGCATTTAAGCTGGAATTTTCGTTTGCATTGGATCCGGTTGTTGGCACTCAAGACGTTTCGGATTATGATCACAGGGGGGTTGGCTTGGTTTCTGTAGCAATCTTATTCTGCCTCTGTCTACCGAAGCTGGATGAATTTTGAAAAGGTCCGAGTTTCGTTTTCGTCTCTTGTCGCCATCTCCTTTCCGCTTCAGCCATATTTTTTCATGCCAATTGCGTTTGTTCGCGCACTCGTACAGGCCGCCGAGTACGTAGAACATGGCAGGAAACGGACAGAAAGCCCTTCTGTTTGCTCTCTTTCTACTTGTCTTGCTCTATTCCGCCATCACTTCCACCGAAGCATTCTTCACACCATGCATACGTGTACGCTTTTCACTTTTAAAATATTCTCTTCATTTTGTGGCCATCCCTTCAAAATCTAGTGCACTTTGAATAAGATGGTTGTGAAATACACTGTTCCAGAGCCCTGTACTCTATGTTAGGCTTTTCCCTTTTAAAGATTTGATAAGCTTATTGCTAAAGGTGGGATTTCCTAGTACCACTTTATGATATTTAGCTCTATCCTCCACCCTGATCCAATTTAACCACATTACGTATATATTAACTAGCGAACATAGTGAAATTACTAAGCTTTCCGTAAAGGTTGAGGTGTGCAACAAACACATTACATGCTACGATTTTGTCGGCGTTTGCCATATATTGTACTAAAATGAAATGTTGAGCGTAGATTTCTTAGTTCTGGTATTGCTCGTGGGATTAGGAAATGAAACAATTTAAGTTCAAGTTACCCATCCTCTACTGGGATGTAAGACACCAACGTGAAATCATTGTTGAGAGCCTTCTATAAGGTACGCCCTCTCTAGTGTACAGCGGAATCAAGAAGAGAGTAAATGATGAACGATTGAAGATCGACGTCTTTTCCTGTCAGTGTGAGGCGCTCCAGCCGTTATTAAGCATAAAAGACCTAAATTCACATAAAGTAACTGCTCAAGCCTCTTTGGTATTTAAATAAACTGATTAATCATTTGTCAACTACAGTGGGGGACGGGCTATTTGTATCATAGCTGCACACTTTATGAAAGAATTTTGGAGTTAGCGATTTCCTTTAAATCCTCCCCGAATGTTATCGGATAAAAAGTTGAATTTTAGCCCGACATCGACCACGCACTGGAGGCTGTTTGGCCGCAAGATAGTTTTTTGACCGTAATTTTTAAGCGATAGCAGGTTCTATCTAAAAGCTGTCCATTGGTTTTACCTTACGGTAATTTTATTCGTCACGGAATTATTTATGCTTTTTCCATATTTTTATGTGGCTAGAATCCCCACTTTATTTGATGGGTTCCTTTATTAAGAATTGCATTTTATTGAAATGTGCAGAGCGTCTGCCCAAGTGGTCGGTTCTCCACAGGTCAGAGAGCAGTCATTTGCCCCAGTATCCCTCCTCCTCTTCCCTCCCAGAGCTGCTCACTTGGGCCCCTTTTCGTTCGACGGATGACGAAGAGCTCAATGCGTACATCGTCCCACCCCGCGACTCCCCCCAAACCTCTCCAATACCCGTCTTTGATCGGCGGCGCTCTCGGTTCACTAGTCGCGCAGCTCCCGGCATTGCCCGACCAACTGTACTCAATTGCGGACCCACCTTGTCTTTCGACACTGTGGCTACTCGCATCATCGACTTCCGCCCTCTCAAAAGGTCACTGCTTCTTTCCCTTTAGACTACCTCTTTGCCCAAACGCACACCATTGCGTATACCATCCGCTTACTTGCCTTCTTAATCCTGATGGTGTTTTTTGGCTGGTCGTTTTAGTGGGTAAACTCTTTCATATGATAGATTGACAATTGTGGTTGTGCAAGACAATTTAGATCGTCACAGTGAAGCCACTGTATTCTGCTCACTAGATCAGCCACCAACGACCGTAGCACATCAGAAGAGCTGTCAGTGAAAAAGATTCGACTGCACTCCCTTGTGCCCAGTGAGCGCAGTGCATTTCTTCCTGTTGTGCATCGGGGAAGGAGCATGGTCAACTCCTTGGACTCGTCTTCCGTCTCAAACAGTCCAACCTATACGTTGCCGTCTCTCTTGCCTTCGAGTTCCATTTGAAGCCCCCGCCTTTACGGCCCTACCCCGGTAGTCTCCTTAGGTCTGTGTATAGGATTTCACTGATCTACATTACCTTCCTCTCTCCTGTCTCAGTCTTTTATTATCTCCTCACCAAACACCTGTATATTTTGTACTGGCTTTACCATTTTATCCATTAAGTGCTTTTTGTATTCTCGCCTACCCCTTGTGAGTTGGATCTACTGTTTCCTTGTTCTCTTATTATGGTGCTGAGAAAGGAATGAGATTGCGAAAATGTGGGTCGTAGTTAAAGTTATGTCAATGAACCCTTGGCTCACCCTCAATCGTTATTGGATGTACCCTATTGGCGTCGAAGCTCTTTCCTTCGAATAAGAGTTTTGCACTCGCAAATGGTAAAGGGCGCAGTTGAAGGTCTCGAGTCAGTTTTAGTTCGAGTGCTGACAACTGCCGGGACACGAATAATCATCAATAGCTAGCGTGGGAGGGTAACTAGGTTCTAACTCCGAACAAGCTCAAAGGTATACAACGGGAGTTTAGGGCTAAAACTAGTCAGCTTTCACTAATCCGGTGGTGGTTTTACTCAGATACGTATAAAGGTCAGGGCTTGAGCCAAATCTACTAGAGCATATCACTATTAGAAGCATGCGACGTTTCTGAAACCATTGATCGAGGTAGGGGGGCTGTCTTCTGTGTTCAATATTATTTGGAACAATTTCCGACAAAATGTGAATTAGGAACAGGAAGAGAACCGAGCACGGTTGAATAACATCAAAAAGTTGTACTGAAAAGTCGCTGCAACCAAGAGGTGTTCCAAGGTAAGGATGCGTACGTGCTTTGGCACCCATTTAGTGGTTTGATGCTTCGTTTAGCGGTGGGCTTAACTACATGGGCGCATCAGTCTCCACGGCTTGCACATCCACCCGGCGACGTGACCTTCGGCCTATGCCAATACCCTCCTAGCTCTACTGTAATTTAATAGTATCTGAACTATCCCACTACCTTGGCACATTAGGTATTAGGGGAAGTCTCGGAAGGCTACTCGTTCTCCCAAAGTACGAGAATTTGTTCTGTAACTGAAAGATGTCAGCAGAAGAAAAAAGTGGATGCGTTACATTGTGTAATGCTTATGTTATTTAGATGTAACTTTTAAAGAGGAAGCTGACAGTCAACACGAACCTCGTGATAGAGGAGTGTCCAGAACCTCTCCAAGTGGAGAACTCAGCCTCCCCATCTACCTAAACCCGTATCCGTCCACAATGACTCTAACTAATAAACAACCCTTAATCAAATGGTCCCTTCGTTCTAAAAGGTACAAAGGCCAGAGAAGAGGAGATAAACGAGGAATGCACTAAAATATTTCAATAGACCCAACAAGACTAGTCATATATGGCAAATATTTGAGGGGAGGGGAAGGTAGGTGTATCGATTCTGAGTCCAAAGCTGGGTCAAAGAGGATTAAAAGCTGCAAAAAGCAGACAGGATGGTCATATACCTGTCCCTGCACTAGTAATATAGCTAGATGCATGTAATTCGATGGTGGTTTTATCCCTCGGTATTGGTGAGGCGCCACTTTTGGACTTTGAATTAGCATTTTTGTACCTCGCTGGGTGGGCTAACCTTCAGGCCATACCAATAATCCAAACACTTATTCTGTACTGAATATATATTCTGCCCGAGTATTGTGTCTTCTTTCGTCTTCAGGGAAATCTCGAGACGCCGCATATATTTATCCATTACCAATTGTAAATTAGATTGAGTCAATGTAAACCAATTCACCTAAGTATTAATTTGGAATTAGCAAAATTACTACATGAAAATCAACAAGTCCGTTACAGCAAGTTAATTAATTAAAATGCTCGTAACGATCTTCCGTGCATGTAATATATATTTATATAGATCAAACTAGTTAACCTAAAACTGAATTTTTTGCCTAGAATTAATGTCTTAATTGGCAGACCTTGCGCTAATATTCCCCAATATTTTTAAATAAATGATTGCTTCACTCTTGTTGTAATTGTTGGTGGCCATGGAGCCCTTTCCAAAAGTCCGGGCTTGCTTGATGTCCACTTACAGGCGTCCTGATAGGTTGATTTATAGACCACCGTCGAATAGGACTGTAGCTGTCAACATCGAAAGTGCTGGAGTCAAATCACTTAATAATACGGGTTCTCACCAAATGTCATCTACAAGTGATGACTTGCTAGGTACTCCACCTTCTGACTACAATATATCCAATACCCGACGAAATGCACCCGAAAATATTAGAACCAGCGAGTGTAATCAGTCACATTTGGATTCACATTGGGAGTGTAACTTCGAAGCAGTGAAACCTGAGGTGTTGTCCAATAGTCTAAACGAAGGGGGTATGTGTTTGTCTTCTGAGCGAAACGAGAAGTCGATGGCTTATCCGACCGAGACTGCTGAATCTGCAATGGCGAATCCTTTATATAGACATGGTGGCCTCATTCATTTGCCTAAAAATGTTAACGTTTTCAATCAATCTAGTCCTAATGGAGGTAATTTGGGCAGCACACAGAGAGGTATTAATTATTTGTTCATCGCATATTTTAGACGCAACAAATCTAAGACCCGTCTTGGTTGTTCGCCCTCACCAAAGATCTTTTATACCTTCAGACGCTTGCATTCAATCGCCAAATAAAAGTGGTATCCATTCTAGCCGTGAGTCACCTGGTGAAGGAACTACTGTAGGCGCGTTGCCCACGATATCCACAAGCGCAGGCTTACGTGGGAAAGATCTTCAACTTTTTGGGCAGCCCAATGGGGCTTATTCTTCAATGGTGGCACAGCTTTCGAGGTACCCACGGTTGAAGGCTTAAGGATCACTTTTGTAATGCATTCATTACCCATTCTGTTTGCATACATGCTGAGTTACTTTCGCTTTGTAGCAAGCCATCAAGCCCCACTGTGGCTGAAGCGGTTTATCAAATTATGCAAATTGACTCTGCTCTTAATGCATTGATGGTTCCTCCCGGGCAATGCATCTCTCACATACCTCCTCTGCCGGATGAGCAATCGGAAAATAAATTACAGATGCCAGAGTCAGAACGCTTGTTCTTACGTTGGTGGGCTACACTGGAAAATCTTCGAAGCAGTTTAATGGTTAACTACGAACGCGTAATTCTTGAGGATCTGGACTTCTGCAATGCGGCGCAGATTGAACAAGGAATGTGGAAGTCTGTTTTCTATACGGTATTAGAGTTCTTACGACCTTGGATAGCGAACCCTTATTTAACCGGGTAGGTTCTCGAGCAGATTCCATTTTATCTCTTGTGACTTATGTTTGTACGATTAATTGGTTATCTCATAGGCTGCTACCGAAACCAGAAGAAAGTGAAAGTGGGCAGGCGGTTGCTGCGGCCGCATGTTCTCGCATGATTAAACTCATTCGGAAAGTCTGTCTAGAAGATGTAATTAGAGTCGGTGAGCATCGTTTGACTGGGCTGCTGAATCGGCTGCAGGCGATTCGTCACATTCACCTCGACTGCGTTCTCTCTGAGGGTCGACCGCCACCAGAGTCTGGCTCACGCACTTGCAGATTAATGTATATTAGTGCACAGAAGTTAATGCTTTACCTCGGTGACTTAGCTCGCTATGAGGAAATAATTAATGGAGGGCAAAATTTCGGAAAGGCTAGAAGGTAAAACCCATCTTTTGTGTGATTATTACGTGCTAACTTAAGTTAATTCCTTTCTTTGTTCGATGTTTTAGTTGGTACCAAAAAGCTCAACTTCTTATTCCTAAAAGTGGTAAACCCTACAATCAGCTTGCATTACTAGCCATCTATACGGTACGTAATGTGTCTTATGCAATTAACTGCGTATGTATATAATATTGTTTTCTGCTATTAATTTCTGATCCGCTTGATGGTCCAGATGGGTTAGCCTTCCGGTGGAGAGGCGTGGAGTTTTTTCTCAAAATTTTGCTACCAATTTACATTATTGCTAGCAATTTTGGCCCCTTGGGCTATTGCGATTTTACTCGTAGGTTCACCATTGCCAACCACAACGCTGCATTATTTAACTCCTATACAACTGTATCAACCTTTAACTCAGTGGAATCTGTAGTATTTGAACATATTTGCTCTCGTTAATCATCCACCTAGTTTTATGCGCAGATACTAACCACAAAATGTACGAGAAGTCAATGTCGTCTATTAGTTCATTTCACTGAAGTTTGTTCATTATTCATAAGCCAAATCTAAGATTCCTATACAATATATTATTTAATTGTGTTGCACTCGTCAAACAGTGAATATAGCTTTAATCCTATGATCACATCCCGTTTTCATTATAAGACATTTTGGCCTCAAAAATTTGCTACACGAAGGAAGTTATCCGGAATATTCAGTCTTTTTGAATCATTTCGCTTTTACAGTCGCGCCATTTTGACGCAATGTGCTACTATATGCGGTCATTGGCAGCCAGCAATCCTTTTCCCACGGCGAGCCAAAGTCTTTCCGCATTATTCAACGAAGTGCATACACATGGAGCTGAGTTTCTGCGAAAAGTGAGTTCTTGAGTTCATCAGTAAAAACCGATCACAAGCTCATTTATTGCATAAGTGCTCTCCTATTGAATTACGAAAGCGTTGAAAGGAGAATTCGGGAAGAATGTACAGCTTAGAAGCATTGAGATCATCTGATTGCCGTTCGGAATAATTGTTGCCTGCTGACTATCTTCCAATCTGTATTCCAAATATTTTATGTCTAAATATAATCCTTTCCTAAACAGGGTCTCATGTTATGTCTAGCCCGGTTAGTCTTTTCGTCTCACATAGAAGTCTACCTCATCCCGATGGCCGCCTGGTTGCTCGTCCTCTCAAACTGGACTGAGTTCTAATCGTGCTTCAAACATTTTCACTCGCGGTCGTCCCAAACGGGTTGAGATCTGGATTCACCCTGTGAACGGCACGGAGACAATCGTTCAGGGCAATCGGAGTCTTACGGTACCCAATGCCGCCGCCAGAACTGAGGCTTGGAAGAAATCGAAGAAAATAGTAGGCACTGCCAATTCCCTTAGCCTTCCCTCAGACGAGCTGTTGGACGATGAGAACGAGGAAGAAGGGGAGGAAGCACAGGCCGATGCAGAGGAATACGCAAACATGTCACTCATCGAGGTATGTAGTCGTGTCGGAAAGATGGCCTACTTTGATATACTCGTGAGTCACAAAGTAGTTGTATTGTCTCAGAGGTATGCTGATTTCACCTCGTCAGATTCGTGACCGTATAGTTATTGAATCATAAACTTGTACTAATACTGTCTGGGGGCTTTTGGTAGGATTTCACCACCGACTTCTTATGCATGCGTAGGAACTGGGGAAGTTCAAGCACAATCTTTTTCATTATCTTCATTAAGAAAATAATAAGGCTTATGCTTTTCTAATTTCAGCTAACGAAGTTATTTGGGCTTCATTTTATGCATGCCCACGGCCAACTTTTTACGAAAATAGGGTAAGATGAAGATATGGTAGAAAAATTTCAATATATCTACATGTACGTATAGACATATATTGCCAGTAACTTAGTTGCCTATCGGAATGTTACACTATGTCGCTTTGTTTCTGTAACGAATTCATCTAGCACATTTTCATTCAAGTAGTTAGAAATTGGCGGGCTTTCTTTTCCTTGGAAAAATGTTTAACCTGTTTGACTCCATCTGACGGCCCTATGTGTGGCGTGGCTTTTGGTAGCCAAATTTGACTTTACAGTTGCTCAGAGCCGCCTTATGTAGTTGAAATTATATGTTGACTAATTGGCGATCTAGGTTTATCCCAAGGCCAGTCATATTGGAAAAAATACCATCTTTCAGTTGTGGTATATTTTGATGGATTGTCAGTCACCGTGGTGTTAACAGAAATGTAAGTCCCAAGTCAAGCGGTCTGTGTTACGAAGCTATTTGATCCATATCTGTAGGTGACGCGTTTAGAATATTCAGGATCTCGGTAGTGTGATTAATTATGGTTGCAACAAAGAGCATCATAGCACCATTTACTAGAGCTCTACTCTTCCTTTTACAAAGAATGGAAACCTTCCCTGAGGTCGCATCTATGGCCCTCCAAGCCCTCTCTGGTCTTCTGGCTCAGCGACCGTGCCCCTTGTCGGAAGACCGTCTGTGTCAGATACTCATGGTTAACATGTTCAACCTGGATCGCGCAGCTATATTCACAGCCCAGTCCGCGGTCAGCATGGTCGCTGCCATAGGGAGAAGCAAGATCGGTGCTGCTGAAGTGAGTCGACGGCAACAGCAGCAACAATTACTTCAACGAAAACCTAAGGTTGAGTCGGAGACCCTCCGCTCAGTGCACCACGACCACGCAGCGCGCTTCGCTCTTGACACTTTTAGTCTAATTTGCCGGAGAGCTGCAAAACTCTTCACGGAGGTGATTTCAGTCTGACACCTTAGCGACTTTTTTGTTACATGTACTACCTTCGATGCCAATCCATACAATTTTCTCTGGTCGTATTTCTATAAGCAATATAATGAATATCAGAACTAGGATTTTTTATCGAGGTTCACGTATTTTCTTGTGCTGTTGAGGGATGGCTTAAGTTTTAAACGTTTCATGCTGTATTAATTTATTCTGAGAATCTTGCTTATGACCGAAATTTAATACTTTGGGTTGACTAGAGTTCGAATGGAATCCTTTTAATGTGAACTTGAGTTTTTGAACTTAACACGTAGTCTCGAGCGGAGTCGAGAACTTCGGGGGATTGGCTTCACCCCGATTTGCGCATCCTGCTGCCGGCACTGCGCCTCTGGACAGAGTGGATGATTCTCCACCCGGAGCATTGGTCGCCGCCGCCGAATCACCGTGATCCTACCTTGCACCCCCGTCTCGACGACTGGCGCCTCGTGGCGGAGATGTGCACTCACGCCGCCCAGTGGTTCGCCGGAGTTAAGAGTGCACCCTCGGTGAAGGAGATCACTCCCACCACCGCCCTCGTGGTTCAACTGCACCTTCGTAAGCATAGGGCGGAGGCTGATGGCGACCACCCCGATGCAACAGCAGAATTGGTGAACCGAATACCCGCCTTTTTGAAGTACACTACCCTCTTCGAGGAAACTGTTTGTGCCGGGTTCAAGCCCATGCTTGACCTCATTCCCAAAGTAAGTCCCTTGCAGTTTGGGTCTTCGCAACAATAATGTTGGGTGTTTTTAGATAATCCAGAAGGTAACTTTAAAAGGCAAAGTCAAAAACAGACAGTTCTTCATAACTTCGTTTTGAAAATTCCTTGAATAATAGGGAAATCAGCTATAACAAAACTTTTTCAGGCTTTCAAGTCCTTGGCTTTACCGCCTACTTATGCACTGCTGGACCTTTAAATATTTAGGAAACTAGTTGTTCTGGTCAAAAAACCTTCCACTTAAAATAAACTGTCAGAATCGGTGTCTGCCTAAGAGAAGAGAATGATGCTCGAGATGACGCCATTACAGTCAGCAGTGGGGATGTTTCCCTACCAAGCTGTTTTTGTCATTGATCAATAGTGATGACGAACCATATTTTTCCTATTATCTAATCAGTCATTTTCTCTATGTATCGGGTTTCATCACTTTGCTCCAATTGTTTTCTATGATGCATTATCATGGAACGTGTTTTTCGCCTTTGTATTTCTCGAAGGAAAGGTGTACTTTTCACTTTATAATAATTTCCATGTACCTAGATGTACCAATACTCCGGGGACTGGGATGCAGAAAGCGTGGCTCACTACATACGCATTGAAAAGATTTTGTTGTTTGGTGACTTTCTCTGCGGGATTGAGCCACCAGTCCTTTCTTATGATGTTGACAAGGCCATCTACGAACCAGTCGTCGAGTGTGAGTCTTGCGAGCAGGCACCGATCAAAAAGTCTCCCTCATGTCATCAAAGCGACTCTGAATCGCTGACTGGTAGTGATGCCGAATCTGAGGTGGACGTACAGGTATTTTTACGGCGTCATGGCATATTTTTAAGTCGTGCATTTGCTGTGACCCAAGATGTCCACTAATTCTAAGCATTTCTAAAAAATACGTTCGGTAGGTCACACCTAACCGTAAGGATTCTCATCATTTTCTGTAGTTAACTCTATTAAATCATTTGACATCACGAAATGTAGTTCAACAGCTTCCCATCACGCATCCATGCAGAGTGGTGGCAAGAGTGCGACAGCTGCGTTGAAAGCTGAGAAGGAGGAAGGAATCGAGGAGAATGAAGGTGGGGAAGAGATTTGCGCTCTGCGTCGTCGACGTGCTGTGCTGCGGAGCCAGCTGACGGAGGCAAGACGCCTTGAGGCGTGGCGGCAACAAGCAGTGAGGCAAGCGGCTGCGGGCGGTCCGCGTGGCATCGAGATTGAGGTTAGGCCCATCTACATCCTCCCCGATACAAACTGCTACATCGACTGGCTGGAGGGTGTCGCACGTCTCACCCAGACCTCCTCTAATTACACCGTTTTGGTGCCCATTGTTGGTGGGTCCCTGATCCATTTGTGCAACGCAATATTTCATTTGCTACTATTTAACTGATACTTTTAATTTTCGGCTTAAATAAATTCAAATTCGATTATTTTTAACATCTTTTTATGCAATGTTTACGTAGTCAAGCTTTTTCGGACCCTGTTTTGGCAATCGAATGCTTATTTTTTTAGTATTTCGTTATGATTTGATCTTTTTCAGTCTTCAACGAATTGGACTATTTGGCATCTCAGGATCGGGCATTTGCTTTTAACTCTATCGAGATAGCTTTTGCACAGTATCTTACTAATCCCAGTTCTACCAGCAGTGAGTTTAATGGTAGTAGTGGCGGTCGCGCCAATCTAATTCAGGAACGTGCAAAAGCTGCCATAGCTTTTTTGGAGGGCGAGTTCAACCGCCGAAATCCACGACTACGCGCCCTTACGGCTAAAGGTAGTATGTTGGAGACTATTGCCTATCGTAATGAGGCAAATGGAGGCAAACAACCCGGCCAAATCAACGATGACGTGATTCTCACCTGCTGTCGGCGGTTTTGTAAGGAGGTACTGACGCAAATTTCCGCCGAGGGGAATCTTGTATCAACTGCTGAATCGAAAAGTAAGATCCACTGTTTTGCTGACGATGTATTCATATAACTTCAGGATTTCCCTTCCTAATTGTAATCGGTCAAACTGTACTGAAGAACGTCGTTAAGGTACCAAGTTAGTAGGAATCATTTTTGAATACCTCGTGGGATATTGGTGGTACACTTTTGTATTGCTTCTTACTTTTCTGAAATGGGAACGTATTCCATGGAACAATGAGACCCAAAAACATTTATTTTTGAAGGGGAGAAAAGTATGTAAAGAACCACTCCATCTTAATGGAGCTATGTTGCTTTGTAGATCAGCCAATGCGTGTAACAAGAGAAGTGGTGCTTCTCACATCAGACCGAAATTTGCGTTTGAAAGCACTAAGCTTGAACATACCTGCTCGTCCACTTCGTCCATTTGTTGAGTGGTCCTCCCTCAAGCCTGTTGCCGTGTCCGCAGTCTCCTCTCTCTCTAGCAACGACGTCGACCCACCCCTCTCGGCTCACACCAGCAGCGGCCGCTGGAAGAATCGGAAGCATCCAAAATAGCTGTAGGCAACATTGCGTATCTCTGAGTGTTGTGCCTCTGCCAATTTGATGCCACTTGATTTGACCTCTTCTACTGATTGGCATCTTCAAGGTCGGCACTGTCCGGGAATCATTGCTGAGGTCCTCTGCCTTTTCTTCTGTGTTGTTTCTTCACATAAACAATATTTTATAGGCTGAGAGAAAATTACTGTAATTCAGCTCATTTCAATTTTAGTGTACCATTATATCAACATGTATATTTAATTTTTTAAATACCTCTTGTTTTGACTTGTGTGTTTGTGCGAATTTTGGGATTTCGCGTCAAATGTATGGCTACCTTGACACACAATTGGCTAAGGACTTACATCTAAACAATTTTGTTGTTTTTTCTGTCAGCCGAGCGAAACGGTAGACATCAGGCCATCAATTTTGAGCGTAATAGCGATACACAAACAGAAACAAAAAATAAGATGTAGTACATCGTAAAACTTTCTGTTAACGCGCCTCAGATATAGTTAAGGCTATTTGTCGGACCCAGTGGTCTGAGCTTTCAACATTTTCCAAACATGCTCGCAGTAACCTGGTCGGTGTACTCGTAGTTCTCTGCTGTTTAGTGAATTATTATGAAAAGGCATCACCACTACCGTCACCGTTTGAGATCAGAAGAATGGACTATTGATGAGGCATGACCCTTGGGTCTTCTCCCCTAGATGGAATCAGAGCCAGCAGGTGCAGTTGAAGTAATGGATACGGAAATGTTAGTTGCCTCGATACCTGAGCCAAGTTTGTTCGCCACGGCCCCCTCGACTGCTAGCGACGCCGCTCGCATTGCCTGGGAGCACGCCAACGAGGTGAACGAGATCTCGGACGAGTGCCTCAAATATAATGCTGCGGTGCACCAATCCATCGTCAACGCCAAACCCTGGACCAACGATCCGCACTACTTCAAATCTGTCAAAATTTCGGCCGTCGCTCTCCTCAAAATGCTTATTCATGCTCATTCTGGCGGCGTGTATGAGGTGAGGCACTTTGACAAAGATGCGTATGAAGTAGCTGCTAAGTTCGGTTATTGTTTAATTAGTATTTTCCTCTGCTCAATAGCAAAATGTAATATTAGGGCTTTTTTATCAACTGTATTTCCTATATCCGAGTCTGATCAATGTAAAATAGAAATAACGTGACAATGTTCAACTTACGATTTAGGTAAAGCATTTGTATTTTAATTTTGGAGAATTAAATTGAGGTTTTTGACGATTTCAAGAAACATTAGAGGTTAGACAAACTATTAATAATGGTGACAAATCACAGTTTTATAATACATTGAATCAGTAGGCTGTGTTGTATGAACTGGAATTTTTTTTCGTTTTTCCTGCAGATAATGGGAATACTCATCGGTAAGGTTGCCCACGAGACCATGATCGTCATGGATTCCTTTCCCCTGCCTGTACAGGGAACGGAGACTCGAGTTAACGCGCAGGTAATTTATTTTTTGTGTGCTCAGCACTAAGTGCTGGAGCTGTAAGCTAACCAGACTAATTCTTCAATTTACGGCGTGCTTCTATTTGAGTGCTAAATAGCACTGTCATTATTTTAAAACTGGATTTTTAGTGTGTCTGTTACACATTTAGGTATCTTTAATCAGATGGTATTGATGCCATGGCTTTGGCTATATGCTGAAAGCGTTAGTTTGTTGATAATAATAAAGGGATTATTTAAATGCTAGTCCGAAGCCTATGAATTCATGGCCTTGTACACTGAGTTAGTCGCAAAGGCGGGACGTCGCGAGAATGTACTTGGATGGTACCACTCTCACCCCGGTTATGGGTGCTGGCTCTCTGGCATCGATGTGTCCACTCAGCACACGAACCAAACCTACCAGGAACCTTTCGTTGCCATTGTAATTGATCCAACTAGAACTGTCTCCTATGGAAAGGGTAAGCTGAACTGCTGATCTGTATGCCTTACAGTGTGCACAGAGGGTTCCTTGCTGAAATATTTCCATCCCGAAAACCTGCACCTATATAGGGAAACTAATTCTAAAAGCCACAAAATCAATCGCGTCATTTCTACTGTTGATTCAAAATTTTCGTATCGGTACATCATAGGTGTATATCGGAAGATTAAGTTGTGACATCGCTTGATTGCCTTTACCTAGCAAACGTTGAGAACAAATTTAATTTCCATATTTAGTTAACCTCGGTGCTTTCCGTACATACCCAGAAGGCTATAAACCACCAGATGAGGGACCGTCAGAATACCAATCTATACCTATGGACAAGATTGAGGACTTTGGAGTTCATTGTAAGCGTTACTACTCACTTGAAGTAAGCTACTTTAAATCATCTCTGGAGAAGAGCATAATTAACATGCTGTGGAACAAATACTGGGTAAATGCCCTCAATTCTGATAGCACTGTTGCTCAATTAAATCACTTAACCGATCTAACGAGAGATCTTGCTGATAAAGTCGAGAACGCTGCAATTAATGTGAGTTTAATTCCTTCATTTTGACGGAAAATTTAAAGTTCTACGCTAACGTCTTCCCTGAAATCTAGGTTGATCGAATGAATTCTGACAACGGAAGACTCCAGGATAAACTGGCCAAATGCAGCAAGGATGCATCCAAAATTTCATTGGAACAAGTTAATGCAATTATTGGACACATGATCAAAGATGACATCTTCAAGGTTTATTAAAAATAGATCAGCTACATATTTAACAAAGGTGGTGAAACACTAGATTTTTATTAATCGCTAAATTAAATCAAGTTAAACAATTAGTTGAAACTTCTTGATGAAGTTTACGTGGGAGATATTCGGAGCATAAAAATCTTGGGCCCAGTTTTTCGAGACATTGTATTTCCGCTTTTCGTTGCGTAGCCTCCATGTACTCGATCTGGTTACGGTTTGACCATCAGGTGTGCTGCTTACTTCAAACTGCAACTTCTTTTCCTCTTTGTAGTAACTCCTCTCCTTTATGCTTTGGAGCACCAGTTTATCTGATTTAGTTATCTGGAGAAGGTCTTGATTCTTTACCTGCAGCCTATAAGAGATAAAGGTATTGGAAGTGGGGACGTACATTGATGTGTCTGACGGTAATAGTCCTAATAACTTAAGAGAGGGTATACCCAGTACGGTACCCGAAGCTGACTTGAGAGCTGGATTCTGCAAATTTGTGGAGTGCGTCAGCTCGAATTTGCAGCTTACGTGAGACCCGTACTTGTAGGTGAGGTATATACCGAACCCTAAATTTTAGTATAAATGGGCATGGCGTTTACCGTGTGGATCTGCATCAACCAGCGCAAATATGGGTATCTTCGGATATTTCTGATAAAGTTTGCATAGGAATGAACGTGTTGCTAAATCCGGATATCCTTTGGACTAAATGAGAGTAGATGTATATGAAGGTAAAGTACTGTTATGAGAACGCATGGTTGGTATTCAGCGTAAAATTCGCTCATCATAATGGTTTGGAATGTTGCGTCTTTTTCAATGACAATTATGAAGTTGGCGCAGCACATTATATCTTCACTTAAATTCGTAATAAGTGGAAACAAACCATTAACATCTAGGAATAGGCTGGGTAAGCTGACACCCTAAAACAGATAACAGTTTTAGAGTTATATAAGCGTTTGAAAGTGTCCAGATGCATTTGTGCCAACTAAGGAGGCGCACCTCTCTTGAGGTTTTAAACGAAAAAACGATGTCTTTTTCCCCACGTAGCCACACGTCTCCATAAGCTATTGACTTAGATGTTGCAATCTGAAGGTAGATCAGGGAAGCTCATACCGTGTTAAGATCAAGTCGGTTAATCCTGAGGTATTCACATGTACGAGTTAAGAGCCTATCAATGACAGCTTGCTTCAGGAATATCCGCGGGTTTTCGTAGTATATTGACCTTTACAAGTAAATTTGTTAGCAAACTACCTTTTTGTCACAATGCTACGGTTCTTAATAGCTTTGTACACAATAGAAAGAAAGAGGGATATTTGTGCTGAAACTATATTTAAAACAAGAGACGTTGATACCATGTACTTGCAAGCGATTGGTGCAAAAATTAAATTTTTTTAGAAAATCCAGACCTAAATCAGTACCACTTGTTTCATTACGGTTTGCTAGAACCACGAGAATTTGAAACACTAGCTCCTCAATCGACGAAAGCACATTCATTCATCAAAATGTTGCGGTAGTAGTGTTTTAATAAACGGGATTGGTAGAAAAAAGCACAGCTTAAATCTGTCAAAAAACGGCCAGTGAAAGTGAAAATCCTGAAAAAGTAAATGTTGCAATGATATAAGCAGACAACTGTTGCTGTCGCACTGAGAGATAGACTAACCGAAGTTAAATACAATTATTCATTTATTAAAAGACCCAAAGTAAAATATTATTAGATTTTTACTTTTTAACTATGTTTTGTGTTTTTTTCATAAATATAACCAGTATTTCAGCACTTGACTTAATTTATGGTCCATTCTCTCAGCGACTTATTTGGAATATCCAACGATTTATTCTTTTTGATTGCAAGAATTTCGTAGAATCTGTATGAAAGTCTTTTGCCACAAGTGCTTGTTATTAATTGCTGCTTCATTTATTTGCATTTTGTTTTAGTCCTTCTCTATACAATTAGGTCAGTTCTGAAAGTGTGTTTGGGTGTTATCGTGCCCATGGGACGGTTATCAAAATATTTCACCACTTACCAAAGTGAAAGTGACGATCTTCGAACCTACTGTTTTTTAAAACGCGACCTAAGTTTTCTTGAAGTAATTAGTTTTTTATTTTTTTTTCTCCTAGGAGGAACTTTTTTCAGGTTTGTTTTTTTTTATGTAACTTGAGATTTGAAGTAATAGCAGATAGTAATATTCAAAACATAAGGCACTTTGAGAATCGTCAAAAGATAAATAATGTCTTGCAACGTTTTTATGGACTGCAACTTGAAATCGAGCAGATGGAAACAGGCATATTAACTCTAATCTATATGTTCTCTAGCTATTGCAAGTCGCTTAACCAAACGCACCCTTATTTCTGAAGAAGTTGAACTTTTGCAGGCTAGTCTTGCGGAAATTTGCAGGTTCTACTACATTGGCTGTTTATTTTTAGACGACATTTGAAAACGCTCAAAAAGCATAGTGCTTTTAGTAATCTAGAAAAGTTGCCCTGAAATCTTGCCCCTCCTTCGCTTTTTTGATAAACAATTTTTAGGCGCCTCTTATGTTCTTTTAAATATATTTGTGTTCTTGGGGTTTTATGGTCATCTTTATTTTTGATGATTTGCTATCACAAAACCTTTTCAGAGTATCGATTTCAATAGCGTTAAGAGTTGAAAATGGCACTAAATACAGGGAATTTTTTTAAAATCGTTAACTTTTTTTGTATTTTTTAACAGTACAAGAAATTCTCTTAACCAGTATAATTCTATTCAAAATTTTTGGTGTTTGGACTACCTAATTTAGTATTGCCTTTGAATTCATCATTCAGAAACAATGTGCATATCCTCCCTCTCAATTTTAACTAATTGGTTGGAGAATTACGGACTAATGTGGTCCACTTTAATTTGGTAATATAATCCGGTTCGTAGGCCTTGAGGTTTCTTGTAATTTTGGTAATACTTTGCTACTAATTTGTACAAGTACAAGAATATTTTTCTTGGTGTGAACACTGGTGAAGGGGTCCTCGCTAATTCAATCGATCATGGGCTTGGATTACCACTTCAGTCGATATGCTGCATTAACAGTTATTTTGGAACCGCACCTTATATTCATTAAGCTTCTTGCAACCTATTTTGATTCATAACCGCCACTTTCCGAGAAAATGCGAATGTTTGCCTTTAGCTCGAATATAGTGGGTCGATTTCCCTTTTTCTGCTTTATTTGTGTTTTTTAAAATTGCGTGCATTGCTAAACTCTTGATGATAGATTTTTTTTGCTTTGAGCACGGGATATTATACTAAAAACAAGTGGTGGTGTTTGTCTTTATTCGAAAGATCTTCACCTTAGATCATGACGTATAGTTCTGAGGAAAAACCTGAATATTTTTAACGATTGTTAGTAATTGCGTTTTACAGTCTTAATTTTTTTAAGGCTATTCACAACGAGGACATTTTATTAAAGCATTAGGCTTGATTTCATCCTGTTAGTGTCCATTTTGTGATGTTAGTGATTGGTAACTGGCGCCTATACAAGCAGGATTTAATGGCGCATATTCCTCCTTTGAGTGTCCAAGTGCGTGTAATTTTTATTGAAATTGCGTCAGATTCAAGTTAATCAGACCTAGACGTCGTAAGATAAAAGGGTTTAAAATTAGAACGTCGGAATTTTTGTAATGTGAGAAATGCTTGTCGTACTAAAAGAGTCAAATTGTATGGGGGCACGCCTAGTAAATGGGTTTAGAAGAGTTCTAAATAAAGCTTTTAATGGGCTGTGCTTACCTTATATAAAACATTTTGGGAGCGCGCCTAAAATAGACGCCCCCGCGTACGTGTATGAACGTGCAGGCATTCACGTTCCTCCGCCTAAGCGCTCCTCATTATACGCTGTGCACAGGGCAGAGGAAGTTCTAAAAATAAACGCAGCTAAATTGCTTCGCTGTTATTGTAAGTGAAGGTATGATTAGGGGGATGGAACAATGTGCATCTTGAACTCGCACGCGTGGGCATGCGTACATGCCAATTGGACCCAAATGTAACCCAGAGTAGAAGGTAGTATTTTGGCCAAAATTTGATAAAAATTATGCCAACTGGTATGCAGTGAGCAATTCTGTTAGGCCAAATGATATAATTTGTCGGCGCATAAGTGTCAAACATCTCGTTGTCATTTTCGTCGCTGAAGGTTAGAGAACTCTTGAAATGTAGTGCTTTTGACGATATTCAAATATGAATAGCATATGTTGAACAAAACAGTTTGAAAGTCTGGAACTTGGTAAGCCGAAAAGTTACTGAGATCAATATTATGCTTCCATGTGCTTGGACATAGAGAGAACTTTTAAAGAACCGAAACAATGCATTTTTAAGTTAGGATTAATCTTAACCTCAAAATACGTATCTTGAAGCTTGTCGTTTCTTCTGGAGGGACCTTCAATTGTTGACAGAATAAAAAGGCTGCGACAAAACCGAGTAAACATTTGAGCATTACGGGGGAATCCGACTCATTCACACAATTAGGGAATCATTAAAAGGGAAAATTGAGAATTTTATTGGAAGAGTACGTTTGGACACTTAATTCAAGCTTTAATGAAGGATCTACTTTGTAAAGCATGATTATTCGCAATTTGTTTAATAAAAATAGAGCAGTGAATTGGAATGCTCATGCCGTACCCTCATCAATCAGCAATTTATTTAGCAATTAACCCAGACCTAATGGTGAACGTACGGGGCTACAATCACTCATGCTACTTGTTCTCAATGATATCAACTCAAAGAGGCTTGCAAATTCGCATTGGTTAGCTAATGCAAGTAGTGTGGACCAGCATTACTGTCACATGCCACATTTCCACCTGCTACACAGGCATATTTCAAAAGCGTCGTCTTTTGATAGGTGATGAGGAGTTGGTATACATTGGACAAACTTGTGATGACCCACGGCACAACGTACTATACGAATCCAAAATTATAACTTACTGCTTTAGTCAATCATTTTAAGTGAGGAAAGGTATTAAATTGCGCAATTGGCGGCTCGAGCTTTCTGCTTTCTGATAGCCGTACTTTCTATTGAATTACAGCAACTGTACTTCTAATCCACGGAGAAAGAGGTTTTTCGGAAAATTACAATTGGTTCATCGGTAAAGAGGGGTCAAAAGTACGTCGCAATCATTGGGCATAGTCAATGTTTCCCAACAGGTTTATAGCAACACTAATATTTTACAAATAATCACTTCATAGTGAACAATGGTATCATTCCCAATCCCGATTAACATCCTGAAGGTAATTCAGCCGCTTTGATTACCCTGAGGACATCAGTTTTATTTACACCTGGTTTTGATAGCATAACACTACCTAAACATGTTAAAGTTACCAAGATGACGATAAATTTCGTCTCTATTTATCACCTTGATTCACGCCATTCCCCACCATGAGTGTTAAAATGGCCTACCTGATCAAAAGCAGGTAAAGGCCAATTTCACATTTTTTAATTATTTTTTTTTGAAATGGAAATGGTAATGTAATTACGCATTAGGCTAGACGCTTCTAGTAGATGGACGTGGTAAAATTGAGTTTAAATGGGCAGATGCGAAACGATGGGTGATAGTCAATTCCCCAAATTACTCATCACTTACTCGTGCTCTAGAATGCGGAGTTTAGTTTGCTCAAGTAATTACCTATTTCTCAGCAGATAATTTTGAACAAATTAACTGAGGTAGACAGTGAAGTTGTCCTGCCTCAAAAAGATGTCCGTCCCATTAGCAAAGCAGGAAAAAGTTAATACTGCTTTTTTAGGTTTTGAAATGTATTAATAGATGCCTTTTGTTTTAGCGAGACTATGTGATTTAATATTTACTTTTAATTGTTCTTACGTAAAAAAACAAGCAAGAAGTAAATGGAATGTAAAATAAGTCATAATTCTAAAAAATAGGGGAAAATCTTGATGATGCGCACGCTGTAAAATAGCGATGGTATCCTTACTTGTCAAACCGGTGCAAGCGTTAACGTGGGGTTGGGAAAGTGTTCGTGAGTTTGCGGTGATTGAATACTGATTACCATAAAATTCTGCACGTGGAATGACAATTATTGACGAAAGGTGAATACAGAGATACTAAGAGAAAAATATACCAAATGATTATGTACAAGCAGATCGGAATTATTGTTAGAGTGCGACACCGTGGCAACTGTGATGAGAGAGAGAAAGAGGCAGAGAGCGAACAACAGGGTTAACTGAGACAACAATACATCTGAAAGATTTAAAAAATTAGAAATGTTTTGCGGTTTGGGGTGTAACGTGAAGATCAGCCAGGCCGACCAATGCGGCAGCGGTAATTAGGTCGGTTGATTCGACTGGAGCTGTGTTTACGTCAGCCTCCATTTTCGAGACAGCCTGCGAACACATCTCGTGAGAGGGGAGCCTCATCGATTTTGCTGTCATATCCAGTGGGACGTCTTCCAAAGCAGTGCTGATGTCGTCTTCCTCTAAACAGGCCTGCTTAACGAACTTACGTTGGTTGATTTGCTGGCTGTTGGTACCCACGCTTATAATCAGTTCTGTCTCAGGCCAGGAGTTTGGTTTATTTTTACTGTCCAACTTTCCTAGTGAGTGCTTGCACTGCTCCGATGTAAATTTTGTAATAGCTGACAAAAATGAGCATTCTTCCTCCTCTCCGCTCGGCAGCCAGACATCAGCTGGTGTACCGGTGATTTCAATTGCAGAAAGAGATTTCCAGTAAGGGGTGTGGAAGCGAGATACTTGCTTTAAAGTCTCTAGTGCAGCAGGATGAGGCTTTCTAGTTCTTTCTTGATCTGACAGTCGATACAAAAGTGGGGCATCTTGTAGACCAGTGGTTCTTTCATAAGTTGACCGTAATAGTGCCCGTATACACGCTTCAGTACAATCACAGAGACTGTTCAGCTCATAACCTCCCTCTAAGCAGAGAGCAAGGCGACCACCAGCAATGTCTTGATTCGTCAGCAGCCGCGTCATCCATCCAAAAGCTGCTGGACTTACATTATATCCACCTAAATTTGCCGGATGTCCTGGAGCTGCATCGAAGCCACAGGAGACCAGTATCATGTCAGGTTTAAATTCCCGTGCTATCGGCAAAACTATATACCTAAAAGCAGCAAGATATTCTGCATCTGCCATTGTAATTCCACTCGGCCAGGCAATATTAACAGTGAAGCCCACGCCCATTCCTTCACCAATTTCTTCTAGTGCTCCGGTTCCAGGAAAGAATGCTCCGTCGTCGTAACGGTGCAATGATATATAGAGTACGGTTGGATCTGGATAAAACACTGTCTGTGTCCCGTTTCCATGGTGCACATCCCAGTCAATGATCAAAATCCTTGTTATCTGCAGATGCTCATTGGTCCTTTTAATGGTCCCAGATTTTTTGACGACTGGTAGGCCACAGGAGTTGTATACGTTGGTGGACGGAGAGGTGGAAAGATTTGGTACGCCGCTGCCGCCCTCCTCAAGGGGAAAAATGGCGCGCACCAGTTGAGCTCGTCTAGCCGCTACAGCGACGGAGTTAAAGTAGCAGAAGCCCATGGCCTGGCCGGGTTCAGCGTGGTGACCGGGTGGGCGGACGAGAGCGAAGCCGTTGGGGGCTTGGTGAAGGATAATGCGGCAGGCGAGGTCGATGACGCAGCCGGCGGCGAGGCGTGCAGCATGAGCAGTGTGGCCAGCGGTGTGCCATGCAGTGTCCGAGTCTACTCCAATGCCTCCACAGGGCAGTCGACAGAGGCGCACGGTGGCCAGCAGGGAGGGATCGATGCGAGATCGGCTGGCTGGATTGCTACCGAATAGCACGGTGTATACGTCCCGGTGAGCCAACTGCAACTCCGTTAGCGCTGCCCGCCGGCCTGGCTGATGCTGACATTCTGCAGCGAGACCTGAAGACTGAAATCTTCATCATGCAAGTTAGATTGCAAACAGCAATCTGTGAGAATCATAAAGCTACTGTAGAAGTGTTTCAGAAAGCAGTTTCTTTAACTTTCTGGATAGTTGACTTCTACTCCTACGTAGAGCCTTTTTAAATTTGACTGCGCAAACTTGAGCCTTTATCCAATTGCTTTGCGCTTAAGATGTTACATGAGGTGAATCATTCCTAAAACATCTCAAGAGCTAATTGCTTTTCAGATGCCATTATCTTTCACATTTACCTACTTTACCTTTCAAAACTGTGCAATGTTTAATGGGTTGTGCTTTTGTAACCAATGACACAAATGCGCTTGAAGCTTTCATTAAGTTATAGCACATTCACTTCGACCATTTTGCTTACTTTATACGTTCACAACTGCAGTCTACCTGAGATGATCGCATAAGATACTGCCTTCATGCGGTTTTAATCCTGAAACTCTTAGAATAGATTCACGCAGATGCCTCCACTAATTAAGCAGCGTAACAAACTTCCAGGCTATTTCACAGCGGTTGCTATAATACCGTTTTATGGTTTGGTAAATTAATATTGGTCCCTAATCAAAAAAATGTACTGCCAAGGAAATGCAACTAAGAAATGTAATGTGCAAGTAATCATTAGCTAGCAAATTCAAGAAAAAGTCGTTTTGAACCCTATCTATCAGTAGACATGTTCACTATAAGGGCATGTATTTAAGCTCCTAAACATTAGAAATAAAAAGAGTAGTCCACCTTAATTGAACACAAGTTGTAAATGGGGCTATGCAGTCTTGTAGCCTTCGCTTGGACTTAGTATCTTGAGCTTCACCACAAAAAAAAGCAAAACAGAGCCTTCACATGCTCTTTTCTTGGAATGTTTCACCGTTGCCTAGTTAACATCATACTCTCAGGAGGCAAAATTGGGTGAGGAGTACTATTTGTGATGTCCCGAATATCTTAACTCAATTAGTATTAACCGTCTTTCTGCAAAAATGCTATTATCGTTTAATGATTTAATGCTACTGTCAGTACGTCGGCAGGCTCAGGCAAGAATTGCCTCTTTTCAGAAACAATTGCTACCATTGAATTCAATGCGCTTTTCATCAAACATGTGCCAAAAAAGGAAGTGCATTGGACCGCCTCAGATTCTGCCGAGTAATCTCGCATAAGAAGTCCTGCCAAAGGATGAAAGAGTGAGTAATAGTTGAAAACACCGAGTCCTAATGTTTATCTTGATCTCGAACCATGTTCCAAATTATTGAGCTACATCAGCTAGCATAATCGCTATCGGCGAAATTTACCGGTCAGATATTAGGAGGATCAAAAGTAATTTGCACACTTTCAATTAAATACCGGCACTAATTTGCTTCCCTTTGCCTTTTTGTATTTAGCAATTCTTGATTTTTTGTTAAGTCCTGCACCAGTGAACAGGCACCTTACCCGTTTTTTACTAGCATTCACTTCAGCATAATATCCAGCCGATTACATTATTCTCTATATTTACTTAAATAATGCAGGTGTATTTTAAAGCTTTTTAATGAACCCCTAAACACACAGTGGCAGATTCCACGCCTCAATAATTTGTAATACTAGTTATTTTAATGATTGGATCTGGCCCTTCTATTCATCACAGCAGTTTTACCTTCTCCGAAATGCAGTTAACAAAAGTGCACGAATAGACAGCCACTTACCATGAAGTCTTTAGAAATGTTTATTTCCTAAAAGAGGTACAACTTTCAACATTTTCACGAATAATTTGTCTGACAGGAACGACATTCGTGTTCTTAGACCCTTAAAAACAAGCTTATTTGAAGCCTTTGCTCCAACAACCTTCACTTGAAAGCAAAATAAACGTGGTTATCCTTCAACGCAATTACTTCCTGAACTTAAGTGTTTCCTTAAATAAGAATGGTGGTTTCTCCTGTTATTCTAAACGACTTTTCCAAACCTGCTAATGCACACTTAGAAGTGCCAAATGTATTGGCTCTAACGCCTCTCCCTGCAGCCGGTGTTCGTGATGTGCTCCGCTGAACTCGCAAAGATAAGAGGACTTCATAAATTTCCCATTCAGAAATATCTTCCGTAGGAAATAAGACCAGGTAACTACTTGAATAATTTTTGGTGTAGTTTTCTGAATACGCGCAGTTTGTCACGCGTAAATGTAACCTATTACAATTGTTTAAGGTTGTTATGTTTATATATTTTTATTCAAGAGGTTACGATCTCGTAGAGCAGCGAAAATGCATTTATAAAAACCATAAATAGAGCGCTTGGACAGTGCTTTGCCCAAATAAACTATTTTTAGTTGTTGTATATTCCGTCCAATGAAAAGATTCCTTTTCCAGTTAATCTAGCCAGGCATCGGCCAATGCTGCAACGTCCGACTGCCTGTGCGCATACAATATCACACAACCGGAAAAACTACGGAGGCTGCACATTGTGAATCTCTTTCGGTTGCTCCACAAGACATACCTATTGTTCCATTAAGCCGGGAAAACCAAATAACATGACCTATAGTGGGGTAGATTGCATAATTAATAAAGTTTTTACTTTCAAGATGCACTGAGGTACAAGTGATTAAATTAATGACTGAGAAAACATATGAAAGTCGCTCTGTGAATTGCCGCAGGAAAGGTAAGATAGCAGTGATCGATGGATCATAAGACTTGGTAAAAAGGAACGCTAAGGGGAGCTTAAAAATCTGCGCACAAGTAATCATGCCAGTTTTGTGGCGTGTCCTAAGCAGGCATGAGCAGAGCGACCCGAAAAGGCTTGGTTCTTAGCTGCGGAAAATGTGTTACTGATAAACGATGAAAAATTACATGTTTAGGAGGAGTAAGAAACGCCTACAGTAACTGAATACATGAGTGAAAGTATCGACTACAAATCGAAAACTATACTAGTATTTTTACTCTACGCGCAGGTATTTCACGAAAACAAGAAAACCAAATAAAGATGTAGGATGCAATAAATAAAATGATCTTCGGAAGGATTGGGAGAATATGATCGCATCTACTTATCCTGAGATGACCACTCCGATTATTTGCTACTAATATGTCCCCTAGTTCCTGACACACAACCACTGATTACAATGAATAGTGCCATTAAGAAGAACCTTAACCGTTCTTCTGTACATGGTTTGGCTATGACGCTTAGTGGGATGTTGACAAAGCTTCAAGGAGGAATGATCCGAAGGAGTGCACATCCATTTATTGCGCCGACTCGCTGAGTGAAGTGAACCCCACGGAAGCTTGCAGTGATAATTCATGCTGCAGTTTTTTACTTGTAAACAAAAATGTGTGGAACATTTCAGTGTTGGCCATTCATTGCTTGGTAAGTTGCAAAACAATTTACTCTTGCGCAGCACAATTACGGCACTACAGATTACCTATCGTACATATCTATCAAGCGTGGTAATTCCAGTTTGAATGAATGATATTATGCCAATTCGAAAGCGGGTCTGACTTTTAAATGAACCTTAGAACCTGTTAAGTGTTGTGTTTAGAAGTACAACTCAATTCTCTTATCGTGAAAACGGAGCCACTTGATAAACTCGTGCAAAACTGTTTCAGGTAGTTTCCAATTTTGGCGAACTCGTGATGGTCTGTGCATCCGGAAATAGCCCTGATGCCCTGTTTCTAGTTTAACTATCTTAATATGTCAGTATGTCATATACTAACGGCATTATATCAATGGATGATATTTTATGAATATGGATGTGATGGATAAGATGGGTATGATATACTATTTGATGTATATGCTAGGTTTATTTTCCCGATCTTTAATAATTTACATGTTTTTATTCTATCTTCCCATCTCAGCCATAATTCATGACACTTATGCATATAACTTTTGCACGCAGACCTTGGATACTTGGGCACGAATTACGCATTGGAATTCTGTCTATTACCATATCGCTGACTATTAGTTCAATTTGATTTCAAAGAAGCAGTGAACTCGGTTGCCAACACCTGCACGACAGGAAGCTGTACCTAAGACACCCACCATTGCATAGTTTAGGCATTCGTGGTGGTCATGGTTGTTAAAGAACAGGAGTTGGCCGTGCAAGCATCTGCCTTACCTGTATTCTTTGCCAGATGGCGACCAAACGCGAGGGGTTCTCCGGGTGATTGGCGTCGATCTGGCAGGTGCATCGGTGTGCAAGCATGCCAACATCGTAGGCCAAAACTGTTGTGAACTCAGTACTCTGCTAAAAAAAACAAAAATAAGCCACGTCTGTTTAGTTAAACCACCTAGACAGAGAGCAAATATGTAGTGATAATAATTTGGATTTCATTGTACCATAATCATTTACTAGTAGTATGGTCTGACATACCGTAAGGTATTATTATGGTTTTATCAGCTATGGCACTGTTCTTGGCCTACTCTTCAGAAGGCAACTAAGTGCTAGTCCTTTGCTAATAAGTTGGAACATTAATATATATTGTTTGTAGGAAATGCCCTGATGACTATTTCATTTTTTTTGAAACAGAATCGTTGGACATCAAAACTTGGTGATTTAGTGCATCAGTGGCGAATTTAAGTTATTTGTAGTATTTAGTGAGTAGATAAATGCATCTGCCTAAACCCGCTTTAATAAAATACAAGTAGTATCTACATTTATTTGCCACACCAAATGGTTTTCTCTGGATTTAGATCCATAAATAGCAAAGGAAATTCCAATGTCTACATACCATTTTATATTTGATTGGAATTAATACCACCCAAATAAGATTTCCCTATTAATTGTTTGCTAATTAGGGTAGCAAAAATGTGGTGCGTGATAAAATCATTGACCACCTTCAGCCACAATAGGCATTCTCTAAATGTAGTGTCCCAGAACGGTAGAATCATTTTCTTCGAAGTCAAGTAATTGGTATACATTACTAAAGGACCTCAATCAAAGACCCATTTATTGCATGGTCTTTACCACTTTTTTTCGCTTTGTATCGACCTTTATGAAATTAAAATACGGCGACTCATTCACTAGCTGATAATATCACCTAGTATTTAACGGTACTGACTACGAGTGACATAAATATGCAGATCAAGAGAATGAAACAGAACAGGATTTGCTAGCAGCATTTCCGTGACTGATGTAGTTGGTTAAGACTAACACCTTGTTGGACATACAAGTGTTTACCAAGAGATAGAAATGAACTGCAACATTTTTGTAACCAAGTCATGTATTTAATGAAACATCGCTCAGTCAGACAAGGAAATGCTGTTTTCAAAACTCTCAAAGAGCAGAGGGGGAATTCTGCAGTCATAATTACACGATATTGTAGAACTTGACAGAGCCGCACATTATACAATTGAGGCAGGTGCTTTATGGGACACCTAAGGCACTTGACTTAGGGCAATTCACATCACTGAGGTTTCAAAAGACTCCATCAAATCAACATTCTGGAATTGCTTTAGGGTTTTCGCATATCCACAGTGTGGATGTAGGTTGTGTGGGTTATAACAGTCACACTTCATTTGACAGGTAACAAAACGCATTATAAAGGAAACGTTTTCCACATCTTGATAAAGCCTAAAGCGAATGTCGACGTAATTTATTTGGTATTAAGGTAACAGGTATCGCAGTAGTACAATACACTTTGGTTTAAGTCAGTAGGCCTATCGTTTAAAATGTTTGGATATTTAGGGGGCTTGCATACTCAAACAATCGCATACAGTTGGTAAATTTTACACAAAAATAGGGACTTTGAACAGTTATTCTGCTTGTAGTAACCGAGAGGTTGTATTTCAAAACTCGTGTCATTTGGCCTGGCAACTAAGGCGAATAAACACGAATTAGAGTTTGATTTGATTTTTTCCCTGATTCACAAGTTGATTTTTGTACTTAGAGGAAATTATAGGCATTTAATCAGCTGTCTTATGCACAAAATGAATATCAATTTGTACTTTAACATTTTATACCAGATTTAAATGCCCTTAGATGAAGAAGTCGCGCCAAAACACAGAAAACCTTCATCTGAAATTAAGGTTGGAATTTACCTGTTCAAAAGTATCATATTCATACACTCAGCAGTTGGGTCTATCAATGAAATAGCTTGTAACAGACTAGATTCTTGCCCGGTACATAGGTGGATTGGATAGGCGATGGAAAGAATCGAACAAAAGATGGCGAGGCATAGACTACATTTGCTAAGTTACCGCGGGAGTTTCCGTCGTTGGTCGCCTTGCCAGTGTCACCACTGGACTTGAGGCGGTCCTCTCCAATAGCGGACTAGCATTTTGGTGGCCTCCCTTAAGGTAGAAGGGGTCACACACATTTCCAAGTGTAGACGAACCCGAGGAACGCTCACTATTTGGTGATTCACTCCTGTAATGCATGCAACGTCCACAATTAGCGTAGCGCCTATCGTCCCCTACTTATGGGGAAGTCACCATTTGTGCTTTGTAGATTAGTAAATATTTTTAAGGCGACACGAACATTATCCACCCTAAGGTCATATATAAAAATGGCTTATTAGGTTAGAATTCAGTGATTCTAAAATAAGTCATTATAAAAACAAACTTCTACAGAGAACTTTTTACCTATAAATCGGCTAACCTAGAAAACATCTCCTTAAAAGTACATCGAAAAGATAAGACCGCGACCTGGTGGGATCGAAAATTCATACCATCGACTGTATTTTGGAATATGCTCTGTGCAATTCCCAGGAATCAACTATCAGAAGATTTGATCGCGTGCATATATTTGCGGACTTCACAATTCCCTATTGCTAACCACACCTTGTCTCGCATAGCACTTCTACGCCTTACAAGTATTTTGAACTAAACTTTAAAAAATTACTTTTCAAGCAGTTTTCTACGCAGCTGTTGCATGATTTTGCTGCGTTGCTCATCCTCCGGGAGACCGGCACTTGTGACGGTTTTAGTGAATGACTTCAAGGTTGAAGTTGATGTCAAAGCAGCAGCCTCCATGGCCATTGCTGATGCGGCGGATAGCAGTCCAACGCCTACCCCACTGGCTCCTCCACTGTCGATGAGACTCCCTCCAGAACCTCCCTCACAACTTGTAGGGCCCCCAAAGTTCCCGCGAACCACATTCCCTGTCAGGCGAATCGGCGCTGATCGAGTGCGACTGAGGAGGCCAGAAACTTGCTTGCATCGACGATAAGGTGCCTGGCCTGACTGCTGCCTACCTCTTCCAAATTCACATAACTCTGCACTTTCTCCAGATAAGCCCACTGACTGATCCGTATTTTTTGGACTGCCTCCTTGACTATTCTTGCTTTTTTCTTGTTTCATATATTCACGAACTAAGCAAAGATAGTTTTGTATTGCCTTCAGCAATCCTCCAGTCATAGCAACTGGGTTAGTGGCGAGTGATGCGAGGAATTCCATCACAGCTTCGCTATCGTCGATGCATTTTGGTGAATTCGACATGGTCCCACGTGTCTCACTCATATCCACATCTACTGTACCAAATTTCATGCTAGTAGTGGCTGCATGAGAATCTGCTTCGCTTGCCACCTCCATTGGCGTACTGTCACTTTCTTCGGAATGCTTCGATAGTTCCTTATTCTCCAGTGTGAGCTGCGAGTGAGTTGGCAATGGTCGAGAGGAGGCTTTGTGAAGACCTAAACACTGCCCAACATCTCCAGCCTCACTGATACTCCGCGAGCCGCGTGTATGGTGCGCGAAATATGGGGCAGAGCTCACAACAGCCGCAGCAACAGCTAGAGGGTTAACACTTCTTCTATCGTTTCGGTTGGTCTTGTGCTTCAAGGCTCCACTACTACCGCGTATTTTAAGGCTGGGCTCTGATAGAGTTTTACGAAGCAACACAGATGTATTCCTAGGTGTCACCAACGAAGTATCGTTATTAGAGCGTATTTCCTGTCCTGCGGATAGCGCGATAAATGCCCAAGGTGGAAGATTGCCCATATGCTTTCTGGTGTCCGCAAGGAAGGCTGATTGCTGTCCGGTAGCGACTTGACCTGCCGTGCACATCATCTGTGGGATTCCGTAACCACTGGGAAAACCGCATTCGGAGTCGGTTGGGTGGTAGTCCCGATAGTTTGAGCAACCTGTCGTAGGAGGCCCCCAATCCTCATCCAACTCCATTGAAGGAGATACAAACGACGCCGTTTTAGAGCCTGTAATCGCACTCTCCTTGCTTCTCCTCTTATTAAGCACACAGTCTTTAAGTCGTTGCCTCACGTGCGTTGAAACATGAGACTTTGATATAGTTGTAGCAACCGTACTGATACTACCAGATGGTGTGGCTGCTGCAATCATGGTCTGCTGCTTGCCCACAGAGCCTGTATAGGACGATCCTGAGCTCTGTCGGCTAGAACCGGATGTCGATTTTATATGGTCGATAGGGGCGGTTACATTTGTGGTAGTGGAGGCGAAGGCTGAATGCCTTCGATGATCTGGTGTAAGTCCGAGAATTTGAGCTGGTAAGTCCTCAGAATGGTTAAGAGCAGCGGCCACACGATCGTAGATGGAATTACCGGACTTGAGGGAAGTGACTGTTATTTTGGAGGCCAAGTCACGGTCAACAGGCACCGAGGCACCAATGGCCGCCTCTAACACCTCCTTTTGGTGCTGTTTGGGGGCAATCAGTTCACTTAGTGAGGAGGATCGCTCGTATTCCTGAGAGAACTGCTTGTGAGTTAGAGGCTGTCGGGCTGAAGATGGCTCGTATTTTCCGGCCGGTTGCTGGCATAATGCGTCTGGGATGCGTTCCATGGAGCTTGTTTTCCTTTGGCGGTAAAAGTTTTTTGACTCGTTAAATTGCATGAGTAGTTGTTGCAATTACAGTAAAGTTGAAGCCCATTTCAACCATAGCAAGTTTCTACCTCACTTTCAAATACGCTTTCAAGCAGCATAAAGTCAGCTTTTAAACGCAAGGTGAGCCATGTCTTCCTAAAACGGGAGATATGCCTACGCACAGAACTGCCAATAGCTGCTTACGCGTGGACGACAACCAAGAAAATTGCGTGCACACTGGCTAAAGACAAGCTCGGTCTCTGATTGGTAATTGCGTAATGTAAGGCCATTTTGAAAGCTCTATGGCGTAGCAATGACCTTGAGATATGTGGTCTAAAAATACCCCGATGGAAACTTCTGCCACTGGTTGTTTAAGCCTCCACACAGACTGTTGCAAACAGTTTGGACGAAAGACATTCTTTCATTCGTTGTTTCACTTCTGCACAGTGGTCATTAATATAGCCGCAACGCAAAATTGTAAATTAGGAAAAAGGGGATCTGAGATTATCACTTGGCGGCAGATGCCATGGCTTTTGCACGCGAACAAAGGTGAGATAAAGTTTATCGTGAAAACTTGAGTGCCCAGTGGGGATAAATTAAGCTAATGTTGTCACAAAAGGAGCGAAGCGCTAAGGAACCTCTAGAAATTCATGCACTTGATTTGGTAGACTAAAAATAAACCGCAGGCTGGAACTCGAATGAGGAGCTGGCCGATGGAATGCCTCACTGTTCCATCTGCTTGGTACTGCACGAAGGGGCACCACCAAACATGAGATTTTAATGCGGCCTATGGCATTTATGGGCAGTTTTAATGCGTCAGTAACGTCAAATCAATCCACAAAAAATTTGAATAGTTTGACATAGATACACGAGGCCTTAGTCACGATTCACTCTAAATACGTTGGCTCGACAGCTAAAGAAGAAATTCAAATTACAACCCTTAAGTTCATTTAATGTGTTTGCCCACCGAATTGTTAAGCAAAACACTAAATTATCAGTTGCTGTGGTTTCAATTTTACGACAGTATTCGAGTACAGGATTGACTGCCATATTCCATGCTCGTTGCTGCAAATGCGTGAAACAAAAACAAATACCAGATGCAGAATGAAGAAGCAATCATTGCAGGCATGATAAGAGGAGCGCAACTTTACTGTAGGCACAATTTTTAACTCGTAAAATACCGGTTTGCATAAGTTGAATACATAAAACCAACTATAATCATGCAGGGCAAATAATACGATGCTAAGTCGGAGACTAGCTTGAGCTACTAAAGGAAATAATGTAACAAAATCGTCAGGATAATTTTTTTTGGTTCTAGCAGTAATCTACTGCCATTTCATTAAATACTATGCAATATTTAGATGTCGCTGAGTTTAGGGAGCATTTATTATTTTGACATCTTTCAAATATGCCTTCTAGCCAAACATTATGGTTATACGATCTAGACCAAAATTTCTGCAGAAAAGACTTTCCAATTAATTTGTGCGCTGTCCCTTTCCGACTATGTTGCATTCGCAGGGATAAGGGCCATTACGTTTGGACGGAGTTTTTCATTATGAAAACAATTCTAAATTGTTTAGTTGTTCACTAATCGAATTGTCTTGCTCACCCTCATCAAATTAAGTTTACCGGTCGTGCATCTAATTTACCAAGGGTCAGGTGGGTTCTCACAACTGTAACTTATAAGCCAAGAGACAAGTAAATGAAATTGTTGAAATCATTCAGATTTTGTTGTTATAAAATCTATGCTGATAAGGGTCATAATTGAGCTTGGCCACTTGATGTATCCGATGACCCACCATGACTATAGGGTTGGTCGCAGCCAATAGCAATACCATGAAGCCACAACAGTTAACTATACTTCCGATTTTGTTTAAGTTGTCATTTGTGCAAAAACGAGTACAAGAACCACGCTCCCAGTAAAGCACGTGACGGTAACATCTGTGGTATGTAGTCATGGCCAGGTGTTAAGTCTATGCCTGCATCCATACTCAACAAGGTTACCTGCCTTGTACCCCAGCTGCTCCCCTTTAATTCACGATGTACAGTTCGTTCTGCTTGAATATTACGATGTATCAACATTCATGGATGATACCTGTTAAAGGATACTATGTTATTTCAAGGCAGTCGTTTTAAGTAACGGTGGGTGTTCTATTCATATAATTTCCGGAAAAGAGAGGCACCACAACTCCTGGCGTAACCTGTTTAAAGGCACTCCCCTTCCCCCCAGCTCATATCACCCCAGAGGTAGATTTTATAAACAGGTATGTCGAAATAGTATGCAGGTAGCTGGAGCTCGGTGCTTGAGTCGTGACCGGGTGGCTGTGATGTCCGATTCACACGATCACTCCACTTGCTTGTGTCCAATCAGTAAATGTAGTGAATCCTTATTTTAGTAGGATTTGCAGCATTACCGCCTTCCATTCATAACTGCTCCTACCCAGACTTTTTGTGAGTTGTTAAAAATACGAAATATTTAGAACTTGGAAGAAGTTTTCAGTGCCATTAGTAGTTTGACGACAGGAGTGAACACCTTTGCATAGTTGTATTTTTTGAAGTTACATGTTAAGTCATTTGAATGGCAAAGTAGTGTATTTATTAAATCATACTCAGTAAATTGGGTTACTATTTACACTCCTTTGTCAAACAGTGTACCAAGGCAAGATGTATAATTATCTAACAAAACAATCGGTGACCTAAGCTTTCTCATTTTTGTATCGTCGATGCGTATTATGGCCCAGCTGCAATTTCCAATGCAGCCGCTGCTATGCTTTAATATTGGCCCAAATGGATGGACCTCTAACCGGAAATTTATGCTTTGATTTGTTTTTGGACAGTGCGATTGATTTGAAAGTAAATCAGATTCTTGTCAGTACCTGCCAGTGTCCCAATGATTGATTGGTTTATGTTGATGGATGTGTGATCTTATTACTTAAAACCTGGATGTAGTGTAATACCATTAAATTAAAGATCTGACGATTTGATCACACTGAGGGAAAGTAGTTAAGTCGAAATTTATAACCAAAGGTAGTGAAAAATGGGCCATTTTAAAGCAAACATTCTATGCCCAATATATACAGCTAAGTTTTCAAATGATGAAAATTCGAGAATGGAAAAGAGTTCAAAGAGCTTAACCACTTCATGCTTGAGATGAATGTTCACAATAATGGAAAGTGAGTGATTACAAAAGAAGACCCAAGAAGTTCGTCTAAAAAGAAGTATGCAATGACTACATAAGATAAGTGAATTAATTAATAACTGGACTTCTCCATTGTGCTTAGAAGGTGTCTCTTCGCTGATGTTCAATAATTTAAGCAGAACCACGCGCACTAGTTTTTCTGAAAAACACGTCTGGCTTTTACCCATGATGTTGCATAAGTCGAATCCATTCCTGTTTCTTAAATGCAGAAGAAGGTTTCAAAGGCCCCAAATTGTGCCTAGTATAACTAAATGGAGTCGTAGTTTTAATCTCCCCCAAACGCGAAAGCCACATTGAATGCTTACTTGTGGATTGTCATATGAGATTTTACATTTTAAGTATTTCCACCAATTCCAACCATTTCTGGCCTCCTCCAACTTTACTCCTGTGAAGCCCTTATGATGCCCACTGACATTCGAAGGTGGCACTCAGCATATAATGCTTTTGGCATTTATCCCTACTATACTGGTCTACCTTATCACCATTCGACAGACTAAATTTCCAAAAGTATGCCTGACTCTCTTGAGTCTAATCATTGCCTTTGTCTTCTGCACAAATCCAGTGTTTAACGATGCCTCAATAAACCGCTCGTCTTTATACCCGAGTGGATTGAGTAGTTGCAGTCGAAATTTCCACATATGCATAGATATCCTGAACCAGTAGCAAATTATCGAGCTTATCCTCGGCCACCACAGGTGGGACGACCTTATGCCCTTTTCCTCCATGTTTATCGTGTATCACCTAACAGTATGTGAACGAAAAAATGAATCCCCAGATATCCCAATTTGAGGCTATGTCAATTTTTTTGTTAGTGAAAATAAATAAATTGGCAGTGATTTCCCAAAATAACTCCCATCACGCGGGGTTTAATAGCAATTGTGAGGTAGTTTGCGGTGTTACCAGATTGGTTGCTGAATACCCATGTGCCTTTATTAAAGCGTAAAAGGGGTCAGACTAAGTATTAGAATATATTACTTTGAAAATAGGCAAGAATCCAACTCGAATTTTAAACAAACCCAGTTTTGTTTTACTTTCTAGTAATAAAGTGTGGAAATATGTTTACGACGTGACACTGTGAGAAATGCATTTGCGTGTGAATAAATAAACCAGGTCAGTGTATATTTAAGTCCGGTTATTCCAAGTTGTAAAAAAGTGGTATTGGGACAAGCGACAAAGCACGTTCTCCTGCCTGTGGCCGACCCCATTAGTGAAAGTGACAACGCTGACAATTAAATGGATTCAATATTTGCGAGTATTTTTCTTCAATTTCTTTCGCTTTTCTCCTCTAACGTAACATGTACCAGAGATAAATTCGGATTTATCTTCATAAAAAATAACATCTTAGTCCAAGTGGAGAAGCCACCTAAGGTTACTCCTTTTAAGTGTTTATAAAATACCTTGTCGCAAAAAATTTTCCTTAATTGCCTTCTGAACCAAAATTCTTGCTTGAACGTTCGTCGCACAATCTGAACGAATATTTAAAAAATCTCAATAAATGGAACAGATTTCCCTATTTGTCAAAGTGTTACTGGCACATGCTAATAAGGAAAGGAATGCTTCCTTAATACCCCCTTCCTAACATAACAGACTTGCTTTTGACATACGATTTCATATCTTACTATCATGCAAGGCAACACGGTGATTGTTCGTGTATGTTACTTCATGGAAATTTAGCATGCATAAGAGGAATAATAACATTAAAAGTTAACCTCACTTGATCAAAACCCTGGATAAATTAAGCGATTTGATATCCTTGAAGAATATTTGATGTAGGCAGCTGATTCAAGGCTTTTTCTGCTCACAGCAGAAGAGAAGAAATGTCCCACAGCAGAAGCAAATTTCGTGGGGTTAAATTTTTGCATCAGATAGCTAAAAATTTGGTGGCAGATTTTATGAGCAAGCGTATTCACAAATGACCTTATTCATGAAACATTTCCCGAACCCTTCAGTGATTATGTTTCTAATGTGGCCTCCAATTCTCATCTCATATAACACGGCATTTTGAGAAACTTTATGGAATCGAAAGCAACCTTTAAAAAAGGTGAGCACACTAACACGTTGGGTGTGAGGCGGGTTTCACTGTATTACTCTGATTCAATCAAGAAGCAATTCCTTATACTATCAGCTGTGTTTGGAATCATATCACTTACTCATTTTGATAACCTTGCAGATCCTGTATCTAACTTGAAGAGAAGACTAAAATTCGAAATATACGTCAAGACAGCAGATTAGTGCCATCGGATTAGCGGTGAAGGTCATGGTTTCTCCAACCCGGCCAAATTTGTTTTATTGCGGAAATTGCAAATCGGTCTTCCATGGTCTTGTCTACCACCTCCAACGCAGGCAACTAAAGTGAGAAGCTGTAGTGTTTCCATGACTCAAGGGTGAAACAAATACAGACTGTAACATGCTAATCTGCGATTAAATCACTCAGAAAGTCAAGCAGTTTCGTCGAGACGGATCCATCTATTTACAAACCACATCAAGATGTGTTTGTTGAGCCAAATTTGGTTGTTTTCCAGTTGCCGCTTTTCAAAATTAGCATAAGTGAATGACTTGACTGTGCTACAGACCAAACTTAATTTCAACTCACATTTATTGTCCGTCAATCACGAAGCCACTCATTTTACAGATGGCTGTTACTCCACTCATCATAGTTCTTTTCCCCACACACGTAAGCTCATTCCAAAGTTATTTTAGCTCTGGATTGTCTGTCGTTTGGCAGCTCTTATCTCATTCTTTTCCAAACATGCTTTTTATGGTAGAGCAAATAGAAAATGTGAATTGTATTCGACGCTGCATATTTTCTGTCTGTATCTATTAATCCGAGATCATGACGCCCATTCACGGCGGATTTTTCTGTTTGTGATAATACGTTGCCTCACATAGCCTAACTTCACCCTTAAGTAAACATTCACCAATGCGCGCACTTGCGTCCATGCCTGGTTGCCTTCTTGTATTGGCTGCCCCACCTGATGCCTTAGCATATGCAACCAACTGCCGTGACAGCACACGACAGTTCAGTTGCTGCCGCCGCCTAGGATGCCGCATGTTCAATACCTTTTCCACACATATGTCGTCGCTTTTGCCAACGGCGTGCCCTTTATAGGGATTCCCACCCTCTTTTGGCACTCATCCATATAAAACCCTCTCAGAACCTGAGGTTGGATTGCGGCTGATAAACCAACTCTTGTCAAAGTTGTTAATTCAAGATATTAATAATCACTTCTTGTCCAAATTTAAGGAAGCCAAAGCTACATCAGCGTTTCTAAGCAAATGCTAGCGAAGTAAATTTTGGTTAAAATTGCATCGTCTTTTGAAAAAGCAATGCTAAATATGTGCCCTAACTTGATTTGAAAGTGCTAACTACAGGAGATTCCGTCAAATTCAACCACTGAGCAACGTTATTCAACAAAAAGGGTTGCGCAATAATTGTTAAAAGTTATTGGTGGGACTATGGCAACAAATCACACTATTATGTAAAATATGACTTCTGGGTTTTGTATCTCATTAACAAAATCACATAATATGGCCCTAACTCAGTGGGTTTTAGCCTGTTTTACACACGGACAGGCTTTTTAGAGAGATCGTTGTCGTCAGACGGGTGGAAACAAATAGATTTGATACAATTATTTCTCTTAAAATAATATCTAATAAGCACTATATGTGGAGTACATAAAAAGTGTACTTAGGTTTGGTGGTTTAACTAGTCATGGAGGTGGCTCTCCTTACCAAGTTAAACCGTGATAAATGAATGCCTGAAAGGAGAACTCGATTCTTCAGCCAGTACTCCACCAGCGGCCGTGATTTGGCCACCAAAAGTGTAAATTTTTTACAAATAAACGCCAGTTCTTTGATTATATTGCATTTTCATGTTATATCCCTATTAAATGAAGAATACTAGCACATATGTAGACGTACACTTCTTTCAAATTCGTATTAAGACTAGTGCGTAGATTTATTCGTTTAGCTGCTGATAAGATTGGTCGTGCTATTAGATCCTTCAACTCAATACTTTGGCTGTTTAACTCTCGGTTCTGGTGAGTAGCCACTTTTGACTTGGCCATTGCACCTCGCCAGGTGGGCAGGCCTTCCGGCCATGCCAGTAGCCCAAATGCCTTCTGTACGTGAAATATATATATTCTGCCCGAGTATTATATCTTCTTTCGCCTTCGGGGAAGTCTCGGGACGCTACGTAACACAGCATCCGATAGTCAATTGAGTAGCATACTTAAGGGACGCCCAACGGTAAAAGCTATGTTCAAACTTTACTGAGGCTGTATTCGTTTTATGGGGGTGAGGTTTTTGCGACATTTGATAGGCCTCCAAAATTTGAAATGCGCCTAAGGTGTGCAGTGAGATCTCATGTTGAGCAACTACTTGAAGTAAGAATGTATCATCCCCAAGTTAGCTATTGAATGACTCGCATAATTGCCTCTCACCCGGGGTCTGAGAAAATGTTTGTTAGCTTGTCAATCGAGGTACCATGCCAGACATGAAGTGAACGAAAGATATAGAGGAAAATACGCCATCTATTTAGATAACAGGGTAACGGATAGTGTTTTGGGATTCTAAAAACCAGAAGGTGTTTAGCACAGGTAATGCAAGCAACAATGTGTAATTCTTACGTTGTTTTAATGTGCCTTTCAGGGAGGAGGCAAGCAGAAAATTCTAATCTCGTGACTGTACCCTGTGACTGCGGCTCCCCTCCTTGAACATTGTATTTTCCCTCTCCATCTTATCGTCTTAAATAAATATGTCTAAAATGAGTCAACCGGCCTTATTTAAGAGCGCTAGGAATGCATGCATGATTTTGTAACTGACAATTAATATCACCAAAACTGATATTTGTATTCCAATTTCGTTTTAGAAAGCAGTTTAAGTCACGAAAACCAAAATAAAGTATTCTCAATATTGATCGTAATTTTATATGTCATTAATGAACGCAGAAGAAGCATGCCAAAAAATTATCCGGCATTAGACAGAACGCAAAATCGAAACAAATTAGTTTCACCTGTCAATTTCTACCTTTTATGCTCCTGATGCAGTCAATATAGAATCAACAAGCTTTAATAAAGTATCTGGTCTCGGTGTTAATTTTTTTTGTGGTATGAAAAAAAAGTACATAAAACCGTTGGAAATGAAATGTTTGAACAGCTTCAGAGAGGGCGAAGATACGATCTAACGCCGTAGGCTCCGTAGGAAATAATAGGCATTTTCAATACCTTCACTTTCAAATGTTTCCTTAAAGCAATTACGGCTTAGTAATTTGAGTTGCCATGACTTCGTTTTACGCACTCCAATATGCGGTAATTACACCAGTGTTTCGTTGTCATGAAACTAATTACCGTCTTTTCCATATTCGAGTGTTACCAACAAGTCATATGTAAAGTATTGAAGGAGACCTAACTTTCTGGGGTTCTTCTTTGCCCTCTAATTCACTAGATCAAGGATATATACTCGATGCATCAAAGCAGATGAAAGTATGCTCTTAACTATAATCATACATTATATGAGCAACCCAATTAACCTAAGTGGTCAAAAAATCCAATATGTTCCAGAAAGCTGTTGTTGAAAAAAAGGTCAATCGGAAGCTAAAAATTTGCGCGAGTCCTCCCTCACGCTAATATCATTTGTGGCCTGTTAGTTGGCTTAGGTTCTTCAGATTTTGAGGCGGGGAGCTCAAGCTCACTCTTTATGTAAGTGGTGAGAGCTCTCTGCCATTTATATAAAAACACGAATTTTATATCTGAAAGAGAGTACAAGATCAAGGATGTGAGTAACACTAAATACGCAACACTATGTCGCTCAATTCGCCATATTCAAACAGCGCTTACCAGGCATTCCCCATAAGTCGTTCTCCTGGTCAGATGCTAAAAAATTGGCGTACCAAAAGTGATTTAGATATTACCGTCACCAAGGGTAACTGCGAAATTTTTCAGTCCTATCGCTATGTAAGCAATGTTAGCTAAAGTGTAATTCTGTTAAAAAAATTAGGCCTTTATTTATTTTGACTTAATAATGATATTAGTGGAAGCTTCCCTATTTATTTCTGTCTGATGTTGTTAAGTTAGTAAAACTGCCTAGCTCAGGTGTTTTAGGTAAGTTCTCATAGAAATTAAATGCAATTTGACCTAAAAGTACAATTTTAGTAGAAAAGTACTGCACTTATTTTAGGATTCTCATGCTCGCTCATGTGTGAAAGTGTTGTAACGGGTCATATCCCAAGTGGGAATAGCTGGCGGTAAATTTGGGGTCGATTATGTGTTCGCGTTAAAAGAAGGGCGAGCATGGATGCCACATCTGCTGCTGACCGCTTGGCATCTGGACATCGCCAGTTCTACACACTGCCCAAGATACCCGATCTGTCCAGTGTTGACTCAGCGATCTATCGTATCTTATCAAACAACACAAGATCAAGCATATCCGAAGGTCAGAATGAGGCGGATAATCGAGGATTTGAAAATAACGAAGATTTCTTCGATTACATAAATCGAAGTGTTATTGGATATAATAAAGTATTTACCAGTGTATTTGGCGATCGAAGAGGTATGAAATAAGGGTTAGCTAGGAGTCGAAAGTGATATGTGCTAATGTCAGTTAAAAGATGTTTTTGCTGTCTTTTAAAAGTTTGCAAATGTCCTTTTAAAAGATTGAGGCTCTTTAAGAAATATTGACTAGCAAGTATATGATGGCGAGCATTATAGTTGTGTGGTTTATTTCTATTCTTGCATATGTATCATCAAACAAAAATGGTTACTATTCTGACTCGGTTCTTGTATTCTCACCTTTTATTATGCTTAAAAGCAAATTGATTTTAGTAATATACTGTGACTACATTGCCTCGGGTCGTTCGCTGTCATTTATCGAGGATTTCATTTACAATGAGGTACTTCCTGATTATGGGAACACGCACACCATGACCAGCGTGACATCTCTACAAACAACAATGTATCGTCACGAAGCGAAAGACATAGTTAGAAATGCCGTCCGTGCCAGTGATTATGATGCAGTTTTCTTTGTCGGAAGTGGCTGCACTGGTGCTGTGCATAAACTTATTCACAACCTCCATCTAGAAAAGCCACCTATTGTTATTACAGGACCTTTTGAACATCATTCTAACATACTTCCTTGGAGACATATGGCTGCTAAAATAGTTCGCCTTAACACAGACAAGTGTGGGAATGTATCCATCCATCATCTAGAGGAGGCCCTTTCGGTGAGCATTTGGAATTATAAAAAAGTGATCCGAAAATCGTTATAATGGCTATCTTATTATCATAGACAGAAAGGAGGCGAGCAAATGAATTAGGCTGCTCCTTGATAGTTTGCTTGGCAGCGGCGTCAAATGTAACGGGCATACTGGTGGATGTCGACAAATTTTCTGCTCTGGTTCATCGGTACGGCGGCCTTGTCTTTTGGGACTATGCTACCGCTGCACCTTACGTAAAAATCGACATGAACCCGGTTGTCTCTGGGTGGGACTTTTATTTGCACTTGCATGACATTCGGCATTGCACTTTATTTAATTAATTATTCCCCTAGACCAAATCATGGCCTTGTGTGCAAGGATGCTGTGTACTTTTCTATGCACAAATTTGTTGGTGGCGTCCAAACACCGGGTGTGCTCATAGCGAAGAGGATTTTGTTCAAGGCGGGCGAAAGGCATCCTGATGGCTGTGGTGGTGGTAGCGTCTGCTTTGTTCGCAGGGATCACCAAGTCTACCTTAAAGTGAATCTCATTTCATGGAAATTTTCTGGGAATTTCTTTTTGACGCATTTGCTTTGAACGGTTTCTTTGAGAAATGGTTGGGCTAAACCATACATTTAACTTAAAAGTTTCTCCTTGTTGTGCTCTCCATCCTCTAAAATGAGTGTTCCTTCTAGGATGTGGAGGAGCGTGAAGAAGGTGGAACTCCCGCGATTGTTGAGTCAATTCGCGCCGGTCTGGTGATGCAACTAAAGGAGGCCGTCACTCCTGAAGTCATAGTCGCTCGAGAAGAAGCTATTGTCAAGTTTGCATTCTTGTCCATATTTTACCTCTTGTTTGAAAAGAGCAAATGCAACGTTACAAGGCTCTGTTTTTAAAATCGTTTCCTCCCTGCGAAAGTAAATCTACCCTTAGAATTACTGTCAGCACATGTACGTACGGTGATAATATGACCGTATTTAATTATGTTTTCATGCCATTATCTACAGGATGTTATCAGGCAGTAAATTAGTCCACAACCAGATAAAGGGCTTTGGGGACATCGCGTATCTCTAAGTGGCTGCCATTGTACCTTTTTGGATCGTTAGGCATTTGTGCCCCCCATTAGTTTGCATTATGATTACTTTCTTTAATTATGGATTACTTTTCCTATCTAATCTTAAATGTGGTAGAAATGGAGACTAGTGTCAGACAAAGTTGAAAGGGACCAGTATTATTAACGCTTTGCGTGTTTGAAATAAGTGTAAATCTGACTACCTACGGGCCTTCAGACGGGCCTGGGTGCGTTTCAAGTCCAGCCCCAACCTCCTGGTGCTGGGCGGGGACGAGGCGCCTCGCCTGCCCATCTTCTCCGTTGTGGTGCGTCACGTCTTTCCCGACGTCTTCATGGCTGGGAAGCAGCAGGAGCTGATGCCTTGCGATCGCCCCATGTTCCTGCATCACACATTCGTGGCGGCCCTCCTTAATGACCTTTTCGGCATTCAGTGTCGTGCTGGCTGTGTTTGCGCAGGTCCCTACGCAATGGACCTTCTGGGGATCGATGAGCCTCTTGCCAAACTCTATGAAGATGCCCTTGTCACCAGGTTGCTTAAGAATGTCTCATTGATATCGCACACAAGATTTGTTCTTCCGTGATCACGGTCCAATTGTTTGTATTAACTATGGTTAATTTGCCCGTTTTTGCCATACACCTTTGATCACATTGCTTAACTTGAGCGCTTATGATTTTCGCAGACGCCTCCCTCTTTTTCAGTGAGGTATCGGTTTGTCGCGTTCAAAAGACCTATGACAAAGCCTCCAGTGAAGTGCTCAGGTGGGTTATTTGTCTCTTTGGAAATTATTTTAGTCGTACGATCATGATTTCACATCTCTTAGGAAAATTCTCGCAGCTGTTTGAATATTCCCTTTTATCGAGGTTTTTTCGGAAAATGAAATGACTCTTAGCCTGCTTCATTCCTAAAATGTTTGCTACATATTTATCCGGAAAACTTTTTACTAAACTGCTGCGTTTTGATCCATTATTGCTTTGTTTACTGTTATCTGTGTGCTGAAGCCGCGATATTAATACTGTAAAAGTTCTCCGAAGATTTTAATCCGAAAATAACCCCTCGACTTACAGTTTTGCAGTTTTTTACCTTACATTTATTTATGAGTCATTACAATTGCAAAGTTAGTGCGTGCTTTCCTTCACCCGCTGCATTTTGAGGACAAAATTAGCGGTTGACAATTCGTATTATACATTATTCTAAAACAACCAAGTCTAGTTTCTCCAAATTCAGGCCAGGCTTTACGCGCTTTTCAATCCCCTACTTCATGTCTGACGAAGAGGCGAATTTTGTCCTTGAGGCGGTGTGTTTCGTCGCTGACTATGGTTGGGCTTTCCTGCCTCTTTACTCCTACGATGCCATGACAGGCGAGTGGAAGCATCGTCAACACGACCAACTGGAAGATCGACAGTGGCTGGGTCACATCAAATATACCAAGGAGGGCATGACCTGGCGCCGGGCTAAGATCAAGGCCCGTGGTGCTCTTCCCAAGAGTCTTCAGGTTCGCTTCTCACAATCTGTCTTTGGTTTCACAAATTCATCAGTTTATTTTTTGTCACGGTGGTTACTTTCTCGATCATTAATAAATGCTAATCTGAAATTCTGTTTTAATACATTTTAAAGGCATATTCCAGTTTAAAAAATGCCAACTTTCTACTTTTCGTACAGCGTTTTTGTTGGCACGCAAAACGCTGCAGTTTACAACACAACCCTGCCGAGATATTCGAACTTTTTTAAAATCGTTGTAAATTGTAGTAATGGTATTTAATCTTCTTTGTTAGGAGTGCCTTATGGCTGCCAAAGTGGAACTGAAGCGAGCTGTCGATTTTGTGAAATCTGCGGAGGTCTCCCCTGTGCCCGACGTCACCGCCAACTTCGATGCTATCGGCCAGAAACTCCGTTGGTTCGTTCTGCCCTGTGAAGCCGCTGCTCAAATGCGCGGAGAAATAAGTATGTACTTATTTGCTTATAAATAATGGTTGTGTTTAAAACCACCTTTATCCACAAAACGCAATAGAATTGCCAAAAGGAACGCGTCACTTTGAAAACCTCAACATTACATCCAACTCTTCTGATGTGCCTTCCAACAGGTCAACTGGCGATTTCAACTGGTCCTTCTTCACCTTGGAAGCCTGGCACTATGGATCCGTGTACAAATGTCCCAGCTTTTACTACTTCTCAAAAGAGTCTGACTTCTCATAGACGCAGTGCAGCTACAACATCCCCCATTGATCATCAGGCCACTCCAAGCTCCTCGCACGCTGCGCATCATCGAAGTCCTGTTGGATCAGCCTCTCCCCGCCATCGTAATCGAAGACCTCATTCCTCTTCGCCACAGCATCTATTTTCCCTCGCCAGGCCCATGTCTCCCAATTTCAGTACCCTTCATAATGAGCCGAAATCTCATGCAAAGTATAAAAACAACGTCCAACAGGAAAATAATAGCCACATTAATTGTGAATCTACTGTTCGAGTCATCAACCAAAGGCCGCGGTCTACCCCCTGTGATAGCACAGCAGGAAGGCTGGATAGCGAGGATCCAGGAGAGTCAAAGCTGGTTTTTAGGGAATTTAAGGGGCTGTATGATCTGTCCTCAATGACCAGAGGCTCCGGTGAAGCAAACCTGAGAGTGAATAGATGGGAGGAAAGAACATTGTGGCGGCGTCCCTTTAAGCAACTCTACAGACCATTTGTCAAAGTACGTTAATTACTTTTGTCATTAATGCCGTTTCCTTTTAGTTTTGATTCCATGCGCTTCCTGATTCATTTTAAAAGTTATCTTGATTGGCTTGTTGCCCTTAGGCCATCAAGGACTTTGACATGATCCATCGGGCAGATCGGATACTAGTTTGTCTGTCGGGGAGAAAGAACAGTCTCTCCTTGCTCCACTGTATGCATGCCTACCAGGAAGTGTGTCTGCGACGTCCCGACTACCCCTCCTTTGAAATCGGCGCCGTCACCGTTGACCCTGGCAGCTCGGCGTTCGACCCACGGCCTCTCATCCCCTATCTAGCGGGGCTGGGTGTTAAATGTTTCTACGAGGAACAGAGTAGGTCAACTTCATGCATCATATTCTGCTTTATTGTACTCAGTGCCTCTGCCGTTATTTTATTTGGCAGGGACGAATTTGCTCTGAACACACTACCAGTCTTAAATATTGGAAATCTCTCTATCACTTGCTGATTTTGTGTTCATATGGACAAATTATTTTTCGATGTTCCTTTAAGTTTGTACACTGGATATTAAAGGGGTGTAAAACTTGCACTAGCGCATTCTCATTGATTATCTGCTCAATATAGACTTTTAAATACCACCTCATGCCATCAAAAGTAACATACTTTTAGCGTGAACGAATAGTCATGCTAATTGCAGGTTGTAAGGTTGCATATCACTTGAACCCACTTTTCTGTCACCTAGATATAATGGCCAAAGCTTCTCAGCTTGGCAATCAGTGTAGCAGTATCTGCAGTTTCTGCTCTCGTATGAAACGTGGCAGAATTTATGCTGTTGCTCTGAGGCATGGTTACAATGTTATCGCCCTGGGACAGCATTTAGACGACCTCGCAGAGAGGTAAACTTTTTTTGCTTTTTCTACTCGACTCAAGCTCTCGTTTGTCCCTGTGGAACCATATTTCACCCGTTACTTTTGTTGGGTTCTTTTACATCCTTCAATATCAACGTAAGGTTTATTTACTCGCTCATTGCATTTTGATGTGCTTACAACACCGTTTGTTTATTCAAATGGTAAACACTTTTAGGCTTCACTTTGTTAGGTATTTGAAAATACTGGATAAAAATAAGTCACTTAGTTTGTGTCATTCGTTTATTTCCAAAGGGGGTAGTGATTAAAAAATACTGTCAGAAATTATGTATCTCACGGTTATGGCGCATCGGGATTGTTATTCGCTGTTTTTATAAGCTAATTGTACCTTTTTTTGGTGCTACCATTCATCCACACCCGTCATTCAAAAAGCTTCTTGATGTCCTGCTTCCACAAATCCGAAATGAACACAATGAAAGCTCATTATACTGTTCGGTATGTCCAGCTTGGCTTCACTGTATTGGGTTTATTGACATGGCACAAATTCCCTCGCTATTGCCAGTCTTTACCTATCTAGTCAGATTGTGATGCTAAATGTTTTACCAAAGTTTGTATTCATAGAGCATACCCACACCCTCTGTGCCTGACCTCGGTTCCTGACCTTGTTGGGTCACCACAGTGTGCGAAGTTCACAATTACGAATTTAGAACTACAATATTCAAAGCTTAATGTGCTCATTTTTGTGTAAAATGAAGAATTGACAAAGTTCGCCCATACTTGTCAAGCATTTTTGCTGTGTATCTGCATAATCGTCATAATTACACCCTGCAAACTTCCTCTCGAAGGCCCAGACGGAGTTTCATTTTCACAAGCGTCTACTTTAGGCTACTGTCTTAGTTTTGTTACGGCATTAAAGTAATTCAGTATTTAAATGGCTGTGAATCCGTTAAACCATAATGAAAAATTGTGGATTTTACAAAGAGCGGTAGAACGCTTCCATTTGTAAACCTCAGCTTTCTGTGTAGCAGATGAACAAAGAAGTGCCCGGCTCTCTTAAGCCACTGTTTATGTCTTTATTTAGAACAAGAAATCTTCGAGTAATTCGACCTTTTGTCTACATTCGAGAAAGGGTGACGCGGGCTTTTGCCGAGAGGGTACCTTCTTGCACATATTTTCATTTTGGCCAGATCCCACATCACTATTCAGTTGCTTAAATGCTCTTAATTGCTCAAAACTAGCGGTCTTTGGAATTGGTGTTTTAACCATACTCTTTTCCAATCAGGCGGGCCTTCCAATCATTCCCAAAAATTGTCCCGCCTGCTTCCAAATGCCCAAGGAGCGCATGCGAGCCAAGCGCGTTCTAAGTGACTACGAGAACACTTTTCCGAATCTCTTTTCGAGTCTCCAGGCCGCAATGTTACCTCTAATCGCCAGAGATGCAGCCTTGGGGCTTTCCGCGTTCGAAGATGCTGAAAAAGCCATAGCCTCCAAAGCCAGGGAAACGTCTGTCAACTCGGATTTTTACGAAGGGCAGCCCCTAAGTTGTCCGAGATTAATCACTAAATGACTTTCAACGAACATTATCCATCCTCGACTGTATTCTAAATTTGAGTAAAAGTGACATTTACTGCCACTTGGGAATCGTACGCAAATTTATTTCTCGAAATACATAGTTCATTTGGACTATATGTTGCATAAAAAAATAAGGGTCGGACTAAAGCATTCCAGTTAAGCAGTTGGACATGGACCACAGTAGCAGGCCGTCGGACACCACCTCCACTTTGGTGTCGATAGTCTGATTCGAAGTTGAGACGAGCTTTCCAAAATCGAGGATATCGTTGTCTGAGACTTGTAATATTATTCGCAATATGAGGCAAACCTAGGTTCCAACGAAGTCCCTTGGAGGTTACTCTAACTGGCCCGCCTATCGGAATGAGGCCACAGTGGAGATTTGTAGGACAGTTGGAAAGGTGTATTTCGTTGAATCCCTACTTAAGTGCATAACAAACGGCAGCTTACTTCATCAAGCAAACAGGAAATAGAGGATTCTGTCACAAGGAGGAGAGGGATGTTCGTTAGCCCCTTGGCGATAAAAAGTGAGTTTACTATGCCAAATTCGTGATCTGCTCGGCCACCACTGCCATAAAGGCCGACTATGTAATCAATGTCCGGTTTTCGGAGTGAACGGTCCGTGGAAGATTCTTTGCAGTGCTCGCCAATATTCTCAAGCAAAACCGCAATAGCCTTTGTAAAGTCTGATGCATCTTGATCTGGGGTTTCTATAACCTTGGTTGTTTTCTAAGGAGAGTAAGTTATGTGCAGTCTTACTTGTTTCTTGTAAAAAGACTTCACTTCAGGCCTGATAGAATCGAAATCCCCACTAACAAAGTTTGGAGTATGAGAGTCCCTTAAAGGACTATCATATATAATGTTTGCAAATCCATCGACGAAGATAGAAATTGAGGCTTTAATATGACCAGTTATGCAATAGAAATACCTCTGCAAAATAATACTTCAAATAAGTTCTCCAGACCGTTGAAGCGAGAATTCAGACAGATAAGACCGATTTTTGTGACTAGATACATAGCGTAGGTCCCACAACCTACCACGATCAACTATGGAGAATGGTTCAGCTCTCATAACGCAGAAACACCGCCGACGCAAGACTCAGACGGGGATAGGGTTAGACCCGTGATTAAGGTCGAATCGAAATGTCCTAGAGTGGCTAGTTTAAACACGAATAAGAGAAATTAACGTCAATTTAACAAAGTTTGACCTAGCTTATGTCAGTGCGCGAACCTCTTAAATTGGAGCTATTGTAAACTAGACACTATGAGATGGGAGGAAGCATTATGTACTGCGCAAACTTGTAATTAACACTGCTTTTTCCCATTTATAAGATACGAAATATAGTTCAACAATTCCCCCACCAAGGGTCTACTTCTTTTAAAGATACTGCTATAATTATAGCAAGAAAAATAGGTTTAAAATCAGGAAAACTCACATCAAGGCTTTAATGTTTTTTCATTAATTTTAACGTACACGTAGTCGACCTTACCATTCATTTTGCGTGACTATCAGACTTTTTATTCACTTGCAGTGTTTTGAGATTTATCTGAATTCGTAAATAATATTAGCATAATACGTTAGATGCTCAAATCCCTGTTTTGAGAAGGGGTCCGCTGTGGGTCCCCGTCACATTACCTCCGCTCACTAGGCGAGTGTCCCTAATCCGCTCTTTATGCTAAATATATCCATTCTACCTGAGTGATATCTCCTTTTGCCTTTAGGGAAGTCTCGGGGCGACACGCTGGTGGTAACGGTAATTTAACCCTGACTTGTTAGGAAATCTGTCCTACTTTGTATGATTAAGTGATCAACCTCAGCAGATGGAAGTGCATATGTTGTATCTGTCATCAGATGCTACCTAAGTGTAATACGATAGTGGTTTATCCCTCGGTTCTGGTGAGGCGCCACTTTTGTACTTTGAATTAGCCCCCTTGTACCTCGCTGGGTGGGCTGGCCTTTCGGGCCATGCCAATAGCCCAGACACCTTCTATGCACTGAATACATATTCTGCCCGAGTATTGTGTCTTCTTTCGTCTTCAGGGAGTCTCGGGACGCTACATAAGTCCCCTTTTTATGCAGAGACGCGACACTAGCAGTAAGTTATCTAGTAAAGTTCGTTGCCGAGTTGTCTACCGCACCTGTATGAATATATGGAATATTTAAAAACGCGATGCCTTCATCTCCATAATAATTTTATAAAGCCTAAACACATGGTTGGGCAGATCCAAAGTCGGAATATCGTCGTAAGAAGGAATTAGAGTGAAAGCATTTTAAAGAACCATGTTTAAACCCTGCACTTTGTTACTTGGCTCTGGATTCGGGTTAGTTTTCCCACAACTGTCATGGCTACGCGTGATAGTCGACACACCCCTTCCCTAAACCAAAATCCCATACAGAACAAAAGTTTAGCTCCAATAAAATTGTCGAACGGGATCAGTGACTTTGTGGTCAAACGTCGCATTGGATTTTTTGAAATTTAAAAGATAGACACTTAGGTCGTGGGTTTTTCCTTATATCAGTGACTGCGTTGTGCCGGTTTACACTGGATGTTGGCAAGGCAGCCTACTGAAGGCGCCGTACGAAGAGGGAAAATGAAATGCAATGCGTTATTTGTTTGATTAACCCTCGGCTGTGGTAAAGGGTTTACTTTGGGTCTCCGTCATTGTACATTCGCCGGGAGAGCTAGCCTTCGGGCCATGACAGTAGCCCCAATACCTTCCACACTTTAGAAAAAAATACATTCTTCTCAAGTATTCGGTTACCTTTGTCCTTGAAAAAGTCTCAAGGCAACACATCAGCATGGTACAAAGCGCGTTACAGAACTACAGTAAGGTTTAGGGGTTGCTGAAATAGTCACGAGTTCATCCTGTAGAGCAGAGTCGCAATCCGCAAAGATGTAGGTATCCATCCAGTTAAAGACAGTTATAAACGGCTCTTTAAAGCTCTGTAATCACCTTTTATTGCTTATGCATTTGCTGTTGCCGTCCTCTGATATTGGTAAAAGTACATCTATAAGATTCGACTTTATGACTCATCCAAAAATTTAACAAAGAATTTTGGTGCAAATTGTTGTCAAAAGACTTTTGAAGACAAATCAGGCAGATTACAGGCTACTTGACGTAAAATGCACTAACAGGAGTTTTGCTGCGTGTTTTTCGTTCTCTGCTACAACTTACTATCCCTGTATTTGCTCATGCAATTTTCGGCTGTCTCTTTTGCATAAACCGAAATTTAACCCTTGTATCCCAAAATTTGCAATTCGGCTCCTATCGGATTGTTTAATTCAGCTGCGTAGTTATTGCATTGGTTAGTCGGCCTGTGTAAATTACCGGAACATGGTTGATCCCTCTTCCGATGTTCAAGAAAGGTCTTCTGAGGTCCAGGTTGTTGTTGCCGACAAAACTCTTTTTGAAAATTACATAAAAAATATAGTCGCGGCCTTTGATGGTGCTGAGAACGCCACTGCTCTTGATAAGGCAATTTCGGATCGTAGTGCTCAAGATGCCATTGGGCGGTTTTTGAGTGATGGTCAATGTCATGCTCTTTTGGTGCGGAAGTCGTCAAATAAAGGTACTATCTTCCTAATTAACCCCGAATATCTAGATGACGATGATGAAAGTGATGGTGCGGATCCCACATTTTCCTACACCATTTCCACTGACGTTCACTACACGAACCCGAAAATACAAAGGTATTTATTTTTCCATTTGGAGAAATTTGTATTAGTTTGGTTTTTATCAAACAAAATCTGGTTGTCGAGGCTGGAAAATCGTTTGCTTCGCAGCTGAGGATGTCAACATTATGTGATGGTGCCCCATTCGAGACACTTCATTCTATGATTAGTAATGTTGTTGGTCCTTATTACAAATCATACATAAAAGAATCCGGGAAGGCAGAACGGTAGGTCATTTGCGTGTCATTGTGGGGTTTCGTAGAGATGGGGATAAAGTTGCTCCAAGTGTTGAAAAGAAAATAGCTGAACTCGAGATTGGCCTTCTTCATCTACAACAGAATATCGATATTCCTGAAATAGCTCTCAATATAAATCCTACCGTACTTCAAGTCATAAAGAAATGTGAAGAAGAACGTAGACGTGCGAAGGTGTCTGATTTCGAAGCCTACCTCCAGGATTCATCTTTTTTAAATTCGCTACAATCTGGTGTAAATCGCTGGATCAAAGATATCCAGAAGGTATAGTCGCTACTGTAGTCGATTTTCTAAGATTTTGGCTTACATGGTCTACATTTTTCATCATGTTCTCTTTCTTACCAAATCTAGGTAACAAACCTCAACCGTGATCCATCTACTGGAACAGCACTTCAGGAAGTGACTTTTTGGTTAAATCTCGAGCGAGCTTTGTCTCGTATTCAAGAAAAACGGTCCTCACTTGAAGTTACTCTCACTCTTGAAATATTGAGGACTGCCAAGCGGTTTTTGGCCACGGTCAGTTTTGATTCTGATACGGGCCTGACACGCGCTATTGACATGGTGAATGACTACAACCCACTCATGAAAGACTTTCCATTAAATGATCTTCTTTCTGCTACGGAATTGGATAAAATCAAACTTGCTCTTCAAGCCATTTTCACACACCTGAGAAAAATTCGCAATACTAAGTATCCAATCCAACGATGTCTCAAATTAATCGAAGCCATATCTCGAGATCTTACATCACAACTCTTGAAGGTTCTTGGTACACGGCGTCTCATGCACATGCCCTATGACGAATTCGATCATATCATGACTGCCTGTTTTGATGTATTCGGTGTATGGGATGATGAGTACGAAAAGATTCAAAGTTTGCTGCGTGAAATTTGCAAGAAGAAGCGTGAGGAACCTATACGGATGGTCTGGCGAACAAATCTTGCCCATCGCCTCCTCCAAGCTCGTCTAGACAATCTTCGCAAGTAAAACTCGATTTTCCTTTTTTGTCATAAAAATCTGCATCATTTGGTCTATCAATGGTTACTTTTTTAGATTATGGCATCAACATGAGCAGCTCCGTTTGGTCATTGTTCGTGTCAGGCCGACTACGAGAACCTCCACCACCCAACCTGAAACTGCCAAGGCTAAGATGGTGGAAGATGAACCAAAACAGCACCACGAGGAGCCTCTTCTTGACGCGGCAGATGCGAATGCCATTGATGACGTCAATAAAGCCTTTGAATTAGTAAAAGAAGTTGATTGTCTTGACTTAAGCAAAGAAGGAATGGAAGTATGGGACGCTACCATCAAGCGGTATATCACTCTCTAGTTATTCGCACTTTTTAACGGTCCTAATTATTGTACATTGTTATTGCCTTTTCTAGTTATGAGGAGCGCATTGATGGCGTGGAGACTCGAATTGCCGCTAGGTTGCGAGATCTCCTGGGAACTGCAAAAAGTGCCAATGAAATGTTCCGCTACTTTTCACGCTTTAACGCACTCTTCGTGCGTCCTCACATTCGCGGAGCTATTCGGGAGTATCAAACTCAACTGATAAATCGAGTCAGAGAGGATATCGAAGCTCTGCACGAAAAATTCAAAAACCAATATCGCTTTAGTCGAGCCTCCCGTTTAAGTAAACTGCGCGACATTCCACCTGTTGCCGGCTCCATAATCTGGGCGCGGCAGATTGAAGAACGACTAAATACCTACCTTCGGAGAGTGGAAGATGTTTTGGGCAAGTTATCCGATTATTGTTTTTCTCGTATTTCCTTTTTTTATCACCAACATCTGGCGTAATCTAACCAACTAGGTAAGGGTTGGGAGCACCATCGCGAGGGCCAGGATCTCAAATCGAATGGAAAGGATTTCAAGGCAAAGTTGAATACAAATGGCATATTTGATGAGTGGTGTCGCAAGGTACAGCAAAATCAATTCAACGCAACCCGTCGTATTTTCTGTGTTGAACCTGTTCGCGTAAAAATACCCAACAAGGACGGATCTACTCAAACCACAACAATGATGAAGCTGGCAGTCACTTTTGTGCTCGATGTTATCACGCTATCTAAAGAGGTATGATTTGGGCTATTTATCGACGATGCTATATGCGTGCTTCTGCTTGAATTATCTTTCTGACTGTGCGTGCGCATGTGAATACTGGACGCAGAGAGAGGTGCTTGAAATCGATGTGAGTGGGCGTATGCACACCTAGGTAGTGGTTTGGTGATCAGCTCTCCTCCCTTGTAGTCAAGATTAAGTTGCATAATCTTTGCAGCACAACGTTGTCGTCTGCAGGTTTGACGCTCCCTGTGCCTTTATCCACTTTTTTCTAAATTCGCATCTAAGTTTCATCTGCGTTGCTTATGAGCTATGGTTCTCAGCTTCATTGCTTAGTGTGAGTATTCGCACCATTACTCATCCAACTTAGTGCTCCATATGAACGTATTTTCTTTGTACTCGAAGCTCTTAGCATCTTGATAAAACTGGGTTTCAAATACGCTCTGAGCATAGCTTTTCAGGCGTGAGCATAATGGACTTAGAAATGTGAATTCTAATTTTGTCGTTGTAGTTTAGTCATTCCGCTAGGCCATCCTGTATGTTAGGTTCTTATTTAGTCTGTAAATCACGAAGGCGAAATATTGTTTTTTTTGTCCCTGCGCCAGGTGCGCTGCATGAAAGCAATGGGATTTCGAGTGCCTCTTTCAATAGTGAATCGCGCACACCAGACCAATATATTATACCCCTCGGCGACCTCCCTAAATCAAAGTGTTCAAATCTACGAAGCGATCTGCGCCAAAATAGACGCGAATAATGCTCAAAATCTGGCACTCTTATGCGCTGGCCTGCGCCGTGAAGCCCAAAGCCTAATATCCGAGGGTGTTCAGTTGAATTGGGATTCCTATCGGCTGTCAAATTTTGTTCAAAAGTTTGCGGAAGCTATCCTTCAATTTCAAGAGAAAGTGGAGGATTTGCTTCAAGTCACTCGAGAGATTGATTTGCAATTGAAAGCACTTGTAACGTGTCCTTATTCAAAGGAGTCATTTGAGGAAATAATTGGTAAATCGCACTTTCCTTGGCTGGCTTTTGAGGACCTTATTCCAGTGTGTTTATGTAAAAGAATCGTTTGTGATTCTGTCGTTTCTAATTAACTGTTATTGACTTCAAGGAATTGATTGCTCTGTGCTTGTGCATGACCTATAAACCAATTGAGAATTTCGCTTTTAAGGAAAGATTCAAAAGCTCGTTGACGACTTAAATCTTCACAAGTACTCAAACTTGGCTGAATGGGTAGCGAAATTGGACGTAGAGGTTGAGAATCGCCTTATTACTCGTCTCGAAGCCGGTATCCGCGAGTGGACGCGTGTTTTGCATACGGATGAAAAGCAATCGGTGCGTTTTCCTACACTTAGAGTTTGTATAACCCTAGCAGTGACTACTGAACTCATAGAGAACTGAAATGTGGCGACGCAATTTTTCCAAATATCTTCATGTAACCTTTTGTACATTTGCAAGTCTCAGCGTGATCACATCGTTTTCCGCTCCATTGACCCCAAACTGTTTAACTAGTGTTGAACACACAAGTATGTGCAGACGACCTTACACAGTGTAACTCAGGCTTGGGGCATAGAAACGCAAATCTAGGATTTTCACACCTTCGTTTCTCTCTCCGCATAGGCTACATTTCTAGGTGTAGTTGACTGCCGCAGCATGCGTGGGCTCGAGTGCTTCTATTATTCTCACCTGTGCTTCGTTCTGAAATTGAAATTAGTTTGAAGATGCAATTAATATTTTGTAATTTAATAGTTATTCTTTTTGTCAAAATACGATGTTTCGACTCGCCATCTTCACTGTTAGTGCAATGAAACTTCGCGCGTTTCAGTGAGCGTTTTTTTACAACATTTTTACATTCTGCTAACACTGTATTTTATTAATACTACCAAACAGGAATTTAGTTAATTTTTGTCCCCGCCTTTGCGCTTCAGGGGGAGGCTAAGGACGCGGATTCATCGATGTCCACCTCAATGGTGGTCTCTCAGCAGCGCCTCGGTGGCGAGCCCAAAATTAAACAGATTTTCCTTGAACTGCGCATCACTAACCAACAAATGCACCTGCATCCCAGCATCGAAGTTGCGTCTCACGAGCTCTTTTCTCAACTTACTGCCTGGCAAAATATCATTCTTAATCTTCCCCGTATTCAACACTCTCGCTATCAGGTACGGCTGTACCCCAGTTGTGTGACTATTTACTTATAGGCACCTGAAATAGTGAGATTTCTGTATCGTGATTCCCACTACTGTCTTTAAACTTATCTGCTTAGAAAAATATCGTTGGGAAAATTCTTTGAGCTATTAATGAACTAAGCTGAAGTCCCAAAAACTAGTGTAAACCATTTAACGATCTTTTCATTCTTTTGTGTTAGAGGAACTTCGTTGAGGAAATATGGTATTGTCCTACCCCTGCAATAAGTCAAATTGTCCTTAGTAAATGGAAACGTATTGTGATACAATTATAAACGAATTAAAACCAAACTCAAATAGTGTTTAAGCTTGCATCTAGTATAATTTTTGTCTTATTGTAGATTCTCTGCTCTCCGTTGCAAATTCTTCTGATATAGAGCCCTTTTCATTTGTAGGTCGGATTTAACACTGAGGAGGAGTCTCAGAAATTCAACATGAACCTCATATCGAGACTTTCGAAGGAGAGTGATGTACTTATTCATGCTCATGATGCTATTTTCGGTATTCTTAGTGAAACAGAGGAATATGTGAAAACTTGGACGAGTTATCAAGCCCTGTGGGATCTTCAAGTGGACCAAGTGTACAATCGTATTGGGACCAACCTTGAGGCAAGTCTGTTGTTTTTCAGCCGAAGTTTGAGGCGTATTGTAATACACCAGATTTTGCGGATATAATCCATCGTATTTGTCATTACCTCTAAAACTAAGGTTTTTTCTTGGTAGGCATTGATCCAAAGAGACAGTAGATAGTTATAATGTAATTTCGCTTTCTTTACATTTCCTACATTAGTGTTTCTTTTTAATCCACTTGCCATTGCTTACCCAGAAGTAAATTGTATTTTGCGTAGGTGTGGATGAATGTACTGGACGAAATTAAGGTTATGCGAAGACACTTCGATGTCGCTGAGACTCAAAAGGCTTTCGGTCCAATCGTCATAGTTTTCGACAAGGTTCAATCAAAGGTTACACTTAAATACGACAGCTGGCATAAAGAAATTCTCAGTAAATTTGGCAGCAACCTTGGTAGTGAGATGCAGGATTTCTACAAACAAGTTTCTGAAGCCCGAACTGAGTTGGAGAAGCGTTCTGTTGATTCGAAGTCGACGAGCGATGCGGTGAACACAATCACGTACACCCAGTCTCTCAAACGCAAGCTGAAGCAATGGGAAAAACAGGTTAACCTTTATAAAACAGGTCAGAACATTCTCTATCGTGATCGTTTCCAATTTCCCAATAACTGGCGAGACTCAGAAAACATTCAGGGTGAATGGAGTGCTTTTCAGGAGATCTTGCGTCGCAAGGAATCGAGTATTTCCTCAGAAGTGGCAAGTCTGCAGATGAAGATTGTCACTGAAGATAAGGCAGTTGAGGGAAAGACAGCAGAACTCTTGAATAGTTGGCATAAGGAAAAACCTATTCAAGGCAATATGAAGCCGGATGAGGCTGTAAAGGCTCTGACTATCCTTGAAGGGCAATTCTTGCGACTAAAAGAGGAAAGGGCAAACATTCAGCGTGCCAAGGAAGCCCTAGAGCTTACTGAAGAAGGTGTTTTGCCGCCCAGTGAAGAGAGAGTTAATGTGGCACTTGAGGAACTTCAGGTCATGCAAGTTTGTGTTTCGTTTGCTCGTTCATGTTCAGTTTTTCGGCTGAATCGTCCTTTTCTGCCTACTTTTGATCCAATCATCAGCCACTGTTAGCTTTGAACTCGAATCCTATCACCTCAAAAGTCAGCTTAGGTATTCCATTTTCATAGTGGCAGGGGGGAGAATTCGCATTTTTCGATGCCAAAATATGCGTTCAGATGAGTCACCTTTTGTCATAGATGTCACGTTTTCCTTGGTATGCCAATCATCTTCACGCGTGGTGTTTTCAATTTTTCTTCCTGTTGGTACTATTCACCCAGTTTTGTGCTCATAGCGCTTCCCCACGATTTTCAAGTAGATATTGGTCAAGTAATTTCAGAAAAGCATTTTAATGGAATGTTTGCTATTGGAGTTATTTCTCATTGCGTTTTTGTTGGAATGTGTAGGATCTTAAAAATGTGTGGATTGAACTTTCTCGCTTCTGGGAGGAGATTGATCAGCTTCGTGAAACACCCTGGCAATCGGTACAGCCACGTAAAATCCGTCAGCAGATTGATGAGATGGTGCGTCGACTGAAGGAGGTGCCTGCGCGTCTCCGGCATTATGCAGCTTACGAGCACATCAGGCACACTGTTCAGAACTTCGCCAAGGTCAATCCCATTGTCATCGATCTCAAATCAGAAGCTCTCAAGGAGCGCCACTGGCGCACCCTTATTCGTAAATTGAATGTCAATTGGGTTATGTCGGAACTTACTCTCGGCCAGTTGTGGGACATTGATTTGCAGAAAAATGAGGCCGTTATTCGTGACGTCTTCCTCGTGGCGCAGGGTGAAAAAGCGTTGGAAGAGTTTATGAAACAAGTTACTGAAGTTTGGAAGACTTACGAGCTGGATTTAGTGATCTATCAGAACCGCTGTCGTCTCATTCGTGGGTGGGATGACCTCTTTAGTCGGGTTAAAGAACACATCAACAGCGTTGAAGCGATGAAGTTGTCACCCTACTTCAAACAATTCGAAGAAGAGGCTCTAACGTGGGAGGATAGGTTGAATAGGATCAATGCGCTCTTCGACGTCTGGATTGATGTTCAAAGAAGATGGGTGTACTTGGACGGCATTTTCTCGGGGTCCGCTGATATCAAAACTCTGCTTGCTCAGGAGTCTCAACGCTTTTCTAGTGTTAGCACTGAATTCTTGGGCTTGCTAAAGAAAGTTTCCAAATCTCCACTCGTAATTGATGTTCTCAATATTCCAAACGTACAACGGCAACTGGAAAGATTAGCTGATCTACTCTCCAAAATCCAGAGATCACTTGGTGAATATCTTGAAAGGCAGAGGTCTTCATTCCCGAGGTTTGCCCTTCAATTTTTATTATAAAGATAGCTGATTTGTGAAAGAGCGGTATCTAAGATTTGTCATTTATAGAAGCTTTAGGTTGCGGTGGTTGCGACCGAGAATTTTACAAACTTGTATGAATTGTGATTTGAGTTGAAGAAAATTGCGCATTTCCGCTTTTTTCATCAGCAAAATGATTTCATCTTAGGTTTTACTTTGTTGGTGATGAAGACTTGTTGGAAATAATTGGCAATAGTAAAAATATCCCTCGATTGCAAAAGCACTTCAAGAAAATGTTCGCAGGTGTAAACGCGATCAAGCTAAACGAGGAGTGTACTGAGGTCCTAGGCTTGATATCGAAGGAAGGCGAGGAAGTTGACTTGGTTCATCCGATTTCTATCAAGGACAATCCTACAATTAATGACTGGCTTTCACTACTTGAGAAGGAAATGCGTATCACACTTGCCAGTTACCTGGGTTATGCTGTCGCTGAATTGCAGGTAAGTTTATTGATGGCAATATCTTTGTTATTGTTTCACCAAATGTAATTATTTTGCTGGAAATTTACAGAACAATCATAGCTTATTTGGTGAATCATTGCTGATAAGCTTATGCGTTCCCACGCATTTTTTTGGCTCTTGGGTTGCACCGATGTTGTGCCACTTTTATTACTTAAGCGTTTTAAGTAACTGTAGCTTCACTGCCAAATGTTTCGTCGCATTATTGAAGAAGCTGTGCCACAAAAAAACCTGTTTCTGCTGCGTTCCATTTGTTGGGCTTATGAGAGTTTCACTTGAAAAGTTAACAATTGATATCTCGGCATAATTTTCAGAAACTTCGGTCGGCTTCAGAACTTGAATCAACTGGTTTCCTCGCCTGGTTGGATCGGTACCAGGCTCAGCTAGTTGTCCTAGCGGCCCAAATCTGTTGGTCGGAATCTGTAGACGCCGCCTTGAACAATCCTAAATCTTCTGATTCTCTCACGGCCTGCCTTCGCTCCGTAGAGGCGATGCTTACGCTACTTGCTGACACCGTGCTTAGTGAACAGCCGCCCATTCGCCGACGCAAGCTCGAACATCTCATAATGGAGCATGTTCACCAGCGTGACATCCTCCGAGTGCTCATCCAAGCAGGTGTTAATTCCTCTCAATCTTTTGAGTGGCTCTCCCAGATGCGTTTCTACTTCGATCCCAAACAATCCGATCCGCTGGCCCAAATATCCATTCACATGGCGAACGCGAAATTTGCCTATGGCTTCGAGTACCTCGGTGTAATGGATCGTCTTGTGCAAACTCCACTAACGGATCGTTGTTATCTGACGATGACACAGGCTCTCGAGGCGCGTCTCGGTGGATCGCCTTTTGGTCCTGCAGGTACGGGAAAGACGGAGTCTGTGAAGGCCCTCGGCATGCAATTAGGTCGCTTCGTTCTCGTCTTCAATTGTGATGAGACCTTCGATTTTCACGCAATGGGTCGAATTTTCGTCGGTCTTTGCCAAGTCGGTGCATGGGGCTGCTTCGATGAGTTTAATCGTCTAGAAGAAAGAATGCTTTCTGCAGTTTCACAGCAAATTCAGGGTATTCAAGAAGCATTAAGAGATCAATCGACTGGTAAAGATGTTACTGTGGAGCTTCTTGGAAAAAATGTAAGTTTGTCCTTTCTTTTCTCTCGCAACGATCGACGTGTAAATAATGTTTCTAGGGTACCTCATTTGGCTCTACTAAAGTCCAGAGCTTTTTTTGCACTAGGTTTCTGTCAACCCTGATATGGCAATCTTTATTACGATGAACCCTGGGTATGCCGGCCGTTCGAATTTGCCAGACAACCTAAAAAAACTTTTCCGTTCCTTGGCTATGACTCAGCCAGATCGTCAACTGATTGCCCAAGTCATGCTGTACTCACAGGTTCGTTCTCAAAAGCCTACTTTTACCTGTAGAAATTTGTTCGAAAAATAAAAATATTTTAATGCTTCCATGAATCGAGACTATTTATCACGCTTCAGTGTTCCCATTCTAGTATTTTTTTGCGTTTTATTGTTAAGTTGAAATAGCATTCCTTTTTTATTAAGGTCATGTTTTTACATGCATATAGGGCTTCCGCACTGCGGAGCTGCTGTCAAACAAGGTTGTCCCTCTATTCAAGTTGTGTGACGAGCAACTTTCTCCTCAGTCTCATTACGACTTCGGGCTGCGTGCACTGAAATCGGTGTTGGTTTCAGCTGGCAATGTGAAGCGCGATCGAATCAAAAGAATTAAGGATGAACTTCACTCTAAGAACGAGGCAGTGAGTATTCGTTCGTGTAGGAATATGGCTCATGGAGTTAAAGATGGAAAGCATTCCTTGTGAATTTGTCTTCCACAAACGATTCCGTTGCGTTTTCTAGGTAAATGAGTCCAACATTGCTGAACATCTTCCAGAGCAGGAAATTCTCATTCAATCGATAATGGAAACAATGGTGCCTAAGCTAGTTGCTCAAGACATACCGCTCTTGTACTCGCTGCTCAAGGACGTTTTCCCGGGCGTATCTTATAGCGCGTCGCCAATGGAAGACCTACGTCGTGAGTTGAAACGAGTGTGCGAAGAAATGTACTTAGTCTACAGCGATGACACATCGGATAGCGGTACCGGTGGCGCTCTCTGGGTTCAAAAAGTGCTTCAGCTCTATCAAATCACTTGTATTCACCACGGTCTAATGATGGTTGGTCCCAGCGGAAGTGGAAAATCTATGGCTTGGCGTGCCCTTCTCAAGGCTTTGGAGCGCGTGGAAGGTATTGAGGGTGTCGCCCACGTTATCGACCCCAAGTCCATCAGCAAGGATTCACTATATGGCTACCTTGATCCAAACACTCGAGAATGGACCGATGGTCTTTTCACTCACACTTTACGAAAGTAACTTTTGCAATGGTTTCATGCTCAGTTGACTCATAGTATTTCCTGCAAACGATTGGCTTGTTGCATCCCAGTCTATCAATTTCGTTGCTGTTTTTGAAGGTAATGAGTTGATGAATGAATCTCTACTATAGTGCAGTAGCTGCGATCCCGTTTCTTTTATTAAGATGAAAATACTTTATTTATGCATAGTTATTTAATTAAACTAGTGTATAATGCTAAACATGTGACGGTTTATTGTAGGATCATTGATAGTATTCGTGGTGAATCTCAAAAACGACAGTGGATCATTTTCGACGGTGATGTGGATCCCGAGTGGGTTGAAAATTTGAACTCCGTTCTGGACGACAATAAGCTGCTAACTTTGCCCAATGGTGAACGTCTCGGGATCCCACCAAACGTTCGCATTATGTTTGAAGTACAGGACCTACGTTATGCCACCTTAGCCACTGTCTCGCGTTGTGGGATGGTCTGGTTCTCTGAGGATATTGTTACCCCCGAAATGGTAATGACAAACTTCCTTCGATATCTGCAGAATGTGCCCGTAGACGAAGATGAGGACGCTGACCTAAGTTTTGCTGTTTCCGCTTCACTCACTGCACCAAGTGCAGGGGGAGATCAAGTTGTTTCCTCTCCAGTTGAAGGCGCTCCAGTGTCCGTCAGCCCCACCATTCAGACACAACGTGACATCGCAAACATGCTTGTACCGCATTTTGGCAGCAACGGTTTGGTGTCACGTTGTCTCGAGTTTGCTAAAGACCTCGATCACATCATGGACTTCACACAGCTTCGTGCACTTACCAGTCTCTTTTCTCTCCTGAAACAAGCAGTAAGAGCCGTGCTTGTGCATAATGCCTCACATACCGACTTCCCAATGCCTGTGGATCAAATGGAGTCGTTTGTAAGCAAATCTCTTGTTAATGGAATTATCTGGTCCATGGCCGGGGATGGCTCTGCCAACGTTCGTATGCAAATGAGCGATTTTGTGCGACAGGTAACAACGATCCCTCTACCTCCTCCTGGTATGCCGATTATTGATTATGAAGTCGCTGTCACTGGTGAATGGCAACCATGGATCAATAAGGTTCCCATCATCGAGGTAGAGTCGCACAAAATCAATACAATGGACGTTGTTGTTCCTACGCTTGATACTGTTCGTCATGAAGCTCTTCTTTACACCTGGTTGGCTGAACATAGACCAATGGTTCTTTGTGGTCCCCCTGGCTCTGGTAAAACCATGACTCTCTTCAGTGCTCTAAGAAGTCTCCCCGACATGGAGGTAATTGGATTGAATTTCTCCAGTGCTACCACTCCCGAATTGATGCTGAAGACTTTTGATCAGTACTGTGAATATCGCAAGACGCCTCATGGCCTTGTTCTTGCTCCACAACAAATTAACAAGTGGCTTGTTTTCTTCTGTGATGAAATCAACCTACCAAACGAAGATAAATATGGCACACAAAGGGTAATCAGTTTCCTCCGACAGATGTTAGAACACTCAGGTTTCTATCAGACTAGTGACATGCAGTGGGTTCGATTCGAAAGAATTCAATTTGTTGGTGCTTGCAATCCTCCCACTGATCCGGGAAGAAAGCCACTTTCGCACCGTTTTCTACGCCATGTCCCAGTTGTCTACGTTGACTATCCTGGCGAAATGTCACTCAAGCAAATTTATGGTACTTTCAATCGCGCCATGCTTCGAATGCTTCCTACCCTACGATCTCAGGCTGATGCACTCACTAATGCCATGGTGGATTTCTATCTTCGATCTCAAAAGCGCTTTACAATCGATATGCAGCCTCACTATATTTACAGTCCTCGTGAGTTGACTCGTTGGGTTCGCGGCATTCATGAAGCTCTTAAACCACTCGAGTCGCTCTCCGTTGAAGGCCTGGTACGCATTTGGGCTCATGAAGCTTTGAGACTTTTTCAAGATCGACTTATTCATGATAATGAGCGGTTGTGGACGGATCAGAATGTTGACGAAGTTGCTATGACCTATTTTCCATTTATCGACCGTGTAGCTGCCCTTCAGCGTCCAATACTGTTTAGTAATTGGCTTTCGAAGGACTACGTCGCCGTCGACCAGGAGGCGCTTCGTGAATACGTCAAAGCCCGGCTAAAAGTATTTTATGAAGAAGAATTGGATGTACCTCTTGTTCTCTTTAATCAGGTGCTTGATCACGTTCTTCGAATTGACAGAGTTTTCAGGCAAGCTCAGGGTCATCTGCTCCTGATCGGTATTAGCGGGGCTGGTAAAACCACTCTCTCTCGTTTCGTTTCATGGATGAACGGTCTCTCTGTATTCCAAGTGAAAGTGCATAACAAATACACTGCAGAAGATTTCGATGAGGACCTAAGAAATGTTCTTCGACGCTCTGGTTGTAAGGGAGAAAAGATAACTTTCATCATGGATGAGTCCAATGTGATGGACTCAAGCTTCTTGGAAAGAATGAATACACTGCTTGCGAACGGTGAAGTACCCGGTCTGTTCGAAGGGGATGAATTTGCGGCCTTGATGACTCAATGCAAAGAGGGTGCAGCACGGGAGGGCCTTGTGGTTGACTCACAGGAAGAGCTTTATAAGTGGTTCACGAATCAGATATGTCGAAATCTCCATGTCGTTTTTACTATGAATCCATCTTCTGATGGACTAAAAGACAAAGCAGCTACTTCGCCTGCATTGTTTAACAGGTGTGTTCTCAACTGGTTCGGCGATTGGTCACTTGAAGCTTACTTCCAGGTACGTACTTTTTTAGTCGTTCGAGGTGCTTTCAACACACCATTTAAATACAACAGAATATCATCGTTTTCCCTTTCAATGTATTTCTGCCAAATTAGTGCGCTTTTGTATTTTTTGCCTAAAATATGCCTTTTTGTGATTGAAAGTGCAAAAACTCACTTCTGTGGTTTTTTTGATGCACTGCCTTCAATATTTCAGGTCGGCAAAGAATTCACAGAAAAGCTTGATCTTGAGTGTTCTGATTACCAGAGGCCGGAAGTAATGCCATATGTCGCTCAGGGGTTGCTACCTGATATGCCCACCTATCGCGACATGGTTGTGAACGCCTTCGTTTTTGTGCATCAGTCCCTTCAGCGCGCCAACGAACGTCTGCAGAAGCGCGGAGGTCGCACTATGGCTATCACTCCGCGCCACTTCCTCGACTTCATCAGCCATTATGTCAAGTTGATTGGTGAAAAGAGGTCCGACTTGGAGGAGCAACAACTGCATCTGAATGTTGGTTTACAAAAAATTAGGGAGACAGTACAGCAAGTTGAAGTGATGCAGAAATCGTTGACGAAGAAGAGCAAGGAGTTAGAGGAAATGAATGAGGCTGCGAATGCAAAGTTGAAACAGATGGTCAAGGATCAACAAGAAGCTGAACAAAAGAAAACCACCAGTCAAAGTCTACAGGTTGAATTGGGGAAACAAAGAGAGTATATTAAGGAAAAGAGAGCACTGGTTGTGGAGGAACTCAGTCAGGTGGAACCTGCTGTGAATGATGCCAAACAGGGTAATTTTATTTTATTTAATAAACCATTTTCCTTGATCAGTTTAATTTTGCGCTTTGAATGCAACCAACTTGGTGTACGAACTTGCCAAATAATTTCTTGTTGATATTTTCGTTGTATTTACTTAGTAACGTTCTTTTAGTTTAACAGGCGAATTCATGTCAACTAAGTTTATCAGTTCCTTACACATTTTCATGGTAGTGAAGCGGTGGATTATGGCCCTCTTCATTCACAATAGTAATCACAATCCTTACCTTTGTGAATTAAAATATCATGGTCTTAGCGCCACCTTTTGGTCTTCCATTTATTCTTCCGCTTTTTGGCGTCCTTTCATCTATGATAAATACATTGTTGCATTGTTTGGTGTTAATCTTGTTTTTTTGTTTGCAGTGATCTCAACCCCTTTGTACGGGTAGATAAGACCGCATATTCTATGCTTTCGTATTTTAGCTGTGGAGGGTATCCGTAAAAAGGATATTCAGGAAATTAAGGCCATGCGGAACCCACCTCCCGCTGTCAAAATGGCTCTTGAAGCCATCTGTCTTTTGTTGGGTGAGAAGTCAACAGAATGGCGTCAGATTCTAACCGTCATTGTCAAGGATTCCTTTGTCCCAAGCATCCTCAACTTTGATACTGAGGAAATCACGTATGTTTTCTCATATATCCTGCTTTTGAATTGGTCATATTCTTTTTTAAATATATAAACGTAAGCATGCAAAACATGGTGCTATTTCGCATCATTTATTGCGGCCAAAATGATATATTGTTGTGGAAATCCACCCAATTGCCTTTAGTGCACTGAGCTGTCAACGTATTTTCTGACGCCTGCTTTGTTTAATCTGTGTCACACTGGATAGCTTGGCCATTGTTTTTCGTTATTTATGCTATCCTCTTTGCTGATTATTTGCCCTTCAATTTTCAGCGATTCAATCCGTGAGACAATGAAGAAGAAATACATTGAAAACCCAGAATTCAATTATGAAAAGGTGAACCGAGCCAGTACAGCTTGTGGACCAATGGTCAAATGGGCTATTGCGCAGGTTAGCTCACTCATGTTTAGATTAACCTTTACCAACTTTAGTTGCTTTCGCTATTTTTGGTGAATTGATATTAATTGGTTTAAGTCTTTTCCTGCACATATTAGTTTTACGCGATTAGATTATTGCTGCCTCCCAATGCGGCTTTTCACGTTTCAATTTTTAAAAATGTCTTTTAAAAAGGCAACAATTATAAATGTTCAGTTTCACGCACTGCAGATTTGAGATCTTTCACTTGTGTAGCATTTCAACGCTGATACATCATGTGTTTTCGTACTAGATTGGATACGCAGATATTCTGAAGAAGGTGGAACCTCTTCGAGACGAATTAAAGGCTCTTGAGGATGCGGCCAGTGCAAATGAAAAGAAGGCTGAGGATGTGGAAGCAACAATAGAGACTCTTGAGAAGTCGATTGCCAGATACAAAGACGAATATGCCGTCCTAATTAGTCAAGCCCAGTCAATCAAGGCTGATTTGGCCTCAGTTGAAGCCAAGGTTTGTCATCGCCTTTCGCTTTTGTTTTTGTCTTCGCATTCACTCCGCTTACATCCGTTTGCGGGTCGGATGGGCATATGGCCTAACGTATTTGAATACGGGTTACTGTCTTTTACTTCAAAGGATTCTGCGTACGTAATTTTTAACTCCCCAAACTGATTAAATCACTGCTTTCCTCAGGTCGAACGCTCAGTGGCGTTGATTAAGTCATTGAGCAGCGAACGCACGCGTTGGGAGGCGGGCTCGGAGACATTCAAGTCGCAAATGGCCACAATTATCGGAGATTGTCTTCTCTCCTCAGCATTCATGGCCTACGCTGGTTATTTTGACCAGAGTCTGCGTCTTAGTCTAGTCTCTTCATGGGCCATCCATCTGAAGGCCGCTGGCATCCAGTTCAGGCCTGATCTGGCTCGTGTTGAGGTAAACTGCCATTTTTACCATTTTCCGTTTTGTTATCTTTCGTGATTAACTTTTTTTTCCTACTAAACCATCTCATTAGATTAAAGTTATGTTGTCACCAATTTGTGAGAACTTTACCTTGGCAAAATTAACATTACATTTGTTCATGTAGATTTTATATTCAACATACCGTAAATTTTTGAGCTAAATTACGAAGACCTTAAAGGCTTCTGTTCGTAATTCAACGCCATGGATTATTAACAAGTGGCCTATTCACATTTCCGATCTCAAATAATTCCTACACTTATTTTTCACTGTTACGGCTTTGTGTTTTAGTACCTATCAACTCCTGATGAGCGATTACGTTGGCAAGCCAGTGTTCTGCCCGATGACGAGCTCAGTGTTGAGAACGCCATTATCCTTCACCGATTCAATCGATATCCTCTTATCATCGATCCAAGCGGTCAGGCCATTGAATTCCTTATGGAAGAGTACAAAGCAAAGAAAATCGCTAAAACCTCCTTCCTTGATGATGCTTTCAGGAAGACCCTTGAATCCTCGCTTCGGTTCGGGACACCACTTCTGGTGCAAGATGTTGAATCATACGATCCTATTCTCAATCCTGTTCTTAATCGTGAAGTTAGACGCACAGGCGGTCGCACTCTTATTACGCTGGGCGATCAGGACATTGACCTGTCCCCTACATTTATCATTTTCCTTTCTACACGTGATCCTTCGGTGGATTTTGCACCTGACGTTTGCTCTAGAGTTACATTTGTCAACTTTACAGTGACCCATAGCAGTCTCCAGAGTCAGTGTCTCAATGCGGTACTGAAAGCGGAAAGACCAGATGTTGACAATAAACGATCAGATCTATTGAAGATGCAAGGTGAATTCCAGTTGAGACTGCGCCATTTGGAGAAGGATTTGTTGCAGGCCCTTAATGCTGCTGAGGTGTGTTTCACTCTTGAACCATTCTTAATGATATCGTTAAGCAGATTTTAATCCTCGTATGCGAATAAAAAGTAACCTGTGTTAAGTACTATTCTGACAGGCCTGGTGAACTATATTCGTTTGTATGGGTACCGGTTTTAATGTTCAGTGGTGCTTTTTGCTTCCAGGGCAATTTACTGGATGATGATAAGATCATTACGAACCTGGAGACTCTAAAGAAAGAGGCCGGAGAGGTTGCCAAGAAGGTGGAGGAGACGGATGCTATCATGGCAGAAGTGGACAACGTCTCACAGCAGTATGTGCCCCTCTCACAGGCCTGCTCAGGCATCTATTTCACTTTGGACGCTCTCAACCAGGTGCACTTCCTCTATCAGTATTCACTGCAATTTCTTCTTTCCATTTTCAACGTTGTCCTTACTCAAAATGAAAATCTCAAAGGCGTCAATGACAGTAAAACAAGGTTGGACATTATCACCAAGGACCTCTTTCAAGTCACTTACAACCGTGTTGGTCGTGGAATGCTGCACAGCGACCAGATTACATTTGCTGTGTTATTGGCGCGTATTTATTTGAAGGGCAAGGCATCAGCAGGTGTGACCTTTGAATCGGAATTCTCCGTCTTCCTTCATGGTCAGGATAGCGCAAGCCTGTTGACTAGCAAGAATCTGCCCGATATTAAGGGCCTCACCGTTGAGCAACGGGCCGCACTTAGCAGACTGCAGAGTCAGCTACCAGCTTTCAGGAATATTGTCCCATCTATTAGAAATGAACTACGCTTCAATGCTTGGCTAGAAACTGTCTCTCCTGAGGTAATTAATATGTCATTTTTCAGATGTAGGGATTTTAGCTAATTGTTCATAATTATAGTTTAGTTTGATGCTTGAGAAGAAATTCCATAATGTTTCTTTAACCTACCTATCTTAGGAATCTGCTATTACTCTAAATAACAGTTATTTTTTACTACCAACTTTAGTAAATTGAAATGTATCAGTGACAAAATGTGTTAATGTTGAGGAAACTGTAATATGTTGAAGAGACTGCTGAATAGTTTTATTGTCTTGTTCAAGACTGAAGTCCCAACGTTGTGGGAGTTGTCCGCCGCTCAAGCCACTCCAGTGGGCACCGCGATCCATAGTCTGCTGCTCATTCAGGCGCTTCGACCAGATCGTCTCCTAGCTTGTGCTCACATGCTGGTTTTCGCGGTGTTTGGCCAAAGCTTCATGGACGCTACTCGTGCTAACCTCGATCTGGGTTCACTCGTTGAGCAAGAAATCAAAGCTAATGTTCCCGTTCTTCTTTGCGCTACTCCGGTAGAATCCTATTATTGATGCGTTCTAACTAATTAAGCTGCTTGAATTCACTTATTACTTGTCACAGGCTCATTTTCAAACGCCGGCTAGCTCGTTTAACCTTGGGTCGTAGTAGATATCTATCCGTAATCATTAAGATAGTATTTGTGTAGGGCTTCGACCCGAGTGGACGCGTGGAGGATCTTGCTGCCGATTCGAAGAAAACTCTTACTGGGATAGCCATCGGCTCCACCGAAGGTTTCTCGCAGGCGGAAAAGGCTATCAATGCGGCTGTGAAGCAGGGCAAGTGGGTGATGCTGAAGAACGTTCATCTCGCACCATCGTGGCTCGTTCAGCTGGAAAAGAAGCTCCACTCGTTCCAGCCCCACCCCAACTTTCGCCTATTCCTTACTATGGAAATTAACCCGAGGCTGCCCGTCAACCTTCTTCGTTCTGGTCGAGTGCTCGTCTTCGAACCGCCACCGGGCATTAAGGTGTGTGTAATCGAAAGTTGTCACACTTCTACTCTTCCTTAATTATCATTCGGGTCACTTTTATACGCTTAAGCGAAACCTGAACATTCTCTGCCCTTTGCTTCAAGGCGAGCCTTTTGCGCACCTTCGCCAACATCTCAACAACCAGGATGTCTCGTGCTCCGGCTGAGCGCTCTCGTCTTTATTTCTTGCTGGCTTGGTTCAATGCTGTTGTGCAGGAACGCCTTCGCTACGCTCCGCTGGGTTGGACCAAGCGCTACGAGTTTAACGAATCTGATCTCAAGTCAGCCTGCGACACCATCGACACCTGGGTGGACAGTGCCAGCAAAGGCCGCTCTAATCTGCCACCCAACCAAATCCCCTGGTCCGCCATTCGCCAGCTCATGTCTCAGTGTATTTACGGTGGTCGTATCGATAATGACTTCGACCAAACTCTTTTGGACACATTCCTCTCGCGCCTCTTCACTGAGCATAGCTTTGATCATGATTTCGTTCTCGTCAAGGACGTGGATGGCCAGGCAGGCAAGAGCATCCTTATCCCAGAAGGCACTTCGCGCGAGGAATTAGTTGCATGGATCAAGAAACTTCCCGCTGTCCAGACCCCCTCTTGGCTCGGCTTGCCTAACAATGCGGAGAAGGTGCTTTTGACCAACATGGGTAAGCTGATGTGCCTTACTCTTTTGATTTTTCATTTGGCATTGTGGTCTCTACCCGTTAACAAAATGTGCTAATTTTAGATGTAGCATTTTTAGCCTCTGATAATTTGGGATGCAAATAAAGCTTTATTTGCCGTTACATCTAAAATATGCGTGTCATTCTAGCCTGAGGTAATTTAAGAATGCCTCTAATCTGCTACCACTCGTTTAGTAGATCTCCCAAAAGTTTTAACGAAATAATGTTTGTCAATATTTATCCCCTTGCACGTACTTTGTTGGTCTTGATACTTTGTTAATTTCACTACTATAGATCGAGTGTTATTCAGGTGCTTTGGAAATTTGACCTTGTTTTTTGTATTATTATCTCTGACTTTTTGGTGATCGCAGCTCAAAGTTTCCACAATCACCTGCTTCGGTTTATAACAATCGTGGCCGAAGATGACGTAGAGAAGGGTATTTCTCGATTTAAACACTTTTCAATTTTACGTTTCTGGTGCTAGTGTTGGTGTGGGATCTCATTAACTTCATTTGCAACGAAGTAGGTCAACGCCGCACTTTTCATCGCACGATTTTATTGCAAAACGGATCCATTCAAGTCATCCCTCCATCGCAGCATTCACCATTCATTCCTCGCACCTGGGCTACCAATCCGTTCTTAACAGTCTCTTATTCAAAATTATGAGGCCCCTTTGGCCAATCTGTTATGAACTGGTGTTATTGCGCGTGAGTCTGGATCCCCTCGAACTTTAAACTGCAGATTCAATAACAAGACTTCGGTACGGAGGACTTATTTACCTATGTATTTGAGCAATCAAAAGTGATCCGGCAAGTAATTATAAGCCTGCCAGCTAGATTTTGGAGGCTGCTCAAGTGTCTCGGTCGTTTCTGTTACGGTAGCGGATTCACCTTGCTCCCAGTGCAATTAGTGGTACGCTCAAAGTGCATCCATGCTCGATGGGGGCCAATCAGGAGGGAGTGGGCGCCAACACGACTAGAATGCCTACCGATCAGGCGCAATTCATGGGAATTCGGGAAGGCAACTTTTTATGAGGTTGCAGGCATTCTCAGCACAATGCCTCTGTCCGTTAATCAAACGTTAGAAGTAACGATTTGGTTAAAAGGCTTTTACGTATTAAGCTTTTGAGCGGAATGTATTTGCACATGCCTACGATGTAAGTTCTCGGTATTTTTATCTATTTGTGGGCTAAAAGGATCCTCACATTGTCACCCAAACAGCCTAATGGAAAAACTCATCTGTTGTACTGAACGAGAATTCGTTTTGTCTGTGGCCAACAATATTTTCATTCACTGATCGGCATTATCCTCCACATGATGTGGTCGTTTATAACAAGTCTAAACCAGCGGATAAACAGTTTGATATCTACCTGACATATCAGTAGCCTAAATCCTCTAGACAAACAAATTCCGAGTCACTGTTTGTACTATTTGCATACTCTTTTAGTTGTTTAAAATATTGTCTTATTAGTTATATGTCAAGAAACTGTTGCATAATTTGCGTGTCATAAATCCTAAGACAAAACCTGTAAACTGGCAGCCAGCTACACTTAAAATGCAAACAGCTGCGTCAAGCATGTATGTTTAGGACTAAAATCTGAGTTCTTATTAGGAATAAAGGTGGCATCATTGACTCTCCTCATGCTCCCTTGTACTTTCCTCATTTGTTCATCCTTCTGTTTACCGGAAGTAGATTGAAGATGTTCGTTGGCAGTCCTGTGGAAAATTGCCGCATATTTTTTAGGGCAAGAAGTGATTGGAAATTTGCTTAAGATGCAGCAGGCGGTCAGCGCAGACGACTTGCTATCCGCCTCGGAGGTCGCAGCAACGACTCTCGTCAAGCGCGTCTCTGTAGATGAAGGTGACACCAGACCCATGTGGATCCGACAGCTTCAATCCAGCGCAGACACGTGGAAATCGCTGCTCCCCGATCGCCTAAGACCTCTGGAGAGGACGGCGGAAAATATTGCTGATCCTCTGTTTCGTTGCTTTGATCGGGAAGTCAATGCTGGTGCTACGCTCCTCAATACTGTTCGTGATGACCTTAGGAATGTAATCAAGGTGGACATCTTCACTACTTGCTATCCTTGGCATAATGTATTATTCTCCTTTTATAATCACAGAAGGATTTGTTCATGAGTTAAAAAAGACGTTTTTGTTTTGCTTCAAATCTCACCAGTTAATTAATGTTGGGCTGGTTTGGTGTGCAATTTTGTTTTGTTCCCAAGTTAATTTTCCTTTTGAAGGTAAACCCTTAGCTGAATGGTGGTGACTTTTGTGATGTCCTTATCGCATCCTCAACGATAACCGTTATTGAAACTGTGAATATCAATGTGGAACAATTCCACAGATAAACATTAAGCCATTTTTTGTTATAGGTGTGCTCTGGCACGATTAAGCCAACCAACTATCACCGCGATTTAATGTCAGATTTGGCCAAGGGTCTCATACCCGCGTCTTGGCGTCGCTACTACACAATACCCTCGACACTGACTGTGATCCAGTGGATCAATGACTTTGCGGCGCGCATCCGTCAGCTGATAGAGATCAGCGAGGCAGCCTCTTCGACAGACTACGGCAGCCTGCGAGGCCTGCAGGTCTGGCTAGGCGGCCTGTTCATGCCCGAGGCTTACATCACGGCTACGCGGCAGGCAGTGGCTCAGACCCACGGATGGGCCCTTGAGGAGCTCTTTCTCAGCATGGAGCTTGTTATCGGTGCACAGAAGGAGAGACCACCACCTCTTCCCGCCGACGGATGCTCCTTTGTGGTCAGCGGGCTCCGTCTAATGGGCGCTGAGCCTGCCGATGCCAAGACCATCTGCCTCTCTCATTCTATCTTCTATGAAATGCCTTTTACAATTCTTAAGTGGATTCGGTAAGCTTTCTCATACAAGTCATTTAATCCTAAGATCTTTAATATCCTCCTCATTCCTTTCGATACCAACATCTAATCCTATTATTATAACATCTTGGTTTATGAACTTCGAGTAGTAGTAATGTTTGCTTTCCACACGGCAACTGTCTATCGAATTTGTCTTAGCTTATCATGGGTACTGTTTTTTTTTCTGCGAACAAACATCTATCCTTATATTTGAGGATGTTGAGCATCGTTGCAGCATCACAATTGCTTCCCTTTTTAAACCGTTTTTTATGTTTGCTTTAACACTTTAGGGTTGTGAGGGATGAACAAGGTGTGATTGACGCCAATACTGTGAAACTACCTGTCTACTTAAATGCTGCCCGTTCTGTGCTTCTCTTCACTGTCGGCCTCCATACGAGGGAGCCTGGTAGCGAGTTCTACAAACGCGGAGTTGCACTCCTCTCCTCTCCACTGGGGTGAAAATTTGTCTCTCCTGCCCACTTTTTCTCATGCACATCTACTTTTTGAATTTTAATCATTGCCAACCTGTCGCGCTTTTACGGTTGGTCCTCTTAAATTCCCTCCCCCCCCCCCCTCTCCGCAGATGTTCGTCTCCAGTGTGATTTCCATATGCTCCCTTCCACTGCCCCTTGCCTCGGTGTTCACTGAATTAGTGCTCCAGCAGGCCTATGATACTCTTATTCACCTGGGCATTTTATCTTTTCCCTTGCCGATAAACCATTTATCATTGTTTCTGAATTTCATATTCATCGATTTTGGGTTAAGATAGTAATGTTGAGGGGCTTGGTTTGGTAGCTCGTTGATTCTGTCTTTGACGTTTAAGCTTGTTACTTGTTAAAGTTGTTGACTTGAGTCATAGAAATTGCTCACATCTGTAAAATTAGCTACCAGAAATCAATGTTAAAATTCAATCTGAATGTTATTTCACCTTGGGTCTCAGCAACCATGAGTGATACAAGTGTGTACAACGCAGCAGTTCTATTTTTCGGTCGTTCGATTCCGACTCGGGGCTGGTGTATGGGATTTGAGTTGCCTGAAAAGTGATCGCACATGTATGCCAATAGCAAGACTCAGTCCAGGTGGCGGTTGTTGGCATTACGTGTAGACTTTGCGTTTCAAATCGTGCAGCTAGTCGGAAGCTCTCCGTGTGTACGCTGTTTTAAGATATGTCGAAGTTCTTTGACGTGCATAAAATAGTGTGAAGAATAGCACACTAGTTGGGGTGTGCCAGATACTTTAGCATTACTGGGATTGCGTGGTTAAAATACGGTATTACGCTTGGAACAGGGACGATTTAGCCACGAGATTTTTAGGTGTCCAAGTATTGAACAAGGGGGTAGCTTGATCCCGGCTTCCTAAACCTTTTGCATATTGATGAGCTGAGGTTGAAAGTTTTGATAATTACGCTAGCCTTGTGCTCGGCAAAAAATATCATGAGCGTTTGCCCCATTCTACTCGCCTATGTATCATCACATGGTCTTTCGGGCTTGATCAGAGTATGCCTCGCAATGATTTGCACATAACTATAAAGGCTAACTGGCAGACCAACACAATCTGGAATGTGGGTTAATTCCGTACAAAGTTCAAGTTAGTTAGGCTTGCTAAGGAGATATTTATTGCGAGCTGATTGATGTCTGGTTTCTCGGGGGAATCATGCCATTTGTACGCTTTCAGGCTGCAATTTGCATTGTTTTTCATCATCTTTTATCAAAAATCTGGATCTGGAATTCGTATTAAACCCTTCTCTAATAGTGCCAAAACTTCTACCCTTATGCGTTCTTCGAAATTGTGGACTGAAGCAAAGCACTTTCTAGTCATCTACCAATTTGTGCATAAATGAATTTGTGGTTATGGTTACAATCTTTGGCCCCGAAAACTTCTCAATACCTAACCCTTTGTGTGAAGCATCATATTCTCAAAAATTTGACAAAATTTATTGTTGAACTTAATCGAAAAGACAATAGTAACGATGCATTTCGAAAAAAATTCATGAAGCTCTAGCAGTGTCACGTGTTGTTTCAACTCAAAATCTAGGATGCGGTTCTGAAAACTTATTTCGAATAAACATTACTTACCTTAATATAAAACAAATCAAAGTCTTGCCTATCGGCTATTGTTTAACGGTCAGCATTCGTACGTACGTATTGCTCCGTAGCTGGCCGTTGTACCACCAACTCGACCAGCGCGACGCCAAGCCTGAGAATATTCCGCAATGGCAGCCAATGTCGGCCGCAATCTTTAACTTCGGCCGTTCCTGCACGAGATGAAGCAGTGCAAAAGATATTTTGTAGAACTAAGGTATTTACTTTTGGGCATCTTATAATTTTAGATTATTGAATCTATTATTGACAAATTCGGACGGGGTTTCACACATCGCGGGAGTTTTACTCTGACCCTTTGTTGGTCAACGGAGGGGATATTTTGACTGACTGTTGAATACATATTTTGGTATTTATAAGAAAGTAGCATACTGATCTCGTGTCTTAGGATAGTATTCTCCATACTTGATTCTAACAACTCTGCGCAATTGCATTTATGGATTTTCCTCTATTACAGCCTCATATCAAAGTGATGAGTCATTGCTCTGACAATGCTAAGACAAAATTTTTACTTGCTGGGTTTCGCCCATGGTGGGTGGCACATATGAATGCAACTATTGTTTCGTTCTCCATTGAAATTGTCTGTACCGAAATGCCTAAATTGATGTGGATCTATTTGGTTTGGCAAATCATAAATTTTGTAAGCCACATATTGTGTGGGCGCGCGTAACTTCACATGAATGTGAACTGGTGCTACGCATTTCTCTTGCAGCCATTCTGCGCCATTGTTTGACATTTCGAGGTTAATGATACTTTCTATAATGCCAAGGTGTGCTGCGCTGGGTGTATTATTCGAATGCACAAAAAATCCTAACACCATTGATAAGTCAATGGGGAAAGCTTCTACTTGCTGTTACTTCCCTGTTTCTCATACTGTTTTATGCCACCTTTGATGGACCAATTTATGGGGGAAAATGGGATTTTTTATGGTGCGATATTTTAATTTGATCTCCTTCGCTGAAGTACGTAAATCGAAGTTCAAACTTTTAGGTTAAAAATTAAGGCTGTCAGTGATTCCCCTTCCAAATGTCTTCAAAGTTAGGCCATTTAGCCTTTGTATGAACCTATCTGCACTGTGCAGAACATTTGCAGCTTTTGGATCACAGTTTTAAATGCATCAACAGGAATTTTCATCCCCTACAAATGTGTAAAATTCGAATATGCAACTACGTTCAACTGCCCAGGTCTCAGTAAGAGTTTGCGGAATGACAATCTTGGTCTCGATTCCACTACAATGTAGCTAGTAACTAAATGCCTGTTCGTTTGTCAACCACATCTCAAGATTTCGGTGGAAAATTCGTTCCAAATAATCAGGATGGGTGGGGCGTGTCATGGGCCAATTTGTATTTTTTAAATTTAATTCTCAAACACTATTTTTGGTGTTAAAAGTACCGTAAGACACGAATTTATGAATACGAAGGTTGATTTCGCAGATGCGATGATTAGTGATATTCAAACACTTTTGTACATTATGTTCGAATTATTATTTGCCTGCGGCTATTGGAATCTGCACCTTATGGCCAAGAGGAGTGTAAAGAACTTGAAAAGTGTGCTAGAAAAGTGCTGAAGATTTGGACAAATTGTCCTAGTTTAATGTAAGTATTTGCACTTCCATGACCGCTCAGTCTGCTAATTAAATCTATTTTCGCAACAAAATATGGTCCCGCAATGAAACCTACGCATCTCCCCATCTCCTATCCTCATTTGTAGTTTGTGCAACATCTAACAACGTAATGTGAAACTAAAACCTGTGACTCAAAACTATTCTTAAGCGTCTTAATTTTCCCTTTAAAAGCTCACGCCTCTTTTTCTGGAAGGTTGGGCTAGCTATCAGTTTGTCGCGCAAATCAGGATCACGTTATTTAGAAGTGATATATTTTATTTCTCCCCTGAAGTTGACTAAATCTGCTTGCGAAGCAGTGACCAACCATCCCTTGGGTAATTCTCCTGCGTAAAACGAATCAACTTTTCCGGTGGCACTTTCGGCGCAATCAACTAATCGCATCGACGCTTAATTTTGCATACTTTTGGTAGTTAAGTGATTCGTTTAGCTTTTTACCCGACTATCTATTTATTTGGTTTTATTTCAATTCGAATCCCTCCATTTCCTAATTAATCATGACAGTTATTTTATAACATTTGTTTAAGGATATCTCTTGTAGTTTGAGTAGTATGGATACTTTGTACCTGAGGCAAGATGCTCTGTTGGTGGCCTCGGGCATTAGTGGTACCTTTGTAACGTTTGTTTCTCTGTGACATCCGGCCAGACAAAAAAATAGTCTCACGTCAAGGACGTCAAATATTGGTACGTGACTGCACACATTGAAACTGTAGTTACAGCCAAAAAGGGCAACTGCAAGAATAATTGCAAATATCTTGGAGTAAGCTAATACCAGCTATGGATGATGCTGCACTAGAGTTTGGTCTCAGTAGCTTCACGTTAATACTAAAGGGCCTTGCTAAACTTATAGATTTTTAGACATTCATAAAGAATATACAAATGAGTGTTAGCAAGGTCTTCTAATTTTTTCGAATGAATATACTTTGCTGCCAAAGATATAAATTTTCCGTTAAATGCTATTCTCAAGCTTTAGGAGGAATGGTATCTGCACATATAACACTTGCCTTTTGTTTGGATGTTTGATCGCATTTAAAAGCCTGCATCCCTCTCTCTTTGATAACGCCTGCTTTTTACCATAGCACTTGGCTAGAAAGTTGAGCACTGAAAGTGTTACGCGTGATGTTATGAAATTCGTCTATTATTTATTCAGAGAGGAGCTTCTGATTTGGTTACAATGATCGCGATTATCAGTCAGTGCAATTTAAGCTGTCAATTCCTGTAGACAGACGGTGTGATTAATTGCCATCAGGAACAAAACAGTAAGTATCGCAATTTCATAATTTAGTTTGCCTGAAAATATACTACTTGTCAGAGAGCTGCATTTGTAGGGTGATTTCAGCCTATAAACTAAAGCCGGTGGTTGACACGTTAGATTGACATTAGAGTCATGACGAGGAAGTAGGGCTGTCTACTGTCAAATGTGACGTAAACAATGCTCGAAGTTGCACGCATTCGCACGAACAATGCGGCAGGCTGAGACGCGCAGTAGTGTGCCCGCAACTGCACGCCCTGGTTGCGCACCGCAGGTCCGAGGCTTTTCGTGTGCAGCCCCGTGCATTCGTCGGACAGGCACACTACCACACAAGTGCGCAAGCATTGCGTCAGAGCAGGGATCAGAGATGTCCGAACAGCACAACGAGAGTCGACGCTTGGTCGAGTGGACCACACTCTACGCGCTCCTCCTCCTCCTCCTCCTCCTCTCGGTTGCTGTCACACCAGCTCACTCTGCCAAGGGTTATCTTACTCTGGGCCGGCGGGTAAGATAGACAAATCACGTAGGCCTCCCTTCGTCCGGTTATACCCCATACCATTCTGCCAATCCACATTGGGACACTGGTTTTCGTGCTTCTTTTATCAACACGAAGTGGCCTTATATTTGACCTTTTTCAAAGTTTTGGTTATTTTAAAACAAATCGAAATTATGTTTACTCACCTACTACTGTTTTACTACGGTGGTCTAATTTTAATGCACTTCTTAATACTACACATTTTTGTCACCGCCATATGAATGACCATGTAAATCCTACTTAAACCTCGAGGCATTTGGGCGAAATAAGCATGAGTGGAATTTTCACACAAACCTAAGGTACTTCCTGTTAAATTATGTCGATATATATATATATATGTGCATATTTTTTTAATTTGACAACAGTGATTTGAGGTATAAAGCATGCAGCCATTTGCTGCTATCCAACAGCATCAAATGATTGTGGTTTGTCTAAACAATAAGCCCTGTAGACTTTGTAGTTATTATACTTGTCTTCATTCTTCACATGTTACTGAAATTTTCTTTAACTACTTTAACTTCTCACACATAAAGCTTTGAAATGCTCCCTTCGCTCCCAACGAGTTCAATAAGCAATATGAGGGAAACATGCATGCAAACTTTGATGCAGTTTGTTAACTAAGTACCGTTATACTTTATAATTAGTAGAGCTAATAAAAGACCAGTTAAGCCGCCATCGAAATGGTAACTTTGGAGATTTTATAAGCAAAGGAATATGTGTAATGCTCTAACAACCCCTTTCAGGGTATTCGTTTCCCGTGCGCTTGGCTAGAGCGAGATGGTTTTTTTGATCCACGAAACAATTTCGTCTCCAAAACGCCCTTCGTACAAAGCCGTTCCAAATGTCAGGGTAAAGGCCACTGTGTCATGAATTGGCTTCCTGCCAATTCAGCTCACGCCCTCACATTCAAGCTCATCGGCACCGACGGTGAGTCTAATCGCCTTCATTTCGAGTGTTTGAGTAACAAGAAAGTCTACGTAGAAGCTAGTACACATACCAATCAAGTTGATATTTTTTCCGTGAAGATTACCGAGAATAATATTTATAAATCCAGTTTTGAACATGGGAGATTTGCACCACCAATTGAAATAAGCTCAGCTTTTATTTCTTGCTAAACTGGTCGTAAGTTTGTCACAGTCCCACGTTGCCTACATTACCAAGCTCCTAAGCATTCCCGAAGAACTGCTACAAATAGCGCCTAATCCAGGTTTTCAAAACTGCAGTAGATATTTTACATACAAGGCAGCGACTTGAAACAGTCCATTCAAACTAGGGCCAAAGTGGTCAGTCTTAATTTGTTTTTGTTAATCTTTAAGGGTGACTGATTCCCAGGAATGCAGAAAATTTCGAATTTTACGGAAACTAAAATGCACATCAATTACCTCGACAATTGCTGTAAAATGCACCAATCGACTTACTGTGACAACAGTTACGTTAGTTTTAATAAAGCTGCATATTGAGAGGGTCAGATGTGAAAAATGACACAGCCTTAACTAGCCTGTACGAACTGTAAAACTAAGCCCACAAGAGTAGTCGTCATTGAAAATATAAGTATCGCAAAAATAGATATTAACTCAAGCAGATGACGATAGTCACATTCTATCTTGAAGCGAATTTGCTTCCGTATCTGTCTCGTCGCTCTCAGACTAAGACCAATGCATTTCCAAGCCTACCTTTTTCACCGAAACGAAATTTCCCTTTTTACTAATCGAGGTTTTCCCTTAACTGGAACCAGCTCTGAATAGCGGACGTGAATTTTAGCTGCCTTTTGTTCAAGTGTAGATAACTAGAATTTATTCATTAGTTTAAACTCTGTTGTGAAGCAGAAAAAATATTTCAGTGAAACACCTTGAGTAGAAATTCAAAGTTGTATTTTATACAGGACACATCTGAAAATCGTTGGTAGTTTAAATGGGTGGATATAAAGTTAAAGGGAACAATGTTATGGCCTCCAAGACGGGGAAGTCATTTGCGAAAGGTATTTGTTGCAAAGTAGCAAGCCTGGGTTATTTGGTAGTTGTTGCCAAAAACAAATCAATTTTTTATACCAATAGTAGGAATGTCTGAAGTTCTAGATGTCGGGCTGTTAAAATTGGTATTAGATATGCCTTTCGGATGGATTGGTCGTTCGCTCATGTGATCTGAAAAATGTTGTTGTTTGTTTGTTGTTGTTGCTGTTTTATTCATTTGAATAGTTCCATGAAAAATATTCGAGAAACCGTTACTAGTTGTATTTTCAAGCGGAGTTAAGGATTGATTAAATACCCGTATGTACTTGACTAAACTAGAACATAGGGAACGCAATAATGGATTCCTTAGTCAAAATGTAAATTTGTTTTTGTTTTGAAGATTGTACTGAAATAATCAAAAGTAACGCTATTTGTGTGGCATTCTCCGTACAGATATGCACGACTACCAATTTCAAGCTCACTTTTGCGAGCCTGTGTACGAAGCTCAGCACCTGCACTGCACCAAACAGGATGGAGAAGTGGCCTTCACGATGCGTCAAATAGGTACGTGGTTGACACTCTCGAGCGTCTTCTGTCGGTGCACCCGGCCTGCTGAGGTTACTTCTATCAGCTATGCACATGGCATCAACCCCACCGACATTGCATTCCGAGGCGTCTTTTATGAAATGGCTTGTGCTTCCATGGTAGGTGACGTTGTTGAATATTGAGATGCAAAAACGGTATACTGGGGACTCACTTTAAGTACCTAGATATTCTCAAGGCAGATACGTAGTTTATTCCAATTTTAAATGCTATAAACATGCGATGCTCACCAACTTTGCTGCAAAAGATGTGCAAAAGTGAAGTCTCTTCTTAGCCTTAGCAAGAATCTATTCAAACAATTTCTAGAAGAGTTATGGTAATATGCAAAAGAAATCAATCAGTATTGATACCAGAATCCACTCACTGTTAATAAATCCACTCATCTTCAGCGCGAGTGCAGGGTCGATGAGAGCTGCTTCATAGAGACACCGAACAGTGACGGTCTTCTTTATGGTGGCAAGGTGATGTGTTTGTGTCCAAAGAAGACTTTCTGCCCTATCTACTTTATTGGAAAAAAGCGCGTTCCCTTCATAGACAGCCAGCAGAGGATAACCCATTACGGATTGAAGTGCAAGCGACGTTCTTATTGAGCGTCCAATGTGAAATCCCAAACAACTAATCCAAGTTTATTAACTTATGAACTCATTTTAATTTCCTTCCACTATCATCCGACTGGGCTGATTTCCTCCATATTGTCTACTGTGAATATAAATTTCGTCATTAAACAATGTGTTCAGGCAGATTCATCTGCTCAACATATTTGATGACGTCAACTGCTTTATTAATACTTAAAAAATACGCAACTGCATCCACCGTCCCCTTAGCAAACCACCTTCCTTGTACCATAGGGTATGCGACATTGAAAATGGTCTCTTTACCTAGGCCACCTCGATACCTTCATTAGCCCTTAATTTCTACCAGAATGTTTCCATTAAACAAATCGGCAAAAAATAGTTAGAATAATGAACATATGACACTTTCAGGGCTGAGGAGACGTGTGCCCTATTCGTCACTATTATTTATTAATTACATCTCCAAAATATCCGGAACTGGCGAATACCCTCTGAATATGATGGCGTTGACTGTAGAGCTGTTGGAAAGTCTTTTTTGGTACATGAACGACTAGTGGAGTATGATTATCGTGATTTTGTCCGCACGAATTCCCATATCTTTTATCACCTTAAAATTGAATAATATTTAAACCAAAATTAAAGTCACGAAATACTCATACTGGTACTGATAACCTAGGGATTTGCTGTTTCGACACTTGACTGACGCTTTGAATCCTGCGTCATTGCCACCTCAGTGTTGGAACGTGGTGGTTAACCTTTCCGATGCGATCACACCCGCCTCTGTGCCAAGACTTCACGTAATTGGCTGAATATCACAAAGATATTGTTTTACCCCTTCTTCGTAGGGTCCGTCACGAGCGCGCTAATACCGCCACTTTCAACTCTTATTCAACATTTTTTAAAATTAATCATAGTTTGGAATCGATTCACAAATTGCTCATCATATCCTTATCAAAAGACGTAAAGCTCTTCATATGTTAGAGGAGCAGGCAAATGATTTCTCTTTAAACAATTCTATCATCTCAAAGTCCCAGACGCTTGAGCACTTTTCTAATCTGCAAATGGGAGAACTTTTAAGTGAATTAGAATTATTTTGCATTGAAACAAATGAGCACAAACCACCAGTCCTTAAAATTTTTCGCAATTGGGTGTGGCGTTGGTTTTAACCTTGATGGTTTGAAAAAGGGTTAGGTATTGTGAAGTATTTAGCTAAATTGTATAACGCTGCCTGTGTATCGCTATCCGTGAGCAGTTAACAACACCCGCTCACATCAGTTAAGGCTGGGCTGGTAACCAGCGGTGCCACGACCAGTTTATCACGAACACCTCCGCTGATCCTCGGCGTGGGTGACTCATTCGCCTGGACGCCTTGGTCAATTGTGTGCGAGCCCATAAGCCCATTCCGCCGCACTCCGTCACGCAACACTGGACTGGCATTTGCCTACCGGTGGTGCACTTTTAACCACCAACCCTCACCTCTTACCTCCGAAAGAGGGGGTTGACATTTTCCATCGTACTGAACTCAAAAGCCCCGTTGATCCGGACTCTCCATTTAATATATGTATGAAGAATGCCATCGATCGTTGTAACAATCATATTAAAGGGAACAAGTATACTTCTGTTAAGCAGTTATCATTAGGGAATGCATCCGAGTCGTCATAAAATTCGTAACTATAAATTGGTACATTAACGTAGCTCAGAAAGATCTACAGCGTGGTCGCAAAAAGTAAACGTTTATGAAACACCTAGCAGGAACATCGATAAGCATCGAAGCGCAGCAGTGTATTTATATTACTGGTAAGATTTAAGACCATCTCCAGAATGGCTAGAAAGTGCTCGATTACGTACCGTAAGAATATCGCCATTGGACAATAAGATAACTAGTACAGATTCAAGTATTCATTGCTACTGCTCATCGTATCCGTAAATAAATAGGATATTGCCAGTTTTGTTATACACAAATGGTTATTTTGCCTACAAGTCACTACAGCTCTAAACTCCAAAGAATTTGACCTTATTTGAGCAAAAGAGTGATTTACACCTTAAACTTAATACCATTCCCAACGGGTGAACACTAATAACAACACAAACAACTTCACCGAACAACGAATTTACCTTTGGCATGGAGTGAGCACAAGGAGTGAAGAGATTATAAGGTCAAGGGCCAGGCAAACATGAAATTTAGTGGATGGGCCCCGCATTGTTCGGACCCGAGAATTGAGTTTTAATAATTGTTAATTTGGCAGTAGTGATAACACTCCAGTGTAAATCACCTCTTGTAATGCGTTTTGGAAAGGTTACTCCCAAAGAAGCACGTTCGTTGTGAGGAGATCTCAGTACCGTTAGTAGTCAAGCAGCTTACCGCTAAATAGTAGCTTGAAAAGTTAACCCCCAAAACCCACGTTATTCGAGTGCCCGATCACCGTTGCGGCATGTGCCAGTAAATCTTTTCTACTAGCCATCACCTATGGTGACTCACTGAGACTATAGTGAAATAGATCGAATGTTCTGCTCCATGACAACATACCCAAGTCTACGCGATTGCACAGCGCCACGCAGATCGCAATCCCTGCTAGAAAGTCTACCCTACTGTCGCCACTTTCGGTCGGTCGGTCAATTTCAGAAAGTCCTCAAAAATACTAAGAAATTTTAAACCAGGAACCTACTTCAGAGGTTAAATTCACAGTAAAAGTACCACATTAGCTACACTTTGCTTACGACAGCCCAGCGAGGAGATTTGTGCAACCCTGAGCAAGTTAGCCAAGTTCCACCAGTGTTAAATACCCGTTGAAGAAGACTGGATATATAAACAAGCGGGATTTTGGTTTCAAACTGGTCCAATGGAAAAGGACCGCAACCCACTTCCTCGTACGAAACTACCTTCAGACGGCTCGGCGTTACCGAATACCAAAGGGGATGATTGCAATTTGCGTAATGTACACCACCTGTGCACGTGTTCAGAAGCTAACAAACGACATTTATAGGGAAGAGAGGAAATACAGGGAACAGACCAAATTAATCGAAAAACCAATCCTCGAGTCCAAGAGTATTAATGAACCTTACAATCACCCACTGATGCAACTGGTCACCTGCAATCAATCCCACGAGAAAGCGTCTCCAAGCGACCCATGTCCCCCTTCCCTCCCACCAATGTGCAGATCGAACCGATCACAAACGGAGACCAAAACGCATGAACAGCGCACCCCACACATCTAAACGAGTAATCACAATTCAAATATTTTTTATATTTCCTACGAAATCACACCAAGTCTGATAAAGTACAGCATCTCAAAGAGAGACAACATTCTAAAGATTAGAACCCGTGCCATTAGGTTGTTGAGGCATGTAAAGCTGAACCGGGTGGGGCTGGGGGTGAACGGTCTGAGGAATACTGAAGGTGTTTGGAACGCCCTGATGGGCTACGCCCATGGTCATGGCCTGAGCCAGCATTTGCTGAGGCGAGAGTTGGTAGGGACCAGCAGTAAAAAATAGGTGAGGCTGTGGTTGCTGTTGAACAGATTGCACAGTTCCCGGCTGCTGAGCAGCCTGTAGTTGTAAAGGTTGCGATGGCATGAGAGATTGCTGACCTTGATTGTGCAATTGAGACCCAATTTGAGGCTGACCTCCAGCTCCAACTTGCTGTATAGGGAAAGGAATCAAACCAGGTGCTTGGTAGACAGGCTGAGAATAGTAGCCAAGCGAACCTGGAGGAGCCTGCGATCCGATTAGTTGACCTGTTGAATACTGAGGGTAAGCAGCTATGCCAGCAGGGCCTTGAACGCTTCCAGGGTGGGGACTGTAACCAGGGTGAAACTGAGCTCCTTGTACCTGAGAGGAAGAAGTAATGGCTTGCGAACTCGGCTGCAGGTGGTTTACTTGCCCAGATGGTGGCTGCGTAGAATGCGAAGTCGCAGAGGACTGCTGTCCCGAAGCTTGAGAGGCAGAGACAGTACCAGTGAAGGCATGCATCCCAGAGTATGCCGTTGTATGAAAATTTCCAGTGACTGGCGAAATGAGTGGAACGCCTATCGAATAAGAAGCAGCTTGAACTATAGGAAACCCCTGAGGGAATATTGGGAAGGGTAACTGTTGAGATGCCGTGTTAGCTTGGTCAATGGAACGCTGTTTAGAATAATTTCCAGCAGGAACACTTTGCCTTGGTCCCCTTGATCCAACTGCGGACTGAGCCACACTTGGCTGACTAGATAATGATCCTGGAGCAGATAATTGTTGAGACACCATGGCTAGATGTTGAGGAGAAAAATTGATTTGGGGGTGACGCAAAGTCGTAAACTGGGAAGCCATTGCAGATGATAATACGCAAGGGACAGAAGAGGGCAAATTAAACTGAACAGCGGGAGTAGGACCGTTTGGTAAAGGGTGCTGACCAGATACTGCAAAACCAGACACCGATAGAGGCATCGGTTGAGAATACGCAGCAGGATTGAAGGTGGCACCGGCAAGACCTGCCGACTCAAGAGGTTTAATAATTCCTGCAGGCTTGAACTCTGGCGCATCCGGATCCAGAAAACCCTTCTTCTTATCCTCCCTTTTCCCTACACTCTCGGCTGGCTTCAACGAATCCTTCTCCGGCGATGCGGATGCATTTTCAGAGGCATCCATGGTTGGAGACTCATGAGAGGATGGTTTTGGAGAAACTTTCTCCAAGGCGGTGTCAGATGATGCTTTACTTGGTGTCGAATCACTGCATGACTTGTTCTGATCTCGTAGTGGGGCAGAATTGGATTTCAGTGATTTTGTTTCCGTAGATTTGTGTACTTCAGAATATTCTCGAGGTAAAGAGGCACGGTTGTTCCCACGTCCCCCCTTTTTATTAGTACGAACAAAGGTATTTTTGAACTCCCTACCTTGGACGCCATCCTGCAACACGGCACTAAACTTCAGCTCCTCGTTTTCAGCTTCACCATCGGCTAAGCTTTCCCATGCTGAAGCAAGGCATTTATTATCTTCAATCTCCTTTGCAACTTTTGCATAGTATTCCTCCTTTGCCTTGAACTCTGGATCAGTTTTGTCCAGTGGTACCCTACAGCAATCAAGACCATCAATTCGCTTACGTGTACCCTTCAAGATTTTCGCGATAAGAAGAAGTGACATTGTATTTCTGTTTATTTACTTCAAACATTTGATCTGGAGGGAAGTGTTCATCTGACGTCAAGGAAAATGCTTCCGCGTCCTCATTGGATGTGAAAAAGTGCTGTAAGCAAGTATCTGGATCGTCGAGCTGAAAAGAACTCTCATCTGCCACCAGTTCCTCTAGAAAATGCAATGACTAAACAATGTACCTTTCTGCACTTCAACAGAATTAACGTTACGGACGATGATTTTCTGAATATCAGACAAAGGTATAACTTTATCCTCGTCCAAACGAAAAGGACCATCATTGGATCCTCGAGGAGCGGAACGGACAAACTTCATGCCAAAACCACCCTACAACGCTAGCATAAAGTATCCCACATACGTTAGGAGCAACAGCTTTGATAACTCCAACGTAATCGTAAGTAGGCGTGGAAATCTCACCGACATTCCCCTGGGAAAAACAATTTGTACAAAAGAAAACCAACTACCATGAAACAACGTGCGAACTGGTAGGTCAAATGTGGACTTGAAAATAGTCCAATCTCACTGGAAGAAGAGCCCTATGCAATTAAGTTCAGATATAACTAGAGATTACCGGAGCCGTGGACAACTTAGGATGATGCGTAGGAGGCTTCTTGCGGGGTCTAAGCAACATTAGAGAATACAAATGATACCTCTGTGTTAGTCTAACAATGCGCTTATTAACACTAGACATCCTTAATCACTCCCAACAATGTGACACGAACGTCGGCGTACGAAGTAAACAACTGTAGAGATTCTTCGGATATGCAAACCAATGGAAAAATTAAAACAAATTTTCACTCCGAGATACCGCATCAAATTAGTCACTTGTATTACAGTACGAGGTGTTGATTTAGTTCGCAAACAGATCATCTGGAAATAAAAACAAAAATTAAGGGAAAGATAAAATTTAAACAAGATTCAATTAGCTAAAAAATTTTCTAACGTAAGATGTATGTGTACCCAGTACTCCATAACTTGATTGTGCGCAATCTTGCAACTTTACTTTTACTGCAAGCACACTTACAAATAGTAGATCAAGAATGGTCCCCTAAGCCCAAAACTTAGGTTGGCTTAAAACATTTGTTTTAAGAACTCTGATAACCACTGCAGCCAGTTATTAACAGTGCCGCGAACGGCTTTTATATCTTGTTCTGTGCCTTTTTTGTGGCGAAAATACGAGGTTACATCATGATTCAGTAATATCCCTCAGTAGTATCACACGTTGGTATTGCCCCTTTGACTGCTGATAATTTAACCAAATTTTCTGCCACCTAAAATGCTTTTCAAAAACACCAATTTTTAACTACACATCCTTTTAATTCCCTTGGTAATATCTCCGGAACAACATGTTTTGAATTTGATTTCTCACTTGCGTTGGAGTATGGCAGTTTTCTACATCAGGTGCTCTCGACTTAAATCATTGAGTACACGAAGAATCCTTTAAAAACATTTTATAATTTTCCGTTTTTCCGATGTCTCCTCTCAGGGCTTCCTCAACCTTGGGACTTATTTGATTATTGGACGGAGAGCACATTAGTGGTGTTCGCACCTATGTAGGTGTGGTCACGTCAGGGCCTCAGTAACAAAGCCGTGGTTTGGCATTAGATTTTGCAAAACACAAGGCACCTTCTTAAGTACCACAGCCAGAAGTATGCAAGGCCAAGTCAAAGTACGAAGATCGCCAGAGCAGGATGCAAAATTCCGTGAAATCCAAAGTGAAGCAAAACGACGTTTTTCTTTTCTAGCCAAGGAAGTTCTCGCAAAACGTCGATCGGGAATTTTTGATCTTGAAGTGTTAGAAGAGCTTGCTGAACTTTTAGAACAATCGCCGGATATGTTTACAATGTGGAATTATCGTCGGGAAATAATCCTTAATTCCGCCAACTTCGACATTTCAGTTGATGCTAGATCTAGAATATTTGACAACGAACTTACCTTAACTGCAAAGTGTTTTTTAAAGAACTCGAAGTCCTACGCAACTTGGCATCATCGGAGTTGGGTGATGTCCCACCATCCACATCCTGATTGGCAGAATGAGCTAAATCTTTGCAATGAAGCTCTTAAGTCGAATGAACGAAACTTTCATTGTTGGGACTATCGGAGATTTGTCGTTGAAAGTTCTCGGACGCCCAATACCGATGAGCTCCATTTTACATGCCTGACCTTGGAGGAAAACTTCAGTAATTATTCTGCTTGGCATTACAGAAGCGGATTGATTGGCGCAGATGATGAAGTCTGCACGGTTGCAACTCCGGTCAGCCCACCACCCAAATTTGAAGTCGATCGGAAGAACGAAAATTCTAGGTTCCCATGGGATGAATTTGATCTGGTCCACAATGCCATTTTTACTGATCCTAAGGATCAGGGTCCCTGGTTTTATTATTCGTGGTTGCTCGGACGTGGTGTGAAAGATTGTTACCTCCGTGAACTTTACCTTTCAAGGAGTCTTCAACGTGCCGTCCTAGTCTTTACATCCCCAAAACTCAAGAGTGCCATAAGTCACTTGCTTGTTGACATAACTGTAACCGACTCATCCACCAACACACTCAATTCCTACACTCCCGACGATCTTGACGGCTGGAAAAGCGCTTTGGATGACAATGTTTCTGCTGTGTGGTGGTTTGAACTTCCAAAGACCATTATTGATGGGTGTGCGGTATCTGTGACTGTCCATTCCGAGGAAAGGGGAGGTAAGACCCCTGTTTACTCCTCCACAGTTGAGAGTTCTAAAACGTGGCTATTTTGTCGGATGGAAGCAGATCAGCAGGAATCTTTGACTAGGGTTGCTCTTGACCCTCGACGTCTTCTCAATTTTATGGTGTCTCCTGTCCATGAACCATCCAGCTTGATGGGTGAGCTCGATACTGTTCGTGAACTTGTTGCATTGGAACCTAATAATAAGTGGGCGTTATTTACCCTTGTCAATTTACTTCGTTATATTCGCCCTCCCAACTGTGCTACCGAAATTGAAACCGCTGTCAAAACTTTGAAGACTGTCGATGGTCACAGGAAGCGTTATTATGCCGATATGGCCAGTGCACATGCCACCGAAGATGCTCTTGTTGCATCCTTTGCTATTAATTCACGTGTTCTCAATCTTTCAGGAGTTGGGTTAACACGTGTTTGCTGCCTTGATTGGTGCAGTCTTATGACGGAACTTAATTTATCGAGCAACAACTTGGATATGCTCCCTGGAACATGCGCTTATCTTGTGTGTCTTAAGGAATTTAACTTAGATGACAACCGCATATCTTCTCTGGGGCCAATTGCTGGTCTTCCCCAGCTAAAGCATATGTCTGTATGCCGCAATCTCATCACCCACTTTGAAGGACTTGAACCCATTCTTTCTTGTCCCAATCTTCGTGATCTTGATATTACTGGGAATGAAGTTGCTGAGTTGTCCAATTTTACGGTCCTCCTGGCCGAACACCCCTACTCAAAGGGTAGTCACAATTCTCTTAACGTTGTGTACAATAAACCGGTCAGGACATAGCTGACGGTAGCCTGTGCATATCGTTTTGTATCAACATTGTAATATTTACCAACATCTCCACGTCTGCTTATTTGCGGCTCCTTAAAGGTGTTTATGGATATTAAAATATCTGTGGCAATTCCCATAATTCAACCTGACTATTTGTTTCTGCGCCGTATATCTCTATCATGTGATAGCATTCCTCTGTTGTTGCTTTACACTTTGTCACAACGGCATTTAATTAAAAGTAAATGTCTTGATTATGAAGTACCTTACTTTTTTGCCTGAGTTTGTTTGTACTGCCATCGACTACTTTGTCTTATCAAACGCCTTTGGTTTTTGTGCGGTTGCGATTATGCAACTAGAAATGTCTTGGAATGGACAAGGATCCGTCAGAATGAATGTTTTTTAGCGAATTGTCTGAATTATCCTCGTCTACCGAACTTTTTACACTTGTGCCTTTGAAAGGAAGTATGTCCGTATTCGTCTTGGTCATTTACTGCCATTATTTTGATAGGGTGTGAGAACTGAATATACGTTCTTCTTACCATGATACTATACTTATTAGGGCGCATGCTATGGCACGATACCTGGATGCTGTCATATTTTCAATTTCTGAGTTTGTTTTCGCATCAAAGTGTGCTTGAGGGACGGTGGTAGATATTCCCGCTTTGGTTCTCATGGTTACGCTCTCCATGGGCTATGTTCATGGGTCTAGTGATGCGAAGCGTTAGACTTCTATTGATAGATCCTCTCAGTATTCTTGATCGCGCTGTAGTGATCAATATTCATGGTTTGCTTGTGGATTTTTTTACTGTGGCCAATCCTTCTCATAATGCGGCCTTAAGGTAGTTTAGTCTTTTGTACACAGGTTGGCTGTTATGGGATACGTCCCCTTCTCGAAAAGTGAAAATAAGGTTCAAATAGCCTAATTTATGCTTTTCGTTATTGGTAGGCTGCAAATCTGTGCTTTTAGACATTTGACAGCATGCGAGGAATTAATTTGTACAAAGCCGGCATGGAGGGTCTCGACGCTAAGACGATTGACAAAATTATCGAAGATAATTCCAAGGGTAAGCTATAAACGATCTATTTTGTATTGATTCCTGATCCTTCCCCTTGCTTCAGCAGCTAGTGGAATCTATGTTTTGGGGTTAGATCCGTTGCGTGATGCTCAAGAATGCGGTGTAATTGTTAGCTATTAACTTTCTCCTTTGAGTTTGAGCAGTAAGGAATTTCCACCCTTTAGCACTGTGGATGATAGAACAGGAGGTCGATCCGCCACAGATACACTTAATTTCAATGTTAACGTAAGATGCTGGCGTCTTTGTAGTGAACTCCAGTAACTGAGAATCTGGACTGTATTCACTCCCCTCTAGTTAGATTTTGAGCTTTTCCTTACAGTAATGTTCTTTGAAATTTGTACCGAAGTACTGCACGTTTCCAGTCTCCATACCTTCCATTATAAATCATTAACATGGCAAACATTCCCTAACACGTTGCGGTCATAAGAAAATAGCAGTCATCTACCAAAAAACACCAGCTGTTATTTTTTGCCGTTAGTAAGCTAGCGATTACCGTTGAGTATAAACTAATGCACCAAACCTTTCCTTAGGGTCCAAATTTTATGAAAATGAGGTGCGACGTGGTGCCATTCTGAAGGAACAAGTTGCAAGGAAGCTAGCAAAACTTCGGTCTCTGACTAAGGAAGAAATTGACGCGGGTGAGAAGGATGTAAGCTCTGCGTAGCGTACATATATGTGTCTCATCCATGATCAAACAGACGGCATTCGGATAAGAATGCTGCGCGCATTAGCCATTTTCTACATATAATTTAACGTCAGGCAATTAGTTGCTCTGACATTTTTTTGGCTTTTTCGTGTTTGGTGTTGCACCAACTATGTTCAGTTTTTGCGTCCCATAGCTTTTCTCAGGTGGAGGCATTGGCCCCATAACTCCCTTTTTAGGAAGCTGTACATAAATATGAAATCCTATCCTTGTTGAATCATGGACCACGAATTCGATTGACAGTCTGCTTGACTTGCAGTGCTATTATGACCATTTGCTAATTTTAAATTAACAGCTTTTATCTGAACTGCTATTTTGGCCTCAATCAGGTACGAGTTTCACTTGAAAGGAATGTGACACATTACTTCTCGCATGCAGATGAGATCGCTGCCTTTTAATTAACATCAAATGCCATATGCAACCAGACGAACAACTTTTTAGTGGTGTTTTGATATTCAATTCCCAAATCCGTCTTGAAAGCCGTACTTGATCCAGCCTATTTTATGGCTTTGGTGTGTTGGGCGTATAGAAGCATTTGCCTGTGTCCCCTCACGCTGACAAAACTCAATTTAATAAAATGGGATCAGAGCTGGTTCGATTATTTTCGTTGTTAAATTCCTCGGTCATGTGCGCAGAAAGTGCCGAAATTTGGGGCAAATCGTCATAAAAGTACCCACCTTCATAGATTTTCCAATTAATGCTTATTTTTGAGCAGAAAACCGCTATAGATGGAGTGTTTTTTCCATTTACTTCATGGATTTAGTCTTATTACATCTGAGTATAGCTCCCTTATATATATATATATATATATATGTACTGTCTCTATATAAGCTGCGACCAAATAATCTAAAAGAATGTACTGGTAGTTTTAGACCAATCCTTCACCTTTTGTAAACGCTTGCAAGTGGGTCCAGTTATAAAAAACTTATCTAATTGTCGTCATATGCGCAAATTTCCCTTAATTGGTTGCCAATCTTTCCTAACTGTTGATTATTTGACACATGAAAGAAACGTTTTTCATTTCGCTCCTGTTTCGATTCAGTGAGTTATTGGACCATTCGATTGGGTAGACAAGCACTTGCCTTTACTCTTCCTCTTTATTTGTACTAGGAACCGCAAAACATCAAATCTGGTCACTTCCACTTCCTCATTGTAGGCTGACAAACTGCTGCGGAGTTACTGCACTGAAAGGCGGTTCGACAGGTGCATTGTTCACATCGACATGGATGCATTCTACGCGGCAGTGGAAATGCGGGATGATCCGTCGCTTCGCCTTAAACCCCTGGCTGTTGGTAGCCAGAGCATGTTGGTAAAACATTGTACTATTTCCATCTTCCAATTGAACGCTTGCTTAAGTTTTAAACCGTATATGGAAATAATCTACACACTACAGCTTTTGTTGGCTCCTCTTTTAAAGTAATGTAGATATCTGTGCCACAAGAAGAATCGGTTTACACGCTCTCGTATGTAATACCATTAATCTAAACATATCACAGTCGAGGCATGTTTCATCCTTTGCTTCTCCCAACGGAGCCAAAAGTTTGTTTTTTGCGTGGCTGAGCCGATGCGAGCTTCATCCTGAAATTGAATGTGATTTCAAAGTATGATTGATAAGCATATGAATATGGAACCGTATGTGAATCGACTCATTTTTATATACGGTAGTTTCCTTTTTCGAGAGTCCTACTTATACCGTGGGATAAATGCATGCTAGTCTTGTCAGCTGAGGTCGTGTTTTGTTGGCGAAATACGTTTAATAATCATCTCCATAAGTGCGTGTATTTATTAATTTACGAATAAATACGTTTATCGAAGTGATGCGGTCGAAAGCGGTTCAGATTCAAATGCGCTTACTTTACATCTTTCATGTATTTACAGCAGAGATTCAAATGTGTGGAAATCAAAATCTCTTTCGTTGGTCATCAGTTTCTTCTCATTAGGATTGTGGTTACTGTGTAGCATTTACTACAGCCACGAAACATCCGTTACTGTTTGGGCACGAAAGGGCTGTTCTAGTTTACTGGCCAAAGAAAGCGTTAATAGCAGCAAAGGTGTGATGCAAATTGGGATTTAGTAGAAGGAAGTATATGCTCAACTGCACCAATGCTGCGCCTTCAGAAAACGTACCCAATTTTGGTTAAAGCTTTCAAGCCCACAGAATTATTTTAAATTGTGCATATATCCTCATATGCTGTTACCAACTTCGGTCATACCTGAACGGCAAAATCAGTTTTCATAGCTGGCACATTTGCCAAATTTTATTCAAAAATAGTCAGCTCCGGCTGCCAATAGCTTAGGTTAGATTAGCAGTCGCATCATGTTTCCTCACAGGTCACGGACCTATATGTGACCTAACGTTATTTATCTAATCATATTCAAGTGTATTCATTTTTACATTAAAAGGATCTTGTCAATCTTCTATTAGGGTTTTTTCATCCTGATCACAGTCGTATTCCTAGTTTTGAGTGTTCCGTGTCTGATGGGCTGATATCATCTTTGAGTAACTACTAGAATCAACTCGTTTTCAGCAAAAGATCATGTGTTTGATCTAACAATCGGCCATGTGAAATCTGTCTTGGTAATAATATCTAATGCTAGTCACATTTCATGCTCAAAATATCCTTCATTCTGGCGACTGTCAATAGTATCTTTCCAGTCGAAGCACCTGTGCTAAATTAAGCCGGTTTTTGGGAACTAGTGATTCCAAAATTTTCTTATGTTGCGTGGCACTCAATTAGGATGCATAACGATTTCGACTTAAAACACTGGAAATTGCATGAAGCCATTTGCGTATCATGTTTTCCGAGAGTTATCACAGCGCTTTCACGGGTGTGGTTTGGACAGCTGCACTTCGCATTTATATTCATCTTGGTTTTTCGTGATATTCAACATTATTTTTGTTTCTGAGACAAAGACTATTGGCTTTTCAGCTATGGACCGATTAAGAAGGGTAGGCCTTCCACTCACACTCGTCACTGATGCATGGAATAGTGTATATCTGCGACGTCAAAACCGCAGTTTTGAATTTTTTGCAGTCGACAAGCAACTACTTGGCGCGTCGGTTTGGTGTGCGAGCTGCAATGCCGGGCTTCCTAGGCAAAAAACTGTGTCCTCAACTGACCATCGTACCGCCAGACTTTGTCAAGTACACCGAAGTCAGTCGGGCGGTGCGTGCTGTCCTCGTGGAGTACTGTGAGAGCGGACCCCCTGGACTCGTCGTGATGAGTCTAGATGAGGTTTATTTGAACATCACCCAGCACCTAAAGGAGCGCGCTGATTGGCCACCCGCAAAACGCACTTATTGGCCGCGGGCGGCACCCAAGACACCCATGCTTGTCTGTCGGTACGATACTCGCACTTCAAAACTATCATCTCGTTCTGTATCAGCCTAAATTATCGTTTTTTTCACAAATGTCAAGGTTTTTTTCGAATTCAATTCATCTTCCAATGTCCTTACTCAGCTCATACAATTCATTATTTGTTTTTAAGCTTATTATTGTGAAACGGATCATCTTTTTACGGTAGCTCATTTTTTTTAAGATTGCCACTCAAATTACTAGCAATTTCCATGAGTGTATTTCACTTTTATTTCACTTGCTCGTTGATATGTTATGTTCATGTAGACTCAAAGTATTCTTAGAATAATGGCTTTTTTTCATTTCGTACGCAGTGTGGCACCAAACGTTGCTGTGACATCTTATGATGCTTATTTTTTTAATTCTGTCTTAGGTTTGGTGGACCTTTATTTTCCTTGCTGTTTTAAAACGTCCTAATTAGCTGATACTGTTCAGGCCCTTATATCACCTTTATTTAGATGTGCTAAGGCTACCAAAGACTCTGGCGTCGCTGATCTGTTAACTACCTCATCAGCTTCGAATTCCCCCACTAAGCTCTCCGCTGCGGAGGAAGGCAACAGCAATCGTGACGCCCCCTCCAACATCGTCTCCCTCGTAGTCGGCAAAGATGAAGAGCTCGCAACGTGTCTGCTATGTGGAATGCTGATCAGATCTGGCCCGCGTGTGTTTGGGACGAGTGCAGAAGAGGCTGTTCGTGAAATGAGATTCCGAGTGTTCTGTGCGACCCGTCTCACCTGTAGCGCCGGTCAGTTCCATGGTGCCTCGGAAAAAAATGGATCCCAATTACTTGTTCCCTTTCTCAACTTTCTGAATGTTTTTAGAGCGTTGCTTAAAATACCCTCTCAAGATTCGTAGTACTCTAATGGTCGAATTCATAAAGTTCACAATCCCGTCTTTTCGGAGTAATGTTCACTTTGAATATTTTGATAACTGACATCAATTTTCAGTGAATGCCATTATATCCTGCATGATCTTGCCTTTTTCTGGCCTGTAATTTTTCACGACCACATATTTCGACCATCAAATAATATTACAATGGTTGCATTTCCAATTTTCTCATGACAGAAATGAATACTATTAATAGTTGTTTTGCAAAATTTCCGGAACACATTGCTTTGGCTCAACCGCGACTGTCACCAATCCTTGGTAAGTGGTTGTGTGTTGCAATTTTGACGACCATTACTGTATGATAACAAAAGTGCAGCAGCCTATTAGATTTGCGTATTATTGCACTTATTTTCTCTTTCTTTCTTTTATGCCTTTTTTGAAGGAATCGCGCCCAATTCCCTCATTGCTAAAATCGCCTCCGATTGGAACAAACCAAATGGACAGTTTTTCGTTGAGCCCACAGCTGAAGCTGTTGAAACATTTATATCCCCTCTTCCCATAAGAAAGGTAAGTTCATTCATCTATGATTTGAACTTGGAGCCAGAAAACCCGAATTGCTGTGGCTTCAAAGCTTAAAAATTGCTCATACCGTAAACAGGCTTATTTTCATGCTTAAACTTTGCACATAAGTAATTGTTTGCCTTTTTAACCTACAAATTACACCTTGAAAGTCACACTACTTAGATCTGCTTAATCCTTTCAAAGTCGTTTTCCTCTTCAACATCTTTGTCGACCTCAGACGCTGCTTAAAAGTGTAGTTTGAGGACCAAATGCCTGCATAACTTACAGCAAGATATTGGCACTAAAATAGCTGAAAACAAATGTATAGTTTTGGTGTAGTGCAACATCGCCTTGATTTCAGGTTAAATCCACGTATTCTTGCTTTGCTTAGCGCAATAAGTAAGTTAAAACTACGCTTGAATGACTTATGCAGAGCACATATTCATTAACCGTAAAAGAAGAGAGCATTTGGGGTTTTTTGGGTTAGCGTTAGTGCGTTAGCCGCAGATGCAGTTTTGTTATTTAACAACCATATAAGAATAGTCCGTTATTTTTAAATTATAGCTCCCAAGTCATGTCTATTTACATGGGAACCCTTATTTCAGTGGAGGGACGGTCAAACTTCGTAACGAGCTAAACTGAGATTTTACTTGAGGTGCAAAGTTTGATATCTCTCAAGTATTAATTGCTTCAAAAAATGGTCTTATTTCTATTAGAAATTATCAGTTGAACTTTGTTAACGATTGATCTCGAAGAGCCTATTTTCATTTTTAATAGATTTTGCGTTAAGAAGTGCTTCTTTAACTGAATTTGGTGTAATAGGTAAAAAAGGATCATTAATGAAATCAACACTTCTTCTCGATAGTGAATTGTTAATAAAAATAATGCTCACAATAAGCATAACCGGTAGATTTCCTACTCGTTCAGTCCGATATTTTCGAAACGATTAATTTTTTAATGGAACTGTTCTTCATGGCAGGCCGGTAACAACTTCAGTAAGGTAGCACACCGGGCGCGGATACCCACCTACCGTCGAGCGATGCTTAGGTTAATGGCCCTATGGACAGTTTCTAGGGTGTGCGACTCGCCTGATTTTGAGGAATACGACCTATAGTTTACGTGTGCACTGCTGATGACGTTCATATTTTGTATTTTTGTCCTCATCGCCTCAGTTGTGCATAATGCACCCGGGCTTAGCTTCACGTAACTTCTGTCGTGGAGGTCTTCGAAATTCAATCTTGGCTTGTGGCTAGTCAATCTTTTTAGGTGGTAGTGGGAATTGTTAACCAGCTGTTCAATATGTAATTTGCGTGTGGTTTATGTGCTGTCTGAGTCCGAGTAGCGGACTCCATAGATAAAACACGTTGCCCCATATCGATAAATCAACAGTAATAAATCAATCATATTAGTATTTGTAATAAATAATTTATAATTCCTAGATATTGTGTCTCAAGGTCTGTGTGATCGTGGCTGGCTTATTAATGTTTCATAAGATTTCAAGCGCATTTAGACAGTCAAGTGGACTGAGATTCTTCACTTAAGAGTGCATTTACCTGCAGAACCACTTTACTGTTAAGACCTTTCGATTCCATACTCTTTTAAACCCAAATCGGTAGTTACTAATTTTGTGCGCGTTCACTTCATAACCCCAAGGGGATGGAATAAAAAGACGCGCTGAACTGCACGCTTTGTGACTTTTCCGACATTAGACGTTCCTGGGTGATTGCTAATTCCGCACAGGTGCCCGGCATAGGCCACGTTACGGAGTGTCGTCTGAGGGCCTTTGGTGTGGAGCGCATCGAAGACCTACGTAAACGGCGCGGTGCCCTCTTCCATCTCGTCTCGCACATCGGCCTAGCCTACTATATGCGCATCTCGCTGGGCCATAGCGAGGACGACTGGGTCGGTCCCGCGGCCTCAGCGACAGCGACAATGGGGGGCACCTACTTGCGAGGCGCCTGTCAGAAGAGCATGGGCATCGAAAGGTGTGTCGATTCACCTACCATTGGTATCTTCTTCGTGCTTTACTTCGCTCGTGGGTTGTGGTTTTTCTGGGGCCTTCTATCTTTCATCTTTCCACCTCATCCCCAATAGTAGCTTGGATCTTTTGCTAATGGCTTTCACTAGCTCCACCTCTGTCTTTTGTCCTTTGTGTCTAAGGCTAAGTGCAAACCTTCTCGATGAAACAAAATACAGTGTTTTCAGTCTGCTTTGGCTGTAAAATCAAACCTAACTGAGTCGAAACATCCAAAAAATTTTCGTGCCACACAAATGTCTCTTTCATACTCATTAATTGGGGTGTTCGTTATCATCCTACTACCAACTTCTATGATCATATGTAGTGCATTTTGTTCCTTTCTTTTTGAAAATAGGTTTTTCAGTTTTCCATCGTACGTACTTCCGCTCGTATTCCGCTACTCTCACAACATGTCATACTTAAATTATTTCCAAAATCGTTTGTCAGTTTCGTACTAAAGTCGAAGTTCGTTAGCTCATACAACTTACACTTACTTGTCTTTTTTATTCCCCAAGTGGTATCAAACTTTGCATTTCGCCCTTTCACATTCGCATAATCTAGACAGTCTGGTAATAACTTTGTCCTCAAATTAGCATTTTAAGTCTGTGAGCTTGATATGCTTTATAATTTTGAAGTGATGTTTATTTTATTGTGTGCTCATAGCGTTGGACCGTGAAATACTGGAAAATGATGTACTTTGCACTTCAAACTGTTATATTACTGTTCTCGGGTCTGTTTACATTTTGACATTACTTTCACACCGATAATGCATTACCCTTTTAGTGATCGTACTTTTAAACTGTACGCATCTTCAACCCTCAGTTTTATTGTTAGTATACTTTAGCAGTAAAGCGTAACCCTCCGAGACAAATTCGAAGTGCTGCACACCGTCACTGGGATTAATATTTATGACTTTTCGGTGATGTAACCTATTAAATGGTTTTAGAACTTTCCACGATTGCGCTGATCCGGGAATCCTTCATGTTAAATGCAGGCAATTGTGCTTATCTCTTGTTAACGACATGAAGGAGGCGCACGTTCAGGTAGGTAACTTTACTGCGCTCAGAAAGTAATCGTGAATACCAGTTCTCCTTGATCTAGTGTAATGTGAGCGAATTCCCTGACAGATAAAAATGAAAAGTCGGAGATTTATTACCTCGGATGGTCCTGTTAGTAGGAACACTGATATTTAAACGCTCAAAAATCACAGTTTTTAGCTTCGAGCACCTTGTCTAGTTCCCCGTTAAATTGCTTTCGTCTTGTAATCGCATCGGCATTTTCTAGGCGTTATGCCATTTCAGTTGGAGACAAGTTATCATCGACTTAATTATATGCCCAGTTTTGTAGCAAACAATAATTGCTCAAAAGGTTCTCTGCGGCCACTTTTCCAATAAAAACAAGAAATTTTTTCACAATGAGAGGATACCACACGCTTTACTGTAGCGGAATTAATCTTATTTGGAATGAGATGGTAATGTGAAATGCAATGTCGTAGGTGTTAAGTTGCCGTGCGCTTAAGTTTGGGTTCTTTGGCGTGACTACCTCCCAAGGGCCATTTGACCCTTGCATGCAATTCTAGAATCATATGTATAAACCTTAGCAAGTATCCATCGACTTGAGCTACCTTGTGGAAGCTAATGTTAAAAGTGCGGTCGGTTTGTTGTCAGTCTGCCATCATGGTTTGTCTAATGTGTGGACGTTAAGTCATGTGGATGCATTGCTAACTAGAGGTAACTTACTAAATAACAAAATTTCTTCTCATCCGTTAGATTTTTGATGGCAACCCACCAAAGCTACCTACAAGCACTAGATGTAGCATTGCAATCTCATCGTCATTTTTGCGGAATCCAGGCATTTCAGTCTTCAGAAACGCAACATCAATTTTCGACCCTATTGGCTTATAGGGTTTGCGATGCTTGCCTAAACTGTACTCACCTCAAATCACGCTCATTCTTGGGAGCTAACGAGTATCTTTTAGGATAAACGCATCGGAATAGGCAAATGAATTGGGCAAGTCTTCCGCGCATCTCATGTATTGTCACGTGTTTGTTTGATCGCCAAAGTGTGCTCTGATACCGAGACTCAAGGATAATTTATTGCAGCATCGGGTAGAAACCTTTAAGCGCTCATATGTGATCATTGGGCACAAACAGTTCAGGAGCATCCTAAAAGTTCTGGGTTGTTTATTTCAACGAATGATTAATTTTTCAATTTAGTCTTAAATCATTTTCATAATTAAACGATGGTTATAACCTTGATCAGTCAGTTAGTCAATATTTTCATTAACAAATATCCCTTCCTACTAATTAATTTGGCATTTTGAAGTATTTTGCGTAATGCTAGTGGAATATGTGCAAATAACTGGTTCCAGTTAAGTGTGATGATTTGTTCACGTGGATAGGTTACAAACATTACTCAAATAGCAACTAACTCTTACCTTTTCTTCATTATGCTCACTGTTTACATTTGTGCATAATAATTGAAATCCCCTTCTCAAAAGACTTTTGCTGTTGGTACAGTAGGAAGTCTTTAGGACTTTCTTAGTAGTTGCCGTTGGCCACAACATTGTAAACATTGGTTTGGTATAACTTTAGCCTTTGCAACTTCACATACGTTTTAATTTCACTCTGAGGGGCTTTTTTGCTAAACTCTCTTCTTATGCCATTTTCACCCAAAGGGTAAAACGGTGACCATGAAGTTTAAATTGAGTACCTTTGAAGTTCGGTCGAGATCGCAAACGTTGCCCGACTACACCTGCACCACTGCAATCATCTCTCAGTGCGCTTCGGAGATCCTCAGGGACGAGATGAAGGCGGAGTTGGCAGAAAATTCGAAGGTCCTCACTCTTAGACTGATGGGTAATTTTGCTTATACCCACCTACCTGCTACATTTTTGACGTAATTTGATAAATAGCATAGCCTTTGACTTCCCAGAGCACTTCAGTCACCAACTAGTGCAGCCTAGTTTCTCCTCCAGCCCTTTTCATACCCCCATTGTAGATGTCTTCCTAGAGCAAAGTAAATTTTCCACCCTATTTTTTGTATGAATTCGATTTGCATACACGTTGGATTATGGTCGATGCAGGTTTTCGTACATGCTGTCGATTGCATTACCTCCTTTGTTTTTAAGAGGCAGAAGAAGTGTTCATTTACACCTCCACAATTTTCGGCAGAATATACTTATTACAAGATTTGAAAAGTATTACCAATGCCTAGTTGCATTAATTCTCTACACTTTAGGCGTTCGAGTTTCAAATCTGGTTCCCTCTGCAATGTGTCAGCAGTTTCGACAAGAAACGCTTGAGGCCGCTTTTAACAGAGGATTTCAAGGCGATGAAACCATGGAGCCTGATGATGATGATCCTTTGGTGACTTCAGCCGTGAGTTTGCGATGGAAGCATAGTCATCAGTGTAATGTAGCGTATCTTATCAGAACCACTTCAGCATCTGTTACGACTAAAAATACTTTTAATTAAATCCGTTATATGAGTTTTCAAAGCTTCTTACGTAGGATCTCGTGTACGAAATGGAGCACCTAAACAATATCTTTTGACTTTATGGTTAAGAGATGTTTTACTTGTTTGTGTCTAAAATCCATGCGGTAGATGAACATTAATTGATACACAAATAGGCTTATCCAATTGAACATCTGATCCGTTCAATAATATTGTATTTGAAATTGTAAGTCGTATTACTTAAGTTGAAGTACTTTGATAAGACTCAATTGATAACATTTAACGATTTTGTGGGAATTGTTTAGGGTTTGTTAGTGCGTCTAAGACTGTAGTACCAATCGACACGCCAATTGTAGCCCATGGAAATATCAACCAAATTCCCACTCTTGTCCGCCTTTAATTGCTTTCTCTTATAGCTCATGGAATTAATTAGGGCACTGCTCATCATGGTAGGCATCAATGCGAGTGGCAACAAAATTACTTCGAAGTAGATTCCTTCTAATTATTGTATTTATAAAAACGGAAAGTCTGAAATAGTTGCAGTCATGTTCGTTATAAAAGGATTGAAGTTGGGTATTGTTGACCCTGACACCACTTGAAAAATGGTAGGTTTATCTTACCACCCAGCCAAAAATGTACATAGATGGTTACATCAATAGATAACTTCGTGTTGACGTGCTTCTCGAATTGCGCATTTGTCAAATCCATGCCTTATTTGCGTACGCCACACCTTTTGATCTCCTCTTTCTTGGCACTTTGACTACTTATTTAATAAATTTGCAATTTCGCCGCAATAGATGATGTATTTGAGTTTTCTCTCATCTAAATTATGTGCTTAATGGGATTTCCCAACACGATTTCTGAAATTACCATTGTCCTTGAGGTGAATTCATTCGGTATTCTTCGATCGGGTGACTTGATGGATCAGAGTACAGAGCACCTGGCCTAAAACGACTTGCTTCTAATTCTGTCTGACGTTGATATGTGGTGCCCCCGTGTACTTTTGATCTGTCATTATTTTTACTCTAAGACCCGCACCTTTTGGACTGCGGATTAGTGAAGGTTCGAGTAGTCGATTACTTGAAGTATGGGCCTTATGCAATCGAGCTATACCTGTTTTTTTCTCCTATGTTTCTGACACCGCATTAAGTCGAGCCTTTGCTGTAGCTACATAGCTCTATCTTTTGGATTTATTTACATATTACACAACTGTGTTTAAATGCGGTGTCTCATTGTACAAAAGAGGAACGGTACTATCTTCCATAAGGGGGTTTTCGAGGCATCCTACTAAGGTGGGTGGTCGAGGTAGGGCCTGTTTCAGGGTTTATCGATAAACTTTTATGCATACCATTCCTTCGAATGATGGAAGGGCAAAGATTTTGGGTCTAGTCGAGGGTTCGGGGGTTGATAGCTTACGCAATGTCGAGCAACGCCCCCATTCGAAGGTAGAGGTGTTGTGATGCATTATGCGACCTTCTATTGGAGCTGCTCTCGTTGATCGCCCTTCGGGTACCAATTTGTATGTGGGTAGATGACGAACACTGAGCTGTGAGTTGCAGATATGAGTAGCAGTTGCGTTTCACTAGCATCCGTTGTCTTTTTTACTTACTACTTAGTCAGTGATTTGCGTGAAATCTTCAATTTTTTAAGGATACTATGATTATTCAGTGCACAGATAATGCGAAGTACTGAGTGGAGAGCCTCAGTCATTTTTGGCACCTGTGAGCAATATTATAGATTTTGGAGTAAAATGGTATACCTTTTCAGCTTTTTGCGGAACCTGAAGATGTTTCCTGCCAAGTAAATTAACTGAACATTTTAAATGACTATAAATGCTCCTAGTCCAAGGCACTTTTCGTTCATGAGCCTAACAGTTTGCGCTGGGCTTATTTCAAATCTGTCCGCTTGCTCTTCTTGAAGAGGCATGCAGTAGCATGGGCGCGCTTTTAGTGTGCGCTTATCAATCAAGTAGTCACGAGTACCCTAAGCAGGAGATGAAGCGATCAGCTTTTAATGGACTACTGAAATGTGTAGACCATACGCACATCTACTTCGTACCCGATTGTGTAGGTGTGCTTTCTTTTAAATGAAATTGATTAAACCACTTGAACATGATATCATCATTGGTCTTTTAGTGATCATGGAAAACTTTTAACCGTCAAATAAGTAGTGAGTGGCTAAACACTTTACTCTGTGCTACTTGGAATGTTTACAGGAAGTTCCCGAGGATTGTTTTGTACAACGGTCTCTGCCACTTGTTAGCGGGAAGGAATCATTTGCTACACAAGCCCAAGGGTTCACCTCCGCAACCTGCCCTGTTTGCTCTAAACAAATACGGCTCAAAGATCTTGAAGAGGTGCGTTTTTGCGGAGCTCCTACTCAATTATGTCTATATTAACGAGGAACAACCATCTCTATATCAAAAATCCATTTTCGTGCGCCAAGTATGCCATATGGTGTATTTTTTCATTCGGCAACCGTGGAATTGATTCGTTTTCCTATAACAAATTATTTGAACATTTTGTTGCTCAAAGTATTACTACTCTGAATAATTCACGTTTTCAAGACAATTTAAAGGATGACACACGACGGCCTAACGTTCTATCATTTGTTTAGATGAATGAACACTTGGATACTTGCTTGAGTCGGCAGACGGTATGGGATGCTGTCAAAGAAACATTTTCTTCACCAAACCCAAGCTCCTCAAAATCACCCAGTACCAGAACAAAAAGAGTTGCACACCCAACTCGTTCTACCTCAAGTACTGGTCCCTTAGACAAGTACCTCAAGATGAGTTAAAGCTTTCGTTATACAGCGTTTACTTACTCGTTTTTGAGCGCAGAAACTTTGTATTTCAAAACGCTGTTTAGTGAGTTTCTCTCTGACTTCTTAAACACGTTTTTTTATAAAAAAATGTTTGGAATATCGCAGTTCCTCTTATTGTGGAAATGGACCACTATTAGTACAACCGTATTTTTAAGGCCGTGTGATGTGATTATCTTGCATACATCTGTACTAGCATATCCCTGCTATACTGCTAAAGGTGTTCAGTTTTTTCATTATGTTCAATGGCATTTTGCACCTCGCTGAAATGGAGAATCTTCTAACGGACCTGCTTAACCATATCTGGTTTCGCGTACATAGGCAGGAGGTCGTAATTGTTAGCAACGAAGCTGATGGTTTTCTTCTCCACTTCGTATTTATGACCTTTTGAAAGATGCTCGTAGTGGATTCTCTCAAATGTTTCCTTTGACATCTGTTATAAATCCAAGAAAAATTATTGTATTTTACGTAAAGCTTCAATTGTTAGAAGTTGAAACAAGTTTAGTTGGAATATTATAGGATCATTACCCAAGAGTTTTAATGGTTTTTGAGGTTACTATGTTAGAGTACAGAATTGGCTTTCACAACCAGTCTATGATGGCAAAACACATTAAATTGACTATTTGAGTTATGAAGATTCTGATTCTTAGTTGAGTTGTTTGGGAAGAGGCGTATTTTGAAGTTTGGTGCATGAACTCACCTTCTCACAGGGCTCTTGGAATGCCCGAATAAAGTCAACAAGCGGCACTGCTCCCTTTTCCTGAAGAAAAGAGGTTATTTAAATCACACGTACGATGTTTAACCCGAACGCCATGTAATTTTCGTACCCTAGCGTTGCAGCCGAGTTCATGGATTTCCTCTTTAAGTTCTTCGAAACGGTCGTGAAAGAGGGCCATTGCCCATGGCTCATCAAAGAACCTACAATAAAAGGGAATTTTTGTGTTTTGGAAGGGTTGAACACAGCCAGATTTTTTAGATGCCGAATAATTTGCCCATTCGTGCTGGAAGCTGAGAGAATTCGGATGATCACTCACGAATAGAAATCGGAGATTAATCCCTCATCATATCGCGCTACCAGGTTGTTTACTGCTCGCTCGTGCGTTGAATAAAGGCTCACATAATTTGATATTGGAAGGGCCTATTTTGCAGAGAAAATTGCTTCAATAGTATTGAAAATTAGGCATTCGAAATGGCAACAAGGGAGAAATCTTGCCCGTCTTGATAGACAAATTATGTGAGAGATTCGGTTGATCTCATTTATTTGTATGCGGAAGTAACCGGTCCCTTTTTCCGCCGCCCCGGTAACCAGTGATCTACCCTAAAAGCAGTACAATCTCTCAGGTAAAAGTCACTCTCCAGAAGAGTCCACATCAGTAGTGGATTTTCGAGATTCCAGTATGCATTGTATCGTGTGCTACAATTGGCCGAATAAAGTTGCATCCCACTCAATTTTTAAAGTATTGGTTTGCTTCTGCTCACTTTCAATGATTCATGTGCATTAATAACTGGAATCTAGATATGCCACTGATTGAACTGAATGGCGATACTGCTTTCACTGCTTTCATGAACAATCAAGGTGTAAACGCACAAATTCCGGTTCTTGTAATCTGAGAAGGGGGTTCTTTTTGTGGCCAGGTTCCCAGATCTTGAGGAAAGTGTAGCCTCCGGGGAGCATGGCGTATGCTACTCGGGGCATCTTGAACGTAGGCAGTAAGTGTCGCTCGTCTCTGTCCGGAGTTTTGGGCATCTCAATGCTCGGATCGAACTCTTTCAGGAAGGCGTCTCCTAACTGTGTTGATACAAAGCATGGTTCTGGTTTGGGTTCGATTATTACACAGTCTAATAACGTGTAAAAGGCTGCTCTCAAAACATAAAACTAAGTTGGATATCGATAATACGAGAAATTTTTATCGATAAAACAACCAAAAAACATCCCATATTACGTCGGAACTTTAGGTATAAATTCAAGGCAATCATTGAGGTAGAACGATAGTTATGTACTTAAATCGAAGTGTTAGAACGTCGAAATCTGTTAGAAGTGATACGCTATAAATGCTTTGCCTAATTACAATGCTCCTGAATATCATATGCCAATACTCAAATTCGATAAACACTGAATTGAGTCATGCATTGTATATACCAGACGATCCAGTCCCCTTTTTATTTTAAATAGGTCAAATAAGTTTGTTTTTTTTTGCTGATAAAGAAAATGAAAGCATCCGTTCACCTTTTCTCCAACTTCCAGACTGTTGAAGAGAGCATGAGTGTATTTGTCATTGTAGTAAATACGACGGAATTTCGTCGCTGGTCCCGCAGCTCGGATGCAAGGGTCACTAGTGTGGAAGTTGGCATCGATCACCAATTGTTTGTCAAAAACCAGACAGGCGTCATTCACGGCTGAAATACACGAGGTACAGCTGAGAAACCCACAGCACTCGAAGGCCTCGGTGACATTAAAAACCAAACTGAGTTTATTTTAACTCCTAATGCTATGAAACACTCGCAGTGATCCCACTTTCTAGATACATGTTGAACGGTGAAATACGTTTATCGACCTCGGTGGCACCTTGCAATGATTCGCAAATAAAAGTTGCACATGTACATATGCCTCCATTGCTGATGAAAGCGCTCCAGCAGCATGATAAGGTGGGTGCATTGCATCATCACAGTGATTATTTACTAAAAACTCTGAAATGAAATGTTTTTTTATTTTATTGGTGTCACCCCGAGCTGGCGAGATGAGACTGGAAATGCGTCACATTCATCCGACTGGTACTTTATCCGTGACAAAAGATCACAGTTTTGTATGAATCACCAAAACTCAGGCATTATACCTACGCAGCGCGTTGGTGATTTTATTTAAGGAGAACATGTGTTTATAGCATCAATTCACTTCGAGAAAACCAGTCCTATCTTTAACTATATTCCTCACTACTCATTTTTTTTGACATGACCTTGCCAGTGTTTCAACGTAACAACAGTTAATGTCGTTTTACCTTTGAAAAACGTGTAGTCGATTTTCTTGTTGACGAATGAAAAGAACGCCTAAAACAGAGATGATAATGAGCACATTACAGTTGCAACTTCCTAACGTTATCAAATAAATGATGGGGATGAGAACCGTGGTGTGCATGATTACATTGTGCATTGGCATGTATTTAAGAAATTCAATGAATTCCAATCACAGCCATCTTCTCAAGAGGCAAAATGAAGCTTAAGTATGAAGAAACAAGTTACTGCCTTACAAGAGTGAAGTGGTAAAGTCGGTTTTAACTCCATCATAAGGTATCAACAAGGTTTCAATTTCAAATAGATTCAAGCAATTGAAAGCTAGACATTATGCTACAAAACAAAGTACCCAATTTCACAATTCTCTAGGACATGGAACCAATTAGCAAATTATCTTACGACACATCGAATACGTTTTTCTATTCCCTGAATGATGAAAGTGGCATTTTCAATTTCTTCCACGAAAACGGAAGTTGGGTCGTCATTCCAGCGTAAAAGAGTACAATGTTTGAATATGCGGACCCCAGCGTTTTCCATTTCTTCATGGATAACTGTCTCTACTGCGTAATCGTCAAATGCAGACGTTAATGAATGGCATTGGGGTTTCGTCTTGGTTTTCGACAGCTCATCAATGCTGTTGGTCTTCAAGATGGATGACAATGAAGCATTACCAGAGAACAAATATATTTTCTTCCAATATCTATTGTATTTTCTCGTATCCAATTCACCTAGTGCCATTCTTAGGCCAGCACCATACTCATTTAAGTCAGCTCATTTAAGAAACATTTTCAAACCTTATTTTGAGGACAGCTAACATGTTCTTTATTTTGCTAAGTTTATTTTAATTCAAAATCACATCTCTGTTTATGCTAATACCAATAATGTAAAAGCTACGAGAAACACTAGTTTGATCTTCAACGTACATCGTTTTTCTTGAAAGGGTGCATCATAATGATGCGGATACTAGGGACTCCCATGTGGAGAAGTCCATGAACACAGGCATAGGCGTCCAAACAATCGCCAAAAATGATTATGGGACCCTCTTCGGGACGGTGTTTGGGTTTCTTCTCTGAATTTGGGTCCTCCAAAAGCATGTCTGTCTGAAGACTTTGTTTCCGAGACAGCTGCCTCTCGTTGGACGTATCCGGCATGAGGTTCCTCTCTACATACTCAATGGCTTCAATGGTGCTGTTCTCGTCGTTCAAGAGGAAGAGGTTTGAGGCCTTGTGCTTGGTAGAAATTACAACTAGTGAACAAAATAAGGCACAATAGGTAAATCCGCACACAGAACTGGGTTCGCATTCAAATAACCATTGCGATGAAACCTGCTAAAGCTTTAACTGCAGAAGACTGAGTTGAATTCCTCATAAAGAGTTGATGGGATGTTGCATAATCTCGGATATTCCTCTATGCATTAATTGTTATAACAGCATTGGAACCGTCTGGGCATCAATCCACAAATTCATCTGCATTTAAAATCTAACCGAGATGAACAAACTTCAAAAGCCTAGCAATAATGTAGATAACTTTCTGTCAACCCTTCACATTCCTACTTATTGGTATTTCCCTTACAAGTTCGCATTTTAATATATCGCAAACATTATAAGGTTTTAAGGTGATGAATAAAGCAGTCTAATATGGAATTTAAACACTTTCTTTTTACTGTTGACACCATTTCCATAATCCAGAATGATAAATGTTTTGCTAGCTAATTGCGCTGAGTGTTGTAAAAGGCAGCAGGTACTGTTTTATCAAATAACAGTGTTATTTTCTTTAAAAAGAGCAAAAACCAGAGGGATGGAAAACGTGTGCTATTTACTGGTAGTGGTCGCAACAGGCAACCTACTGGGTTCACACGGATTCTTGCGACTCCTCTCGCCGATGAATTTGGGATCGATCCCGATTGGCGTTGGCGGGTGGTACTGCATTCCGGGCGACAAAATGAGAAAGTCGTATGATATCTCATGGACCCCATCAATTGTAATTAATTTTCGATTTCTATGAAAGAGGGAAGAGTTGGTGTCCAAGCTTTAGCGATGGATTAGGCATCGGAGGGAACGACCTCACCTGTCGATTGCCGTGAGTGTACCCAAAATAACGTTTACCAACGTATGCAGCGAAATCTGACCCAGACGCCACCGGCCTTGCGCGTAACTGAAAAGGATGTTTAAATTATGCGCTTTACCCTTAGAAAGTCGTCACAGCGGAAAATATTTAGCTAGCCAATTTTTAAAATAGCTTAGAGTATTTCGGATATCTTAAATAAATAGGGATAATGCTGAGTTAAATAAGCTTAAGTCAAAGATGATAAAATGATGGGAACCAAGGCGGCCGCTTTGACTTTACTTATAAGGATGGCAGCAGTGCGATATTATACGAGCTTTACTTAGGTAATTTGTGCACCAACTATCGTACCGTGATGGATAGAAGAGAGGGACACGATGGTTCTCTGAAGCTTCAGTGTCTCCGAGAATTCCATGAGGAGATAACAAAACAAGATTATTGAAACGGATGTGTGATCTAAAAAAAGACGGAATGAGCTTACTAACGCACCAGTGTGTTGGAAGAGTCGATGGGTAAGTCTACTTGTTTATCATTTAGAAAACCAAGAAATAGAACTTGATTCAAGTCTACAGTTGTCACCGTGTTGGCCAGTATCGCTATGATTTCAGCCTTTCCTTAATTATAAGAGAATAGACTTATACAATCCCTCTGCGCTTCAGTGTTATTTCACTCAATGAGCTAAAGCTTAAAAAGTATCGCCCTATTCCGTTCCTACTAAATATACTCGTGCTCATCAGCATTCATTTGCAGGCAAAATCGGTATTCCAATGAAACAATGACTTACGCAAAGACCAAGCGCTCTAGAAAGGCTAGACTAGTCGACGAGGCGCCGACAACGATAATGCGCGCGTTAAGCACAATCTTGGGCTCCATGATTAAGTTGCGGGAGATGTGATAGACGGCTGGCGGTGGATCGTCGAGTGGACAGCTGAGAGTGTGATTCTGTGGACCCTTCTCTCCCCTCACTAACCCCGAAGGGTACACAATCTGGCGTCGAGGCCGGACTGCATAGAAATCACCCAAACATGAGAGTGGTGTATTCATCTTCAGCTTCTAGCAAGAATATAGGCATTTCAGCGTAAGTTGTCCACTACCTAATCACGTCAACTCCATCTAATTTTCAGTCTCATGTAAGTTCTTATCAAGGTTGTTTGGTATAAAGTTCAAAATTAAGAGCTTCAAATAATCAACAAATTTCCCTATTCATTTAACAGCCGTTTCCTTTAAATTTAGATGATTTTAATGGTTTTTGGAAGCATCTAGTCTTAGCAGTGGCCGAAACCACTGTTGATTGATTTTCCATCGTCTGTAGGCTAAGGTTTCCTCATCAAAAATCAACAAATAGTTTACTTGTTAAATGAAGGAGTGAGCATGACTTCAGATCGTTAATAAATTACTGAATAAAGTGAAACATTTAATTTTGCCGAAAGATAAGATTGGAGTTCGGTCGACTCAGAGGAGGTTTAGTGCAAAACATTTTAAAAAATATAGCTGTTAGGGCTACGAAAAATCTGGATCCAAAGCGAACCCAACCTTTAATTAGTAATGCCTCAACGTTATTAGTCAATTCTAACACTTTATCGAATATTCTTGTGATAAACATATGCACTAAAATCGCCCGCTTTATTCAGGAATCCATGTATATGGATAATAGATGGAGCCACATAGGAACCTTAATACTGTGTTCAACTCTAAATTCAAATGGCCATTGCCATTGAAACGGCGATGAAGACTTACGGTGTCCATAGCGAACGGTGGATAGATGAGGTAGAAGAAACATGTCTTTCCCGACTGACGCATTACTTCACGCAAAAAAAATCGCGCCCGTGAATGAACAGTTAAAGATAATACAAAGTGAATCAAAGTAGCAAATTCATGTTTTCCGTGATGTGTAAAATATATGTATTCTTCCAAATCATAATTAGCCTTCAGCCAATCGATATGCTATCAAAACGAAAATACTTTCATTAAATTGTTTCAGTAAACTCTTTAAATGAATATTCCTGCGACATGCATACCTCTTCGGCTCGAGCAAAAAGCAGGCCCACGACTTTTCCCAAGCACAACGCTACGTAACACAACAATGCGGTTCCATCCTACAGTAACGAATTCATTTGCTACGTTGTTCCAACCATTTTCACCTACCGATTCACATCCTAACTTCATGTAATTTTTTACATCTTTTGCCAAAAGTTTTCGGTCGAATGGATGCATCTGATGGGCCAACTCCAAAATATCAGAGAGGTCTTTTCTGACAGCTGGTCTTACTTGAAAATCACTGCAACACGAAAGGACGATTAGCATATCACTTCCTTTATATGCGTGAAGTATGATGTGAATTTCAAAATAAATCCACCTTATTAAGTTTGCCCGATGATATACATATAGGTCTTGGGTAACTGCGGAATCAACTCGGGGCTTCACTCGCTGCAAATAATAATCTTATTAAAATTTCAATGCCGTTGTAAAATAATCTTAAATATGCTGTGATAGAGAGTTATTTCAGACGCAGGTCACTGATCAACCAATTGAAATGTCAAATATTTGTTTAATTACGTTAATAACGTTAAATCAAAGTGGTTTGGGGTCTCGGTTTTAAGGATCTTAGATATTCCACAACCTGCTTAATACATAAATTTTATGAAACCCAGTACCACTGTCGAACTCACGTGAAATTCCTGCAGCAAAGTTGTTTCTGGATCTAGTCGTGGAACTGTTATGGCCGCATACTCAATACCAGGAAATTGATCGAACATGAATGATAAAAAGTCCTTTGCACTAAAATCCAATTTAAGAAATAATTTGAAAATTTGTGCCGATTTTACATGCTACTAGGCTATTTCGACTGAATGATTAGTGTTATAACCTGCTACCTACATACATATGTAAGTCTTAGAAAATTCATTACTGATTTTTTTCATCTTAATAATTTGAGTGATAGTAAGGCTATTATTTGAATTATTACCTAACGGTTACTCTGGAGTGGTTTTCTGAGCCATTAGGGCAGAAACCTATGTTTAGGGTGTTGTAAAAGTGTCTAACATCAAAGAAATTTGATCATATGGTGCACGTTGTAAGCATCTTTGCGTAAAACGGAGAAAGGCAATAGTCTTTTCAGGTCCCGGAAATTCGAACAGTATAACGCACCGCGTATCAAATTCAGGAAGCAAACCGTAAAGCTGAATAACAAATGCATTATTGTCTTCACGAGAGTAAGCGTTTTGTTGAGTGTCATGAGAGGGGTTTACACCAAAATATCCTTTTAGATGACGTCGAATCCAATTTCCCGATGAAATGTAAGCTAATCTTGTGTCTTTATCTACAGAAAACGAATCCGAAAGAATAGTAGAACGCAGATCATCGGTGGAGAATGTGGTAGGATTACCATCTAGTAAACAATAAGAGCCGACATTGCTGATAAACATTCTGCGTACTTCATTTATTCTTTATGCATATTAAAGTTTACCTGAATCTGGGTCGATTTCTTCACGAAAAGCTATTAATGAGGCATCAGCATGTAATTTCTTTAGTTTATCCGTTGAGTCATCGGTTAGATTATCGGATTCTGTTGAATCAACATCAGCAACAGGCAAATCAATGTGCAATTCTAAAAATGATGTGGGTTTTGGCATGTTTGATTTATCTCGCAAATCGTTTTTCTGTAGATAATTGCAGGAACGCAAATCATATTCTTTATTTAAAAACTCGGCATCGAATAATGTAGTGGCGTTCATAAACCCGACAGCATGTCCTGTTTTATTCGATTCCAATGCAATTGCCTTCATATCCTTGTTTTGGGCTTCCACTAACTCGGATATATAGAAACCCCCGTAAAGTTTATGGAGAATATTACTCTTTGAGTCGAATATTGGTGTTAAATCGTCATTGTCTTTGACACTTTTGAGTACTGATTATACGAACCTACTAACCTGGCCAATCGACAGTGCAGAGCAGAGTCGAAATCACGACGCATAAAGTGAACAACATCCCACTTTAGCTCGTACTCTTCTTCTTCGGTAGGTGGTAGCTTAGAAAATATTGGCTTTATTTCCCAGGAAATAAAATGTGCGAATCTCATTCTAAGAACATTTTCAGGAAGTGATTCATCAAATTCATCTAAGGCCTGTTTTTACTTATAGGAAGGCATACCGTAATTAACAGTTTCAGGGACAAGCAAGAGAAAGTGGTTTACGTCGGCAAGTGCCCGAAAAGCAGCACGTATAATATCAATAAATCCACGTTTTTTGTATTCTTCTTTGATAACAATTAATTGAACGAACAGGGTGTTGCATGTATTAAGATGTTCAAATTTGAATGTTGTCTTCAGCCAATCACTTCCATATATTCCCTTAACAAGTGAAAGTGGAGGAGTATCATTTAGGATTAAGCATCCAACAACTTCACCGCAAGCTCCTATCGCAGTGAGGGAAAATAGTCCACGCTCTCTGTAAAGTATTTATAGAAAAATTACTTTGGAACTCACAGCATACTAACCAAGTTGAACTTAGTCCTAGAAAATACTTGATCTGATTCAATCAACTTCTGAACATAAACAGTATCTAAAGATTCGGTTTTTCTGAAGTTGTGTATTTTCATTGCAACTCTGTAATTTTACGGGATTTATTATGTATCAGTCTTTGTTTCGTTCTCGCGCAGTAATAAATAACGTTAAATATAGCGCCAGCTCATCGACTAATGAAATCCAGGAAATGGGGTTGTGAACGCCTATTAGAGACGGCGTTATTTTAATTCATTTAAGATATAAACATCTCGGGATATTCGTTACTTTGTTGGTCCAATATTTCGTTATGCGAATTTTATAAATTGACGTTTTAGAGCAGGAAACAAAAAATGTAGCCACCTACGTTGAAGCATACCGTATAACATTGTATTCAAGCGCAAACATGTGAAATATTCCCGTCATATTACATCTCACCAACCCATCGTGCTGTTGTTCCTTGCTAGCGTGCAGTTTTCAACGAAATACATGCTTTGTTTTTTGACTTGGGGTTATTTACTTTGATTTGGTTGCCTCATATTGTGCAGATGTTACCACAATTCCTCGAAGTATTTTCATCATATACATCCCAGTTTAGAATCATTATTTCTTCGAAACATACACTTTGCGCACTTGCACCAAGATCAACAATGGTTAGCGTCCGTTAACAATTGTTTTCCTCTCATGCTTGTTTGCTTGTTTCTAGAAAATAAATCTGTTCTTGATAAACCGCTTAGCAAATTATGGTGCGACATATCCAATGTTGAAGCATTGTGCTGTAAGGTGGTTACCATCTTTTAAAATGATGTGAGGAAATCGTGTACTGACAATCTTCTGAATGTCTTTTAGCCCATTGTTTTGGGTCCTAACAACTTAGAGAAAATAGTCGTCTCCGAATTACTTGACGGCTTTTGAATCAAATGTAAACTCATCTTCACTGTTGAAGATAAATACAAAACAGTATCACTAGCGCTTCAACTCTTCTATAAGGGGGTAAGAGTTTGCATTGTTGGAGAGCCACGCTGCCCCGCGAAAGTACAATCTGTGGAGATTGAAGAACTGAAGTACTTAAACCTGCTGATAAAAGCACATTAAAATCACAGTATTGCATCGTTTGGATATACTCATCTATTGAGATGTTTAGATTCATCATATCTGGAGGTTCGTGATGTAAAGGAGAATGCGTAACGTTAAGATCAGAATAAGCTTCTTGTTCACACTAGTCTGCTCTCGTGCAAGAGGCAGTATGATAGAACTTACCATAATAAAATTCCGTGAGGAAACAAAGTGTTATCTTTGATTTGATTTGTGACATAGTAATAATAAATGTCCGATTTTGTAAAGGCTCTCACCTATTGCAAATACTCTACAGTCAAGTCGAATTTATGTACATATTTGCAGGTAACAAACGGACTGCTGATTAGTTTATGATAAGTCAACCTCATATTTAAGATTTAATTGATCTTGTCATAGCACAGTGTCGATTGCCTTAACTGGCTATAGTGAAATTTGCGAAGTTAAGATCGATGTTTGCCGAACTAAAGTTATTTACTCTTCAAGTCAAGCCGATTTTCTTCAGTCTTTTTAGATATGATGGATTTTAAGCAGCTAAACAACCTCCTGCGCTGCGCCTAGGACATTTCATGATTGTTTTCTGTAACTGTTGCCGTAAATGACAAACCAGCTATCAAAGCTATTGCAATCACAATCATTTTTGGCGTAAGATATATTTTAATTCCAAAGACATTTTAATATTTCATAAACATGCCTTAACTTTTCCTGAGATGGTCAAGCACTGAGCCCACGCACATCCGTGATATCCAGGCTAGGGAACACCTAGGAGTGATTCTAATGCGGCTACAAGACTTCTTAGGAGGTGGGGATTTTGCAGACTCAGTACAGTCTTGTCCAAGGTTAAGATATTCTACTACAGGATGAGACCGCGGAAGGCCGGTAATCAGTGTTTCCCATCAGCGACCAGGCCCTAGTAGTGTCTTGTCAGAAAAATGAAGAGAAACTGGGAGGTAATTGCCTTGTTTTCTGGTAGTATGCACAATGTGATTGTGTGTCAATAGGCGTGCATTTCACTTGGCGATTCATTCAAAATAGCAGAGAAATTATTGCCTATTTTTACAATGAGATGCAACCCTTTATAGTATTAACTTCAGAAGAGTAGCATCAGGTAAATATCCGGTAGTAGCACAAGCAAGAGAGGCTTCTATTATAATTAACGTCTGGAATGCTTGAGGGAAATTCATATTCTACTCGAGAAAATTCGAAGTTGAGCTTTGCAAAGCTATTATCGTCCTTCAGTTGACGGTGGAAATGGATATTGAAACATTGAATGCATTGGTCTTCTTGCATTTCTATTTTTAGGCCATCTCATACAACCCATTTTATCAATGGCTTTTTTGCCGCTTTAGCATTGCACTTTATTGACAGTGCAAAAACGTCCAAAAACAATCTATTCTTTATATTCTCATATATAAATCTTATACATTCGAATATCTTAAGGACACTGAGTTTTTATGGCATCATTTTTATTCAGTGCCAAAACGTTGAATGGAGCAGATCAGTGGGACGTTTACTGCTTACGCTAGTGTGAATAATAAAATAAGAGGATAACACCGCCTGCTGCATTAACGAGCACTGCGTGTGACATGTGTGATCTAATGAATTTTGACAGAGCTTTGTTGGGCGTTAATGTTCGGTGGATCAGGTCGAGGTTATGCAAGTTATCGTTTCTGGCACTCACACTATCATCTCATCTCGTTCTTCTCGAAAAATAATAGGACATTAAAAGCACGATTCGCGAAGATAGATGTATTAACGTAATGCATTTTCAGATTTGCGCGAATAAATGCATCTGGAATGAAGCACTTGCGAATGCATCAAATCATAGCATTGATCAAGGCTCCTGTGGTACGTAGATTCTGGAAAGTTCCTTGTATCAAGAACTGAACAGAACTTGACTAAGATGGTGGAGTTTTCGAACACTTTCCATGTAAGTCCCACGAGGTTATTCAGACATGTAATAACTGGCTGGCGTTGGGTTATGGATTTGGTTCCAGAATGTGACTGAAAGCAAACTGTGATGACGGTGAAAAAGGGCGTTTTTCCCAACTGCAGGTAAAGTAGGGAGAAGACAGCGAAGAGCAAATGTACAACTGCCTGTGGAGGCGCACAGGCGAGGTGAGGCGTCTTTATGCGTCATCCTTGATAATGTTGACAAGCCCTTCTATCATTGATAAAGTGCCTTCTCGACTTCCACGTGTACGTTATGAAGCATCGGAGAATCCTTTTGATCAAATGAGGGTATGTACAGCCATACGGGATTTTAAAACGCTACAACACTCGAGAGATGCAAAAGTGAAAGGGAACTCGATCAGGTTAATGTCTACGTAAAATGGGTAAAAGGAAGTTCATGTTACCATAATTATGTACACCGAACACCCATTTGTTGCTGAAAAATCCTAACGGATATTATTATTTCTCTAAAGCACTAGACATCTGCGTGACGACAACATGCTTCGAATGACAATTATGTGATATTTTAAAGTTGTTCACTCTCTGCCCATAAGTGACTGGATGTTTCTGGATTAGGGTTGAATTCTAACCATTAGTGTAGTGTAAAGACTTCATTAAAATGCCTTATGGCATGGGCGTAACAACTTTTCCTCACCTTAGGGAAGATCGGCAACACGTGCCCAAAGCATTTTATTGCTGGCCTGTGAACTTCCACCGGGTCCCGACCTGTGCGGCCCACCGCAGGCCAAATCCACACACTCGGAAGAAAAATTCATCGCATCTCTGCAACAGGGGTAAAATGCTTCTATATGCATGTATGTGCATATGTATAGCTAAATATGGTTGAAATAAAAATGGTCAAGTGGGGGTCGATTTGCCCTCGACTTTGCTCCACTTTTCCCTTCGTGGAAAATTTTGCTCCAATAGCTCCACTGACATCGACGGCGGTCCAATTACCTACACAAAAACTTCTACCGTGCATAACTGTGAATCACCGCAGTGCAGTTATTTTCGTTTAAAAGGTTAAAACGTTTGGCTAAAGTTTGGAGAAAAAGCAGTTCTGTCAACGATGTCTGACTTCCACTCCTCTTTGTCCACCTGGACTTTGGGTGAGTTAATGAAACCTCACAGCCAGTTAAGTGATGTGGCCGACAGGAGATTTCACAAAGGACAAATTGAAGGGCTTTAGAGCGTAGGTGGATTGTTCAAGGCTTCTATTATTATTATTATTATTATTATTATTATTACATTTTATGAAGATTTAGATTGTTCTAAAGAAATTCCTTTGTCGGTAGCATCATAAATATTTTTCACTAACTTGGATTTTGCAATCTACTATGTTTACTTTTGTTGTTTTGATACTATCTTCCACAGCTCCTTCAAGTTCTTGTTGTTCAATCAGGTGGAAGGGGAACGCATGGATTTTTTGACTTTATGAGATCGAACTTCAATTGCTTTAATCCTCCATTCACACCCTTTATGGTACCATTATAAAGAACCAAACATAAAAAATGTTTTCATCTTTTCATACTAATGGAATAAAAGTGGATGGA